CAACGGGGGAAGTGAATCAATCATATAACATCTTTCGATACCCATTCTATCCACTGATCACTCAATCGATGGATTCCCGTCCCATTCCCTTCCGTTCAAAGCAATGCCAGCGCATCCACGATATAGGCCGGTATTCCGTAAAGGTGTGGAGAGGTTCTCCACGCAGCCCATAAGCTCTGTCGTCTCATGCAAGACAAGACAAGACAAGAGGAGAACGAAGAGCACGCCATCCGCCAGCCAACGCCGAGCTTTCTCCATTTCCCTCCATACTGTTTCCTTGCTTTGGAAGAAACTCGCTTTGACCTTTGTCTTCCGAAGATAAGTTATGTCGTACCATAGGTCATACTGCCGTAGCACCTTCAATCGTTCCAGCGTCTTGATATTCTGTCCTCCGCTCCATGAACTACTCTTCGTCTATCTCAATGGGTCTCGGGAAATATCCATCTTTCGCGGGTCGTCGCGACGCATGATGCCCTCCACGGGTCCAAGCAGTCGCTGGAAGCCGTCTTTGCTGAGAGTAGCCACCTTGACCTCCGTCTTGCTGAGCACACTGGCCGCACGTGGCTTGTCTTCCAGAAGTGCCAATTCTCCAAAGTAGTCTCCTGTCCTGTAGCTCTTGAGTGGTTTGTCCTCGCGTCCTCGCTTGACTGCCTGTGCTTCGCCTGACTCCAAAATGAAGAACTTGTCTCCAACGCCACCCTCTCGGATGATGGTGCTGCCGGCAGGATACTTGACCGTCTCGAGGGCGTCGGCGATCTTGCTGCGCTCGTACGGCGTGAGGGAGGAGAGAAGTGGAACTTCCTCCAAGAACGATTCGTACATGCGGCGACGATTGAAAGCCGAGTCCATCAAGATACGGCGGAATGTAACACGGTCCAGCTGCCAGAGAATGCTGGGCTCGGAGCTCACGACAGTAGCAGCACGTGGGGCGTTGTACATCAGAGCCAGCTCCCCAAAAGAAGTGCCTGGGCCTGAAGAAGCGACTTTTGTTCCCAGTCCCTCCGGTCCGGGCTCTGCCTGGCCCGTCTTCGATAGATAGATGTCAAAGTTGCCCTGCTCGACCACATAGAAGTAGTCACCTGCGTCTCCTTGCACAATGACCCGAACATCCTTCGCAGGTACTTTCCTCTCTTGAAGGGCACCAAGCACTTGCGCCGACTGTTCATCGTCAAGGTGAGAGAAGAGGAAGTTGTGGGAGACAGACTCTCGCAGACGATCGAGCTGCTCTTGGGTCTTTGGGTATGAAGGCGCCTTCCAGTTGCTATCATCTGCTGACGCCGGTGCCAATGATTCTGCGGAGACCGAGGTACGGCGATTCATGTTGTAGTTGCTCGGGAAGGACTGCGGCTGCTCCATGGCCCCGGCTGTGACAGAACTAGGTGGGTTGGAGTTGGAGGAACCGAATCCAAAGTTGCCAAAGGTGCCACCCGGTGTGCTGTTGGCGTTGGAGTTGGCGTGGGGAGGAACGGAGATGGGATCGCGGGCGTTGGGAGGGAAGTTGGAGGCGGTTGGCGACTGGAAGTCGTGCTCCTCCTCTTCGGCGACGGAATGCATGCCGCTCATGTTGCCCGGCTGGTTTGGAGCGGTAGACGTCGTGGCACCGAAGGGATTGTTGCCCGGGAAGTTGCTTTCGGCCACGCCCGGCTGGCTGGAATGTTGCTGGGAGAGGAGGAACTCAGCTCGCTGCGACTCCAGACGGCGATGGAAGAAGTTGTAGCAGAACTGGAGGGTGTCTTCGGGCTGGTGTTTCAGAACCTCGCGACTCAGGGCAGCGATTTCGTTTTGGTAATCGCTTGGCAGCGACATTGGCTCCGCTCTGCGACTCTGCGACAAGACACAGGATAGGACAGCACAGGCACGGGTCGGGGCTGCTCTGAGGGGGGTAAACGGGGTCGCTGGCGGAGGTGTGTGGCTGCAAGGGCGATGTAACGTGACCGTGATGGCAAGGGCAAGGTGGAGCAATTGGAGAGGGCCCTTTTGACTGACGTCGGCGAGCTGGGATGCGGTACCACGGCGTGAGCAGGGAGCAAGCAGCTGGCAGTCTCTGGTGCAGGTGGCTGCTGGTGGTCGTGCAACGCTGGGAGTGTCAGGAGGAGGGAGGATGTTGGTGTTTCGGTGTTCACTGGCAGCTTCTAGAAGGGGGGAGGAAGAAGTTTGTTGTTGCTGTTTGTATGTAGCGGTGGACAGCCGCCCCGCCGCCCTCAGCTTGACCTGCCAAGCTAACCTAACTTGCCTTAAACCACTGCAGCTGGGCGCGGGGAGGGGGTGGTAGGTGCACGGCTCAACACACACATCCACGTTCACTCTATATCCCTTCTGCTTCCACGAAACACACATCGACAGCACTGCAATACCTCCGCATCTACGCATTTGATCGCCAAAGCGCTGAAACGAGGACGCACGATACCTGACCCGTCCAAGTCTCCCTCTGCACGATGGATGTACGCGCGATACCCGGAAGAGAGAGAATGTCAAAGAGATGGCTATTCTAGCGCTTCCGGGGGACATGGTGCCCATACACCTGAAGTGGGAGGTTTCAACAAGTTGGCGTTCTACTCCCAACAACATTGAGATGGAGAGACAGAAGATGCACATGTGAATCTTCCTGTACCCCACCACTTTGGCAACGGATCAGGTAGCGCCTCCTTGTTTGCGTAAGGCGTGACAGCTCAGTCGTAGGATGAAGTCGCAACGGTGCGGACGGCTTGACATTGGAGCCTGTACGAACGAGATGGAGTCGGGTGCTATTGATGTCTCAAAAGCTTGTACGAAGCATCTCGACTCCCAGACTGCAGATAGACAAGCCTTGTTGGATAGAAGGCCTACACGCAAAGCTTGCCGACCACACCGCCCTACCCAGCAGCAACATGCGCGCGGTGAGGAGAGCAGCTCGGTCATGCTCGTAGAAATCCTGGGATGATAAGGCAGGGCATGTGAAGACTCCACTTGACGTCAGTAGCCAAGTGGGTGAATACCTCATCCGCTGCCATCCATCCCATCTCACCACGCTCTTTGGCTCCCTGCGCTGCATCACTCACTTCACTCCGTCCGACGACGACATTTCGGCATTTGGGCCAACAGACCGGCAGCCAGACCACAGACCACAGACCACAGACCACAGACCACAGCTGGAGACCGTCGGAGACCCCGCGCGCAACCCGAACGAAGCTCGGACTGCTCTCGTACAAGTCTTCACTAGTACAACTGGGCCTGCCGCTGCGCTGCTGCATCGATCCCCGGATCCTTGGACAAGTCCGCCTGACTTCAACCTCAAAACACTCTGCGCTGTCGTCATCCGCCTCCTTGTCATACCCTGTCTCCCTGGTCCCATTTCTCGCCGTATTATCATACATATAGCATGGGGAGCTACACGTTCAGGTGGTGAGTGTTTGCATCTTTCCCGCTGCCTGCGCGCCCTCTCGACCAATCCACCATCCCGATCACCATCTCACCCAGCGCGTCAGCCATCCCCCCGCGGCACAATCGCAATTGGTTCGCGCAGGCGCAGCGGAGCAGCTTCTGTCGTTCAGCTGACTGACACGTACGCGCGCAAAGGGAACATCCTGCCGTCGAGGTCTACGTGACTGGCACCTTTGACAACTGGTCCAAGTCTGTCAAGCTCGACAAGAAGGGCACAGTCTTCGAGAAAGAAGTCCTGCTCCCAGACATAGGTGAAGCGATCCTATACAAGGTACGTCACCCTCGCACGTGGAGTTCATTCCACGCCCGCACAAGTGTCTTGCCTCGCCTGCCTTCCATTGATGTTGCTTCTGACGACGCGCGAGCACAGTTTGTCGCAGACGGCGAGTGGCAGCACGATCCTACCGCAAGACTAGAGCGAGACGACTCCGGGAACGTGAACAACGTCCTATACCCCGAAAACATCGAGAAGCAGAACGCAGTGTCTCATATCACCTCATCGGTTGCGCCTGGCGCGTCTACTACCGCGATGGCAGGTGCGCAGCCCTTAGAGAGCGAGCGCTCCCCTCCACCTGGTGCCTTCCCCGAGACTCCCGCCGTAGCCTCCGATTCCAAGAACGACGAGCAGAAGCATGGCCTGGGTTATGCTGCGGCAGGTGCCACGGGCGTCGCGGCAGCAGGTGCAGCAGCTCTTGGGCTTTCGTCGGGCAAGAAGGATGAGAAAGACCAGACGTACTCCGTCAACCCGATTCCAGCATCGGCAGGTGCTGGTAACCCGGTCAACCTGGCTCCTGGTGAGAAAGTGCCCTCGCCTTCGACCATCAACAACAACACTGTTACGTCTACCGTTCACGACGATCCATCGTTAAAGAGCAGCACTCCGAATTCGGCGCAGACTGAGCAGACTTTTGGCGTCGCGCCTATCCCAGCATCCGGTGGTACTGGCAATCCAATCCACCTCCAGCCTGGCGAGAAGGTACCCGAGCCATCCACCGTCACGGGCAATACGCTCACCAGCAACGTCAAATTGGACAAGGAGTCGTACGAGAAGAGTAGCTCTGGCGCACCACAACTCCCACCCGTCCTCAGTCCACAGAGCGAGATGGAATCTGCCGGCGGCGCTGCCATATTCGGCGGCCTCGGTCCTCAGACTAGCAATATGATTCCGGAATCGAGTATGGCAATGGGCAAAGATGCACCAGCTCTTCTAGAAGGCGCAGCCATATCTTCCGTGGGCGCAAACAGCACCACTAACCAGCTTGCAGGCCAGGTACCAAAGGAGCCAAGAGGTGTTCCTGAAGTTGTCACCGACAGTCAGAAAGACGCCCATGTTGGTCCGGAGGCCGCCGCCAATCCAACGGCCGTCCAGGAGAAGAAGGAAGTGGAGCGCGAGTTGAAGGCCAAGGTGCCAGAGGAGCAGGCTGGCAGCGAGTCCAAGGATACCTCCAAGAGCGAGAGCAACAGGGGTGTATATGACGCAGTCGCTGGCGGCATTGCAGGTGCAGGAGTGGCAGCAGCAGTAAGTAAAGCACAACTAGGGGACGGTGGAAGAAATTCCGCTTGATTTCAGTTCTGTATTGGAGGCTGACGTTCTACATAGGGTACCGCTGCATATCTCAACGAGAAGGCCAAGGGGAAGACTGGCACAGATCCAGTCTCCAACCTGCCCGAATCGATACAGAAGGCCATCAATGAGCAAAATGCTGCAACCTCCTCGGCCGCGACAAGTGGCCCGGCCGCTGTGACCTCGACGGCAACCGACGCTTCCCGAAAGACTACCACTTCTGTCCCACCCGAGGTATCCGCTTCTCAGAAGGAGGCGCATGCTGACCCGGAAGCAGCGGCTAACCCTGAGGCCGTCAAGGTACGTAGATCAGCGTTGATGCAGTTGATTCACCCACGCCACTGGCACTTTGCTCCGCGAGGCACGTACTAATGGCCGATTAGGAAAAGAGCCAGGCAGAGCAGGAGTTGCTCAAGAAGCTCCCAGCATCTGAGGCGAGTGGTGAGCCGGCGCCCACCACTACTGCCGCCACCACGACGACCGCCCCAGCTGCATCTGGAGCTCCTCAGCTCGCCGACCCAGTTGGCGGTGGCCTAGCACCCATCTCCATGGACGAGAAGCCAGCTGGGTCCAAGGGGTTGAATGCACCCGCGGCTTCTCAAGCCCAGACACCAGCCACCAAGGTCAACGAGCTTGCCAAGATTGATGCACAGCAGGACAGCCGCGATGTCAGCCCAATGACCAAGCCGAGCACCACGGAGCAGACCCAACCCGCTGTTACCAGCGGGGTCAACTCCAGCACAGCTCCATCCACCTCGAGGCCGGTAGGCACTCCACGCAACAACGACACGGGAGCCAAGAGCACGCCGCAGAAGCGCAACTCCATTATGGACCGCTTCAAGGTAAGAAGACCTGGTTCGCGAAGACACGAAGTAAAATCACTGACAAGTACTCAGGGCACACCCGATTCGCAAAAGACACCCGAGACCAGCGGTAGCGGCAAGAAGAAGGGCCTGTTTAGCAGGATCAAGGACAAGCTGAAGCAGTAGAATCCCTTCTGCTTGTCTCCCTTCTTCTTCTGCTGCTCTGCTAACAACGTGAACAATAGACAAGGAAGCAAAAAGTTATCGGCAAGCTGTTTCGGGGGAGGCGCATCTACGGCGGACGATACGATGCCCGCGCCTCGACCGGCACAAGTGGAGAAGGCACCCTCGGAGCGGCCGCCTACTTACGACGGCGCCATCGATCAGGCAACGCATCCGACTGAGCATACCGTCGAAGGACCTCTGGATCGGGATGAAGAGGAATACTAGAGGCGGCTCCATCGTTGTTCTCAGATCCCCGAGGTCGCAGAATCACCTCCACTCCTCCATGTGGACTTTCCCATTGGGGCGATCTACTTCGATGACGACCGTTTCGGCGACGGAACTCCATCTTCGAATGAAAGCTTTTGCCCACTTGATCTCGCGAAGAAGCAGCATCTCGAATGAGAGTCTGCTCGCTTTTTGCTTGTCGCATGACTTTTCCTGCTTTTTCTTGGCCTGGAGTTCCCCGTTCTTGGATTGTAGATGCCTGCGAGGGAGGAAGGGAGGAAGGCAATGTGTAATGTTTATGGCTCGCTTTTCTGGCTTTCTACTATACCACTCTCGCGTGCTGCTTGTGTGAGGGTTCTTCTATGGTGTTTCCAGATAGGTGGATCGGGGCGGGAAGTTTAATGATTTTCTTCTTCGCAATCACGCTTTCGGTGTCTCCTTTCTTGTGCGTCTTTTCAGATCATTTTGCGCGACTGGCGTAGCAAGTGTGCTAGGCTCATCGTCACGTGCCAGCGTGCTTTAGCCTGGGGGGGGCCCGCATGGCGACTCCACTTCATTCAGTTGGCGGCGCGTCAAGTTCTTGGAGCGCACTGTGGCATCCACAACTATCAATCCACGACCCAGGACTTCTACATTGTCGTATCGCCCATGGCAAGAGAGATATCGACGTCGTCACATATGGAGACGATTAAATTTAGCCCAAGAGCGCTGCCCAATCGGCTCACATGCTCGCAATTCCTGACCACGGACGACACTTCAAACAAAATCCTGCAAGTTTCCGACCTTTTTGGAAATGCAGGCTTCCGAGCAAGTTCGATTTCCCAGCAAAGTCCAGTCATCTTCACTACCACCCCGGTGACGAACGCCAAACGTGGCGGATCTAATGTTTCTTTTCTGCTTTTCGGGAACTGGGACCAACGCGAGGGACTCAGATACGCAAGGAGGGGCCGCGTGAAAGCTTTATGGAAATGAGGAAGAGGGAACCCCATATCTACTGACAGCCTTGGTGTCCGGATTTCAGGCGCGGTGAAGATGGGCGGTATCTGGCTACTCAAAAACAAAAAGTCGCAAGAGATCTTGATCAGAACCTCGTAACGAGTTTTGCGGCGCCGACGTGATGCGGGGACCAATGCGCGCCGTGACACTATTATTACCTTAACCCATCTGACCACGGCTAAGGTGGCACAGGTACGGAGAAAGTTCCCTCCCTCAGCAACTGAAGTAGAGATTACAAGACTCCCCCCATGGGAACAGGAACGCACACGGCTTATGAAAAGATAATATATCCAAAGTCACTTTGCGAAGAAGCGAGGAACCCATGGGCACCTGAACCGCCACAACGCAGAGTCCAGGGCAGAGGCAGCAAGACCAACAAGTCTCCAGGAGTTTCTTGGCGGGAGACTCTTGACAACGCGACAAGTAACGCGACAAGTAACAAACTAGATTCTTCGAGCGCAAAGAACAACCTCCGACAGACGGACGACCGACCCCCCCCCCCCCAAAAACACGCTAAAAACGAAAAAACACGTGAGAAATCTTACCTATGTTTAGCAGGTAGGTAAGGTACCGTCTCCCTAGGGTAATAATCACGCTCACGCTCACGCTCAACACCTGCACAGCTTTGTTTGTTTGATTTGAAAAAAGTGCCAGAATGATCAAGTCAAGGCACATGACATTGTATGCATTCCTTAGGAAGGACGGACTCTATTTTGATATCATACCACCACCCTCGCGGGCACGCTTGCCATATCCCTTTACCGTCCTTCCTTCCTTCCTTTCCTTCGCTATGAAAAACGCCCTTCCAAATGCACGACGCCCAAAAAAGGGAACTATATCGCTCACAGGAAAAAAAAAGTTCAAGGGTCATACATTTCTTCATCTCATCTACCGTCCCCGCTGCCCTGCGCAGTCTCACTTTCCTTCTGCTCATTCTCCTCGTCCGGCAGGAAGATCTCGTGTCCACTACCGTTTCGGACCTTGAAACTCGCCAGACATCCGAGCGAGGCTACCAGTGCGACAATCCACCAGCTCATGCCGACAATGCCGCGTTCCGTCCAGATCCCATACCAGTATCCCGCGAGCATGGGGCCGAGCGTCCGGAAAGTGGCGGAGCAGGCATTTCCGACACCGTGGATGGTTGCGAGGACACTAGGGTGGGGAGAGCTGTTGTTGAGGAGGATGATGGAGGCCGGCAGGGCGAAGGTTCGAGCGGCGACCTGGAGGAAGAGGACGAAGCTGATGCCGAGCCAGATGATGATTCCACTCGCGGGGTTTGGAGGCTCCGAAGCCGAGGGTAGGAGCGCAAGATAGGGTGCGAGGTAGTAGGCCAGCGGGAAGAGGAAGAGGGAGCCCCTGAAACACCGCATTAGGCCGAATTTCCCGTTGGCCCAGGGATAGAGGAGGAATTGTAAAGCGACACCGATGAAGCCAATGATGGCCATGGCGAGGCCGATCGTGGGAGGCGGGAAAGCCAAACCAGACGAGAACTTGAACGCGCTCCTTGTGGCAAGCAGAAGATCTCGTGCCACCGGTTGCAAAGGCTCGCTTGGCGCAATAGGTGCGCGCTCCTCGGGTACAAACTCTCGCGGCGTTGCGAGGAACAGGATCCACAGATTGGCAAAAGCACCCATATGGAAGTCGAAGATTGCAATGCTCAGCAAAGTCCAAAAAACGTTCGATGTCCATATCCTCCGGAAAGGAAGTCGCTGTATCGGTCTCGGTTGTTGCTTCTCGCCAGTCGTCGCCAACTTTTCCATCTCCAGCGAGCCACAATTATCTTCATCAGCCAGCAGACCTTGTCGTTGAGTCTGCTGTAGCTTCTTGTAGCCCTGATTCTTGGCCAGCACAAAGTTGTTGTAAATGTTCCGCGCCAATGTCACGGGGTCAAATTCCGAAACGTCCATGGGTCGTTTCGCCTTCAGAGTCTCCTGTAGTCCGTAGTGAACCAGTATCGCTTCGGCGAAAAGCAACACTGTGCTCGTCAGATTGGCAACAGCATACGGGTACTTGGCCATCCACTTGACACCCTCCGCTCCTCCAAACGTGCTATTGGGTCCAAACAGCTTCGGTAGGTTCACCGTCGGGTCAGCCAGCATGCCGGCCAATATGGGCCCCGCCACGTTTGCAACGTTGAACGCCGCCGGCAAAAGCAGAAACGCGCGCGGATGCCATGGCTTCGGCGTGATCTCAGCCACCATCGTCCTCGCCGATCCCACAGTTCCATTCACAGCACCGCTGACCAATCTCCAAAAGACCGCTTGTGCATACGTCTTGCTGAAAGCCACCCCAATACATCCAATCCCTGTCCCCACCAACCCAATGTTGAGCACCGTCTTTCTCCCTAACGCAGGCTGGTCCGCGGCTCTTCCCCACAATATACTCGTAAAGATCTGCGCGGCCGTGAAAGCTCCCTGCAACACACCGGCCTGGTGTGATATTGTTACCTCTGACAACTCTGGATCAAAGCTCTTCAATTGGTGGACCATGTAGGTCTGTATCGCTGCCATCTGGAAGAAATCGACAAATCGAGAAAGCGCGAGGATGGCCAATTGACCCTTGTTGGGGAGGTTCGCCCATGTTGGCGCGGGAGGTGGGTAGGTCACGATGGGGAGGCATTCCTCGGTGGTCGAATCGAGCGGCGTGGATGCGCCTCGTGGCAGTAGCGAAGACTTTCGTGGAGGAAGAGTGTGGCCATTCTCAGTGGCTTCGGGTATCGGTTCCTTGGTGGGAGATCGAAGCTCGAAGAAGTAGTCATCGCCCTGTTGCTGGTAAGGCGAGGCACCGGCAGTGTTCAAGGGCTTTCCATCTGACGGAAAACGAGGTGAAGGCTCGTCTCTGGGCCGGGCGGAAGCGTCTGATGCAATACGGTTGCGAACGGCGGGAAGTTGGCGCGAAGGAATCCTCCTATGGGACATCGAGGAGTTTCTCTGATGTGCCATGCCCCGTAATAATAGAACGGACCTGCACGCCGACAATGGGGAAGTGCAGGGCCAGCGATTGCGTGCTCGCCGCTTGTGCACCGAAAGGCGTTCTTGGGAGCAGGAGGATGCAGGGAAGGAAAGCGACTAGAGCGACCAGTGCCTGTAACCGGGTCGAGATCCAGATGGTGGAAATATCAGGTGCGATCGCCTCTATTGTGGTGGGTTGTCTGTCGGCAGAGCATATGAGGTGGGACAGTGGTGGGTGGTGAAGAGAGGCAAGGACGAGAATGGTATCCAGGTCTCTCGTCCGCCCAAAGATGCCGGTAGAGACAGTGGACGCAGCCGAGTGGGCGCGTATGGTGTGGATCGTGGGTGACGCGCACTACTGCCCTGGTTCTTCAGCAGGCGCAGTAGTAGCAGTGGGAATGGGATTGTGGGAGGATGGTGACCGTGGTGGTGATGGAGGCGTCTGGTCTCTTGCCTGGCTTGCGTACTATCCTCCCCTTCCCGGCAGTCAGTCCGCAGCGCGCGCGCGGGCACACATCCCTACTGTCGAGGTTTGCACGACCAAAGACAGACCAGCGCACACCCTGCACTGGGCTGGGCCTCTGACCGGTGTGGGCGGACGGCGACAGGGAGGAGTGCGAGATGGAGGAGTGCCAAGCCGGAGAGGGAGCTTGTCGTGTGCTCTGTGACGTGCGCGTTTCTGTGTCTTTGGCCAGAGGATGAGGATGAGGAAGTCCGCACCCGGTCCGCCAAGCCGCTACCGTGAGAGCCCCGTCCCCGCCAAGCCGCTACCGGACCGGCTCCCGACGCCTGAAACTTGAAACGCAATTCAACACGCGGCACCGCACACTAGACACTTCACCACACTGTGCACTACTCCACCACCACCCAAGCCACCGCTACTACGCAAATGGAAACCTGCTCATCAATGCTCGCGCGTCCCCACCACCCAAGCATACCTGATTAGCCTAAATACGAATCCATCCACCTCCTCACCTGATGATGAACCACCGCGCCTGCCGATCCCCATGCGCCACGACACGGACACTTCACATGAAATAATCGTCTGCTGCTCTCTCCGAGACTTGAACCATCCCGTGGCGCAAAAGGCCGATGTTGGAGATTAATGACCTTGACAACTCATTCATCATCATCAAGCCCTCTCTCTGTGACCCGTTCCAGGTGGATTTGCAATTGAATTCGCTTGTCTTGGCAGGGGAGGGGTATCAGGACTCAGGAGTAACGTGGTCCAGGTACAGAGAAATCCTGATGAGCAGGGCACAGCTTCGTACAGAAATTGTAATGAGAGATGTACGACTGCGACACACCCTCCATTTCTCTTATCTGTAGCAGCGACAGACAACTGTGAATGAATTGACAAGGAAGTAGACGATGGCCGCTCCTAGCCGTTAAGAAGAGATATGCCATTTTGCATGTCTAGTAGTGTAAAAATATATCGCCGATGCCATGCAGATGCCAAAACGCTGTCGCTCATGATCGTAATACAAGCGCCGCCATCTCATCGCCATTTCACGCTTCACAGGAAGCCACTGTTCTTCTCCCTTCCAACCGTAAGCCCGAGGCAGGAATCGTCCTGTATATTCTGTCCTCAGAGAGCCTTCGCGGGCTTGGCTGCGTGTCATAAAATTCCACTCCGACTCGAGCTACTCGAATGCGACCTATAGTCCGATTCCTTCGTATGCACGCGCGTGTATCGTTGAAGCACCTTGGATCCGAAGGCGCTTTCCGTGACTTCGACAGCCGTACTCTGTAGCTTGCGGAAGCCTCCGGCTCTGAAAAAGAAGAAGCCGATGATGGCCGCCGTGAAGCCGATCAGGAGTCCGAGAGGCACGGCAATGCTAGAGCTCCGCTTGCCTTCTTCTGTCTCCGTGGAGTCGGACCCTCCATCCTCGCTCTGCTCCTCCCACTCTCCAATGTGATTCCATGGGTATGGAGCTCCTGGCACGTCCTCGTAGTAGTGGCTGGTATTGAATCCTCGGTTGGTGGAGAAGAGCGCCGCAGGAACCTCGTTCGGTGCCTCATATGGCACTTCAGCTTCGGGCGGCACTCTCTCGGCATATTTACACCCCGAATCGTCGCAGGTCGACCGGAGCTTCTCGCTAGGCACGAAAGTCTTCGACACCACGCTTCGATCCAGAGCTCTACCATCGCCATCCAGAGCTTCGGCAAAGGACCACCCCGCAAACGTGGGCATGTGGAACTCGGTCTCGAATCCGGTCTTCTTCACACTGCCCGCCAGCTCAAACGGGCCGGATGTTTGATTGCTGACGTAGAAATTCCAGCTCTTGACCTCCGTTGCTCCATTCCAAGAAACCCAAAAGCCGGTCTTCTGCTCCTGTTTGCTGAAAGACCACAGTGCAGGCTTTGTGACCGGTTGCGCCGTCCAATTGTATTTGTTGGATCGATAGATCATGACGTTCGACGTGCGTTCGGCGAGCTTGGCGAACTGGATCGTCGTGCCATCCGCCGTGTGCTCCGAAAAGTAGGCGTGCTCTCCCCAGCCGATATGGCACCCTCCATTCGGGAGCATCTGCACATTACCCTGCGAAGTAGATAAGAGACCGCCTTCTGGCATTGGCGCACCCCACTCCTTGATCACAGTTGCCTCTTTCACGACATGATCGATTGCCACGATCCAACCATGCGAAAAGCGACCAGTCGCATTGAAGCTGCTGCTGGCGTTGTCGAAGAAGGAGAGAACTGTATGCGTCTGGTTCTCCGATATCCATCGCGCGTGGTGTTGGTAGGAAAACGCGAAGTTTGTCTGCTTGAAAGTCGGTTTGTTTCCACCCAACTCCCACATGATGTGGCCATCTTTCCCCGACACCTTGTAGATGGCACTCACATGACGTGCCGAGATGAGGTAGTCACCGTCCTGGTTCTTGTCGACTGAATTGAGGTGGAAGTAATCCCAGGGAGATTCCTCGTGGAGGCCATCACCACTTGTATCCGTTGATCCGGGCAAAGTCCACGCCTGCGAAGGATCTACGTGGTCGAGAGATCGCCACTCGAATATCAACCGCCCGGTATCAATGTCAACTTCTTGGAATACACCTTCCACGATCCAGCCGATACCATTGTGCAGGTTGAACCGAGGGTTCGTCGTGACGTCGTATTGCCGGGGCTGGTAGACCGTCATGAGCACAGTGGTGCCGTTGGAGTATGGTGTGATTTTGAACTCGTGCATGTCGTTGCTCGCGCCCGCGCCAGCCGCCTCAATCGTCTTCACGGTCCGGTAGTTTTGATCCAGTATGACTCCATGGCCGCGAGCAAAACCCAGGTGCTGCTCTCCCGTGAAGTAGCACAGGTGATCCGTCCCTTTGTACCGACATACTCGCGGCGTATGTGCGGTCTTGGGTCCGCTGTGTCCTGCGCCCGACCACACGAGATTACCCAGGTTATCGTAGATGTACGGTCCGGGATCGAGGTTTCTGTAGGGAGCAAGGAAGATGTAGCCGGGCGTGACGAGGTCTGGCCTTAGGATGGCGAAGTCGAGAATGGGTGCGTGCAGGTCTGGTCTCTGTGAGAGGTGAAGTTGGTGGTGGTCAGCAAATGGTTCGTGTTTCCGCGCGGGCAATTGGCTTTCTGTAGCGCAAAGCTTACCGACTTGAATTGGTGTGTAGGTGAGGTCTCATTATCCAGGTAGAACTGTGCAAAGACGACTCTTGAGAAGGTAAAGATTAGAAGGCAGCGCAGCAAGGAGAAGAAGAGCGCGTTGGTTGGCATTGGCGCGGCAAGGCGGCGCGCACTTGGCGGTGCTACGGCGAGCCAGGTTGGTATCACGCAATGGCAGTCGGCAGCAGCATCCAGGGGATCGATAAGGTAGTTGGGTGATTAACGCACTGCGCGGGCCGTTGACTGCAGAGAGAGAGAGTAGTAGTAGTAGTAGTAGTAGTAGTAGTAGTCGAGGTGGGAGCGGCAGGAAGGGAATCTATGTCAACAGTTAAAGGTAGATGTCTCGGTCAGGTACGCAAGTACGAATGCTAGCCAAACAACTGGTGTCGATGCTGGCATGCGAGCAATTCGATCCAGTGCTCCCCGTGCCACCTGACACCCTCCTCCCCAACAGCGCAGCGCTTGAGCGCTTGATGGGCATTTCATTATTCATCACTGAATTGCGCGCGGTAAATCATTTGGATGTCTTGGCCAAGCGCGCTGGTCCGACAGGATCCACCAAGGCAAGAGCTGGCCGACGCTCTTTCCGCCGTCACTCCACGAACAGCCAGCATCGGGATGAGGAAGGAAGGAAGGAACGAACGAACCTCGTCCGGCATCGCTCCCCCATAGCCCTGTCCGCGACGCAGTTCACACATCGCTCCTACCTTACTTCCTCCTTCCTCCTTCGCCTGTGACATGACAGCCAAGACTCTTGCTCTGCCAACAACAAGGCTTAGGTACGTACCCGTCCGACTCCTGAGAGATGGCCAGCGCTACGGGATATCGCCGCCGCTCCTCCATCATCCGCGTCAGACAAGACAGTCCAGACGAATGATGATGGGAAATAACCGCTCGTTTTCTTCGGAACCTGCAGCAATCTGCTGATGAAGTCCTCGTCACCTCTTGGCAAGTGGTGTGTGCGCATGGTGCCAGGTGCGGCGCCGGCACGGTCTGGTCCCACTTGACTTGGTGGTCGATGCCACACCTGCACCTGCCAGAGCGCTGCCACACTGCTGCTTCGGGTCGCGAAACTCCATCGTTAGGTTGTTTCACCTTTAAATCCTCCGCGTTGGTACATGTAGCGAGTCGCGACACCACCACTACTTCTTCTCCAGCAGCAGCTGCAGCGTCCAAGAGAGAAACATAGTAAGGTAGTAAATGACTTCTCGTGCTTCGATCCATTCCAGTCTGCGACGTACGTTCCATCATCCCGCGATCCAACCGGCCGCATATGCTGTGTGACTGGTGGCGAAGGCAGTACCGATGTTATACTGTTTTGGGACCTGCGTCCTGCGTACGCAACCGTTCCCCTTGTCACCCACACCACAGTGCACACACCATCTCCCCGGGCTGCGTCAGCGTCTGAGATTTCGCCAAGCCGGCGCGGCTGGAGCGTACCCTGCTGTGCAGCAGTCCGTCAGGAACGATTTCGCCAGGGCGCAGGAAACAGGCAAGTTTGTGATGACGTACGTGTCTAACGATCGTTTCATTTGTTCCATCTCTCAACAACTCGGCAGCCGTGCACGTGGCCTGCCTGTTGCGACGGCTTCTCGGTAGTAGTAGTAGTAGTAGTAGTAGTAGTAGTAGCACTGTGCTTTCCAGTGCCTTTTATCCGTGCACCATGTGCCCCCAATTCCAGTATCTCAATCGAGAAAATGCCAAATTTGAACTCCGTCCCCAGGCCCGATAGACGTGTCTTGCGAGAACTCAATTGCTCTCCCCCTGGTAGTGCCGCAACGCCTGTCCTCCCGTAATGTCAACGCTAGTGTCCGTTCCCGTCCCGTTCGTTCAACGCCCAATGCAAATGGCAATCAGTCGCAGATGCCCGTAGAGGCATGATTGCGCATCAGTGACTCATGAAAGCACACTTCCACGGCTGCCAAAGAATCTCCTGATGGTCATGCTGGCGCTGAAGATGATTGCTGCGAACGATCCTCCGACAACAGTTGCTCGGAAGAGAACGTTGAGCATTTGCATCCGGTTCCGTCTCCGGCAGCGGTCGACGAAGCCGTCTGTGTCGTTGGTGCGGGGGAACTTCCTGCCCTTTGGTACGGGTACCTCGAGGAAGTTGCATAGTGGCTCCCAACCTTCGCCCATCTTGTACTCCAGCAGGTTCTCCTTTGGCACAAGGGAGCGGATCTCCTCGTAGTATTCCTTGAAGCGGCGCTTGCCGTTCTTCTCGAAGTCGCCCTCCCAGAACTCAGTCCAGAATTCTACAATCATCATGTTAGCTCGGTTTGGCGGAGTGCTCAAGTTGGTTTAGGACTCACTTGAAAGCATTGGCTGGTAGAGGCCCGCTCCCCAGTCGAACTTGGAGACCATCTTGAGCTCTGGCTCGGTTGCCCGCCAGTGCACCGTCTTCATTGTGCTTGCGTGCCAGCTGTCGACGTCACGAGTAGTGACAAGTACCTTGGCCTCCGGGTACGCCTCAATGAGCTCCTTCGCGAAGGCCACGGCTGGCCAATCGCAGACCGCCTGGCAGTGACCGAACAGTTGGTCCCATTGCTCGCGGCCAAAATGGCCCTTCTTGTCGTATTTGGCGGCAAGAGCGTCGGACCACATGAGACAGTCCGGGGGGTTCTCCACAGAGGCAGACATCATGTGGTAGCAGTCGTCGAAGCCTAGTTCCTTCAGGGCCGTCCTCAGGGAAGCGGTTCCGGTCCGACCCAAGCCCAGAGCCAAGACTCGCATTGGGACGACGCGACGGCATTCTCGGCGGTTGATGTCTGTGTCGTTGGTGAAGATATCGGTGACGGGCTTTGGAGTGTATGGTCGGAAAGCCATTGTGAGCGTCTGGAGATTCCGGGTGGGTGGTGGTGTGTTGCGTGGGTAATTAATTACACAGTTATAATTGTAGGTCGATCAACAACTGGGAGATTGGAATGCTGGAATGAGCGGATTGCGACGAGACGTTTGCCGCGCGATGGATGGAAACAGCCAAGCGAGAAGAGGGGTCGTTGGCGAGGGTAATGGTCTGGTGGTGCAGTGGTATTGAGAGGAGAGTACTTGTTGAACGGTAAGGTACATGTAGCGAAGGACACGGAGAGGGCAGCGGTATGGTGGTGATTAAAGAGGACGTGCGGCTCGCCCCTTAGAACTCTCCGAGAGCTCTACCTATCTCGATTTCGAGACAGGGCACGGAGCAGGTGCAGTTACGCGTCGCCCCTGCCCGGTGGTCCATCCTCAGCCACATTATTCGTGGCACGCAAGCTGCCTCGCGTATAGCGCTTCTGGTATGCTTCCCCTCTTGTCTTGCCCCTCTCCTCTCTTGTTCTTCGCGACAACCACAGCAACAGCGGGCGGCGAGCGATCAGTCGGATGTAGTGTGCACTCTCCTGGAAGCCACAGCTCGCCAAGAAAACCGTTGGCGCGGCTCCGATCTCGCCCTCGGGAAGGCGCGCGCTAGCGAGAATCCAGTCTTCCACGACTTGCGGCGAATTGAGAGCAATAATCCTCATCATCATCAGGCTTTCGCAGACATGGGCAAGCGCTGTCCATCTTCCGTTTCACCCTCGTCCGAAACCGCGTCTCCATGTTTCTCTGAAACGCACGCCCATCTTACCACTACTGACCACTTGTCCCGACGTCACAACAGCTGGTCGGTCTGTCTTCCCTCATCGCCGCGCTTGAAAAGGAGTCATTTCCACCATCCTCTTGGCGCATCTCTTTACTCAGGAGGTCATCGGCGGGGAGACGTGCAAGCGCCGAAGCCACACCCGTTCGCCATCCACCGACTCTCGAGCGTGACCCCTCCAACAGCAGGCAAATGAGGCATGTCCCCGTGCAGGTGTTGATTCAGATCAATTGCTTGGCAGCGGTAGTGCAGTCTTGTCAAACTTGTCACTCCCACCGCTCCCGGGCGCACATCCGCGATTCAGCATTCCGCTCGCAGACAACTTCGTGTCTCGACAGCACTCGAATCTGCGACAGACCTTGTGCGAATGTTACCCCATGGCCAGGAACCTGGGATCGGCCAATACATGCGAAGAAGCGAGCGTGAAGCTCTCATTCCTTCGTTGGATTGTACAAAAGATCGCCTCGTTGCTCCTCGAACGGCGGCGCTTCAGCAGCAACTACTCATCAGCAATGTCTGTCACCTAGAGGGAACTGACATGTCCCGGTATCGCGGCCAAAGTGTCGGTGACTGACCGCCAAGCACTGCATGTCGCCCCGCTACACCATCCTGCAGGAAACACCTTGGCAGACCCGAGCACGATGACTTCGATGAAAGCGATCACTATCATATCAGATCGCATCGCAGATTGAGCAGTACCTTGGTCCGTTGTTCTGCCAGTGCACGAAGCACGCGCCTCCACACGTATTTGGAAGGTGAACGTCTCGCTGCAAACACTTCCCGCAGAACCTGGGCAAGGTGACCCAGTGTACAGCCATCCCCTCGCAAATTCAGGTTTGATCTCACAGTAGAGGTATAGAGTTGCAGACTGCAACGACACGCATAGGGGGCCGTCTACCGCTTCTCCAGCCATTCAAGATCTGTACTGCTGTTTCTGGAGTACTTCCCCAATAGGGCAACATTCGTCTGAGGACGCGCTTCTCGGCACATAGGCTGACTAATACATCATGAATGGGAACCGCAGAAAGCGATGTCGAGTGAAAACAGACGCATAAACACTATCTACAGTAAATCTACCGGGCGCCCAAGCCATCCACGAGTTGGGTGTGCTGGGAAGTCGATCAGTCCATCCCGATTGTATTTCTTCCCATGGTATCAATGAGGGTATCCCTATCCAAATTCTCCCACCAAACTCCAGCAGGGCAGGTGGCCATAGGAAAATGCTTTCTGTAGGAGGGGGAAACCCAAGCGCCAAAACCAATCCAGAACGATGCTGCTGCTCTTCACTTCAATCCAAACCCTTCGCTCTCCTCCACCGCCCTCCACAGTTTCTCCTCCAATTGCTCTCGATAGTCATACCTCCAAAGCACCAACATATTGAAACACGTCCTGGCAACCGGGAACCTCTCCCGTTCCTCTTTGCCTCCCCCGCCCCATCCATCTCCACCAGCCACGATCCGCAACACCAGACTCGTCGCCCCGACGGCGGGAATCCGATCCGTGCCCGTGATAAACGTCAACAACTTCCTCTGCCTCTCCGGGCTGGCCTCGGCAAATAATTCCCAGAACCACCCAATCACCGGCACGCTCTCGCTCGGATTCGCAATCTGCGCGTGCGGCGGCTGGAAATGTTTCCAGTTCTCATACACCGCCACCGCGCGCAGGGAGTCGACATCCAGCGCCTCGTCGCTACCGCGGATCAGCAGTTCAATCTCCTCCGCCCGGAAAAGGGAGAGCGCATTGCCCGCACAGACGGTGAAGAAGCCTCGCTTGAAAGGCTCGAATTGCCGGGAAACAGCCGTATCAAGCAAGTAGCGTACGTAAGCGTCGACGAATTCGTGGCGGTTCGCGTTCGTCACGGGCGTGTTCTCCCCGTTCGGGATCAGTGGGACGTTCTGCACCGTGCCGTAGCGCTCGACGGGAGCGACAAAGTCCCTGCAGTACGTACTCTCGACGTCGCCCTCGAATTCGAGGAGCTGTTGAAGACCGGCCGCGAGAGACGGCCGAAATTCGGCCAGGTCCGAGACGGTGTAGGTCATTTGCCCCTTCGTGCCTGTGAGTGAGGAAACGTTGGAGGCATTGGTGATGGAGGATGGAGCGGCTGCGAGAAGTTTGCGGAAGGCGAAAGGAGGGAAAGCGACATCCAGAATGGTGCTGTTATAGATGGCGAGGCCCAGTAATGCGCCAACCAGGTAATACTGGTCCGACGTCTCGAATGAGTTCGCGTTGAAATAGCATGTGTTTGACTCGTCGTCGTAGACGAACATGCCATGATTGGGGTCGAAAATATCCCGCACCAGCATCAGAAACCATTCTTTCCTCGGTCCTCCCGCATCGACGCCCTCCTCACCGGTGAAATGCACTCTGAGACCCTTCTTCAGCTCTTCTTGGCCCGAACCGACTGCTTCGCTGATCTGTCGCAGACTATCGTCCACCATGCACTCCCGTCGAACGCGCAGGTGAAAGTTACCATCGATTGCCCTCTGTCTGATGACCTGGTCGAAGTAGGCTTCCCGAGCCTTGCTCTCCATCTGGCGACGAGCATCGTACTCCAGAATCTTGATCTTGGTGCCCATGGAAAGGAAAAGTGGATATTGACAGAAAGCAAACTTGTCGCGCCTCGCCTCCCATACTTTGAAATCCGCGATCATATCGTGATAGTCCAGTAAGGTGTTGTAGAAGCTGGATGTGTGAAGAAGCTGTCCACTCCTGCGCGCTCTTGCTTGTGGTGAGATGCTGGTGCCAGAGAGGAGAGAATCCACTCGAGACGCGCCCAACGGGCGAGAGGCACCAGACCAAATATTGTTGGCTGTGAAAAGGAGTGACATGACTCTCGCCGCAGCCTTGACCTGCCAATCTCCAGCCCATTGCGGCTCGGAGTTGGGATCCTCTCCAGACTTCTTGACAGACCCGCTCAGACCCATTGCCGAGTGAAGCTGCGCCGAAGTACTCATGGCCGATCCAGAAAGCGTTGGAATGAGCCCTCCATCATCTAGACCGCTCCTACTTCTATGACGACCTGGTCGTCGTCCAATCCGGTGTGTGACAAAGCTAGCAACCAAGTCTACGGTCTTGACAAAGTGCTCTTCCTCAAAGCGTGCGAACCAGTTGATCAGGTAGCGATGGCAATTCTCTGCCGAGTGGGCAATGAGACCAAAGATACGCTTCAGAAGTCCGTTGTGCTGACCTCCCTGTTGACCAGGGGACTTCTTCGGTGAAGGCGGCACTGGGCTGGCTTGCAGCTTTCCGTTTCGTCTGTCGCTCTGCGTGCGACTTGATACTCGACCCGTGCCAGAAGTTGCTCTGCGTGGCTGGCTACTTGGATATAGTGATGGGTTAGATAGCAGGATGAGGAGAAAACGTATGTCTTCCGGCTCCTTCACCGGCCTTGTTGGCCGCTTTAGAAGATTCTCTGTGATCTTAAGCAGAGTTCGAATCGCGTGCTCCCGAGCTGCCACCAAATCGTCCTCGATCTCCTCAACGTTGATGTCCCCGTCTAGGCTCGACTTCTCCATCGACGGATCGTCTTGTCCAATTTGAGCGACTTTTGCCCTCCAGTTGCTGCCCGCTGTGTGGACGAGTCGGTACCATCTGCCAAGTTCCGACCAATCGATGTTGGGTGACTTTGATGAGACTGCCTTCTTGGAACCTTCGCCCACTCCCTTGCGTCGGACCGCCTTGTCCGACTGCTTTCGATCGACCTTTCCGGTCCACCAAGTACCGTTCTCGCCAATGTCACCTAGCAGTAAAGTCTTTGCGTCTAGCTCAGAAAGACCGTCCATAGCACTTTGACGAGAATCTCCAGCCGGCTCGGCTGGTGGGCTGACGACGTTGCTCTCGCTCTGGGCTCTACCACTCGCCATTGGCCTCAAGGTGCTGAAAGACTTGTTCAGACACTGGTAATTGCCAAAGTTTTCTATCATGTATTCTTCTAGTGGTCTGAAGATCGACTTGATGCGATCCGCATGTCGACGTTGCTCCATCTCCTCGGCAGTCAATCTTGGGCTCATTGCCGGTCGAGGCGAATGCGCTCCTGTTGGTGTAAGGCTGCCGACGGGGAGTAACTTTTGAGAAGGCCGCCGATTCGTAAATGCCATAGGCGGCGGAGGCGGTTTCCTCGTTGGCTTGATGGGTATCGGGGCAGCCTGCCGTGATGTGGCACTCGAGGGCCCGAACTCTTCTTGTGCTGTAAGACTCTGTTCAGGAGGCGGCGTATCCATTCGCATGCCGCCAAACTTGTTAAGTTCGGCGATATCGCGAATGGTGGCGCTGGCCCACTCTGCCTCTTGGGGCGTGTCTGGCGGCGAACCAGATATAGGTGGATGTCCCAAGCGTTGTCCAGCATAGCACTCCTCTTCTGGAGTGGCCACTGGTAAGTCATGTGCACGAGCTGGAGGAGCGAAGATATCTTCCTTGGGAGTGGGCTTCTGTGGCAAGGCTACTGGCTCCTCTTGCCTCCTACATCTGGCCTCGAGGTACTTAGCCAGACATCGATCAATGAGAGAGCTGGTATGGTCCAGAGATATCGGAAGTCGTGCGCCAGGGGGTAGTTGACCTGGGTATGTCCCCGATCGCTTGACCTGGGGACGCTCCTTGTCGGACTCCGTTTGCTCCTCCATTGGCTTCAGATCGTTGATGGTAAGACAGCACATGCATCTGAACTTCTGCAGCTCTCGCGGGACCTTAACCCGACTGTCGCAGCACATACAGTGCCTCGCGGTCTTGTCATCTTCGTCCAACTTCCCTTTCTTGCCAGATATGACCCGCACCGGCCTCTCATCTGGTGTACCGTCCAGGACAGGTACCAGTTCGTCATCCAACGGGACATCCGTGTCATTGAAGTTGAGATTGCCATTGCTCTTCTTGCGCCCAAAAAACTTGGGCAGCGGATTGCTCACCGAGCGACTGTGAGCGTGCTGTCTCGCCCCAGAAGCACGTGTCCGGCTTGGAGAGGGCGCATTGCGCTCCGGGTTGAGCGTCGGCGGGTCGAGATATTCTGGCGGCGGTCGAGGCAGTGCTTTGTCGCGCGGATTACTTGGCTGTCCGCGTGCAGGAGCAGCATTGCTGGAGCTGCCGCCGGACAGCAAGCGAGAAGACCACGGAGGCATCAGCAGTTGTGCGGAAGCTGGAGTCGATCAGGTGCTCGTCCTGTGCAACGCTGCTTTTGGTGATATCCGCCGATGACGCCCAGCGCATCCAACAGTCCGATAACCAAGAGTCGTTCGGCAGCTACTCGCCGCGCTCATCGTCTGCTGCGCCGGGAAGCAGCGAAGAAAGAGGTCGCAAGTGGCATCGACCAGCTTGAATGTCGTCACGCTCGTATGGGAAGCTCCACGTAGTCGTACTCGGGCAGTCCGCTGTCTTAGCTCTTACTGTTACGGCGGCTCCAGAACGCAGAAATAGCAGCTGCTACCGCTCTGCCTGCTCGCAAGAAAGGCCAGATCAAGCTCCAGCGAGAGGAATGGCATTGTCACAAGGCATTGTTACAGGCAGCCTCATGTCCTGCCAAGCCACCGTTCGAGTTAATGCAGCGAGGGGCTTGACTTCAGGGACCCTGCCGGATCATCCGAGGAGGACTGGCGCATAGGAACGAGACTAGCTGCACGCAATGGCTTTATTAGAGAGATTGCATTGCGGGATGTAACACGAGGCATTCAACAAACGTGGTTGGAGGAGAGGCGCACAGCTAATAACGCTCGGAATGATTTACTTTCATTTCGTACGGCCGGCAGAGTCTGCCTTGTCTGCTTGACCGAATGCAGGACCTGCAAAGTAACGCCCATTGCGATTTCATCACCCCAGAGTCCGTGAAAACGCTTCCATGCCATCGCAGTTCCAACTGAAAGACGGTGCAGTAGCTGGAACTCTGCTTGTACCATCCTCCTCTCAATTCGACATCTATCTGTAGCGCCAAAGGGAGAGCTTCTCATGGCGGCGCCACGTCTTGCGTCTGCCACCGCGGGTGTTGTTGTAGCGGTGGCCCTTGTTAAGACCTCTGCTCTTCTTGCCGGTGGCGGTGAGACCTCGCTGCTCGCGATGCTTGTGGACTGGGTTGACGATCCAGTTGATGCGGGCGTCACGTCGGATGGCCTTGTGCTGTGGGTCGACGAGGATGACCTCGTAGTACTTGTAGGTGCTGTCCTGGTTGATCCAGTAGCTGTTCAGGACGCGCAAGTTGGCGCAGCGGCGGCCGACACGCTCCTCGGCGGTGGACTTGAGCGAGCGCTGGTACTTGAGCTGGTTCACACCCTGGTTGGTCGGCTTGCCTATGCAATATGTCAGATCATTGCCCACCTTCTCCTCCATCTTTTCATTGCAAGCATACCGTAGGTTGCACCCTTTGGCACTGGCCTCTTGCGGCCACCACGGCGGACACGCACGCGGTAGATGACATAGCCCTGCTTGGCCTTGTATCCGAGGCGACGGGCCTTGTCTGGGCGAGATGGGCGAGAGGCGCGGTGGATGACGTTCAGTTGGCGGAGCTAGATTGATGTACTCTCAGCAAATGTTCAACGAGTACGATCAAGACACAAGCCCGTGCAGAAACTGCAGTGCTTTATGCCGCTCATGGGTCATCGGAAAGTCGTACCTCCCAGCAGCGCACGCGGAGCAAGAAGCGCATCACATCGGACTGCTTCTTCTTGTTGAGCTCCTCGAGATACTTGTGGGCACCCATCTGTTTTCCTCCGTCAGCTACTGCCTCGCCTTGAAGAGTTTCGACCTGAGGGAAGGATTTTTCTCCATGACCCGGATGCAGAACAGGATGTCCATGTGCGTATAGTCCTCCTCTTTCTATCTGCAGGTGGTTCAACGTACCTTGGCGGTTGTTGTCGGGTGTCGTGCCTACGTGGCTTGTCGAAGAAAGTCGAAGTTGAGATGTTCCTTTCCCCGGCAATTCAAGAGTGTGCCGCCAAGACATCTGCGGGACTTCCCGCCGGCCGTCGGCAACGAGTCCACCGTGCAGTCGCCAAGCCTCTTCCTTGCATCAGCCTTCTCAAGGACCACCACTCTTCTTGGCAAAACCGACCTCACCGATGATCTGGATATGGACATCGTCAAGATATCAGCTCATTGTCGACTTCGCGCCATCACTGTTCGCTCTCGCACTCGCACTGACAATGGCCACGACAGACCACGGGCCAGCGCTGTCGGAGGGAAGCCGATCCGCGGACCCTCGCAGGGCTGAGGTGTCGCAGACTGGCAGCTGAACGACCTCACCTGTTGATCTTTTCTCATCCTTCGAACTAGATAGGTAGCCCCAATCTGACAGCCCGCATGACATCGACTCCGACATCCGCTCTTCAGCTCTTCATTCCCTCTGTGGATCTGTTTTAACCCACTACACCCCATCTAACATCGCCTTCCAGTCCCCCTCAGCAATCTGTGGCAGTGCACCAGCCCGTATCGCAAGCTTGGATATCGTTGCGCCGGCCCTGCTGTGCTTTGGAAGCCAGACTTGAGTGACGTGGTACTGTTCTCATCACTGTAGCCTAGGAGTCCGCAGGAAGCATAGGCCTGACTACCGTCCCACCCCTCGAACACATTATACTGGAACGCGCATGACCTGCGGTTGAAACGTTGCCTTCACCGCATCCCACTAGATTTGTTGCGCGGCTTGCATCTAAGTACCTTTACGCCACACAATACATCCGATGGTTTACCGGGGAAAAGTAAGCGTGCTACCCCCCCATGAAGATCGATTTGGCATGTGGTAACGTTCTGCTTAGCCCTCGGCTGGTTGCGAAAACTGCCGCAAAGCAAAGAAGCGGTGCGGGTTGGAACAGCCGACCTGTTCAAGATGTGTCAAGCTCAAGAAACCATGTTCCGGATACCGCGACACTACCTCGCTACAGATCCAGGACGAGAGTGAATCTGTCAAGTTGAAAGTTGATCGACAGAAGGTCCGAAATTCAGCCCCAAAGACACAGCTGTCCACGCCAGACGGATCTTCGCATGGCGAAGATGACGTTGTCATACGGGCACCCAGCGCGGCGAGCACCCCTCACAGCGATTCATCATCTTCCAGCGACGATACCATCGAAGTACCTCCGGGCATTGGTGCCCTCTTACTGACCCTGAACGGCCATTCCTTTAGTACACCAGAATTCGATAGAGAGCAGCCGATCCTGCCGAGGGCTCTGAAACCATCCGCAGATGAAGTCGCTAGTACGTATTTCTTCAAGCAATTCACTGCCAGCAATGGCCACTGGCACTTCTTGCGAGACTTTTCAAGACAGCTTCAGATGGATCCGCTACTGGACATGGTCATTAGGGCATGTGGTATTGCGGCGATGGATAATGTTGAGGGTCTCGTTATGGTAGGTCCCAAGACTTTGCTCTCGCCAGAATGGCACCAGCCAAGCAGTAGATAGCTTTGGTCCGCGCAGGACTTAGGCTGACATTCAGCAGGGCCGCAATTACTCTCGCGCACTCTATGCAGAAGCTCTCAGCCGTCTGAATACAGCCCTACGGGATTCGAAACGGTGCAAGACCGACGAATGTCTCATTGCGGTTTCGATGCTTGGCTACTACGAAAACCTCACCTGCGACAGCCGGGAGTCAGTACAATCATGGAAGGCTCATATCAACGGATCAACACAGCTTCTAAAGCTCCGCGGCAAGAGTCAGTTCAAGACGCCAATAGGACGGATGCTGTTCCGAGAAACGAGAGCAAACATTCTCATCCATTGCATGTGGGACGACTTGGAACCGCCGGCGTTTCTCTGGGATTGGGAAAAGGAACTCGAGAGAATGACGCCTACTGCTGAGATTATCCACCCTGCCGACGGACTAACGAAAATCTGCTTTAGGTTTGCCTCGCTCAAGAATAGAATGCGTCTGAGCCAGCTTTCGGATTCTGAAGCTTTGGAGAAAGCGACGGAAGTCGAAATGGAATTCGTTCAGTGGTCGATCAATACCATCGATCAGGACAAGATGTGGCATTACCACGACGTCGAAGTCCCCGATTCCCCGCACGTCTGGAACGGCGTCGTACACTCCTACACTTGCCACCCCTGCGCGAGTTTCTGGAATACATACCGCAGCATGAGGATCCTCCTCACACGAACCCAGGAACTCCTGGTCCGGCGCTTCCAACTCGACCAGGAGCAAGAAGCTGCTCAGATCAACTACTTCCGCAGCGTCCGGAGACAAATGGCCGATGAAATCTGCGCCAGCGTCCCGACACAACTCGGCCATGCCTCCCCAGCTTTCAACTCTCCCTGTATCCTCATCACGGCTTACGGATCCATCTGGCCTCTCTTCTTCGCGGGAACCTGTGCGCTCGAACGTCTCGGCTTAGGCGGAGCCTTCCAAAACCCCAGCTCCGAATGGCAATCCGCCACCTCCGCCGCCGCGGCCCAAGCCTCCTGGATCATCGGCCGGATGGAATACATTTCCAAGCACGTCGGACTCAGGTGGGCCGATGGGATCGCCGCGACTCTCAAGGGAGACTACAAGATGCACCAGAATCTGCATGAAGATGACTGGGGAGTGAATACGTTTATCAAGGTGTTTTGGAAAGAGCGGTATCAATGTGAAATGTCCCAGATGGAAGAGAGAAAGGCGCAGACTCCGGATTGGTTGCGAGAGGTGGAAGAGAGTGGCAGGGGACCAAGAGTCTTGATCGAGAATCCTATTGATGAGATGCTGAATCGGAAGAGGGATGATTGGGGCCCGCTGTGGTTGGGACGGACGGAAGAGACGAATATGAGACAGATGGAAGAGTCGCAGAGGGGGTTACTCTGAATTGAGTGGGATTCTGGCTGTCACGGGCATCCGGATCAGGATCTATTTCTACGCGCAAGCAGATTTACTCCCATTCCTGGACCGAAATGGCGCCTGGATATCAGATCCTCGTGTATCGCAGGTATGGCTTGACCTCTCGCACACTACCGAACTTCTCTTTGGCGGCCTCGGTGGATACGCTGGGCGGCACAATGACATCCTCACCAGCCTGCCAATCGATCGGTGTGGTGACGCCCTTCTTGTCCCCGGTCTGCAAGCTATCAATCACCCGCAGGACTTCCGAAGTATTCCTTCCTGTCGATGCCGGGTACATCATTGTCAGTCTGATCTTCTTGGCGGGATCAATGATGAAGACGCTGCGGATCGTAAAGGCGATTTGGTTTTTGTCGACGTTCTGGAGGTCCTGTTGGTCGACCATATCGTAAAGGAAGGCAACCTTTTTGAATGTCAGAAGGGGGAATATGCTGAACGATGCGGGCGGGAAAGCCCATACCTTTCGGTCTGCATCTGCGATGATGGGGAATTGGAGTTGTGTCTTGGAGATCTCATTGATATCTTGAATCCATGCATCATGGCTCTTCAAATCATTGGCCGACTGTGACGAAGAAACGACACTCTGTATCAGCTTAATGGTTCATAGAGATATACCCCCCTTAGGTAGGTAGAGCGCTATGTGAAGATGACATACCAAGCCGATCATCTTGACTTGTCTCTTTTCGAACTCATCCTTCAGGCGCGCGAATGCTCCGAGTTCGGTGGTACAGACGGGTGTGAAATCGGCCGGGTGCGAGAAGAGGATTGCCCATTTGCCGCCCAGCCATTGGTGGAAATCGATGTCGCCGTGTGTTGTCTTTGCTTGGAAGTTGGGTGCTTCGGAACCTAGCCGTAGGCGTGGTTGTTCTGTTCCTGTTACTGGGGTGGCGAGGAAGCGTTTGAAGATGGGAGAGGCGCGCTGGCTCGGGAAGGCATTGTAGGTTGTCGAGAGGCGAGCTGAGGTGCGGAGGGCGGTGCGAGCGAAGGAAGCCATGCCGAAGAGTCGAATGCGGTCCGTTGTTCGTGATTGTTGTATCGTGTTGACATTCGAACTCGACTTGAGGTACGAACATTTCTACGTCAATGTCTTGCTTGACCCAGTGGCGTCATCCCAGGCTGGGGAGTCCCAGCTTCAGGGGGGCACGGGTCAACATCGGCCAACGTCTCCGTCCCGCCGGGCTGCTCTTAATATATTTCCACTTCAACCTCACTCCTCCAGCCTGCTCTTTCGCGTCCGAGGTAGAGTCGGAGGCAGCTTTGATATTATCGGAAGAAAACGCCCTGACGCGGAGCACAGCATCTGCAATCAACAAGCTCACGACTGACCGCCGCGCCTGCAGCCCTCCCGACTCGAGGTTCTCGTCCCCGCTTCGCCCCGTCCTCTAATAATGGAACCTGAGAGCATTCACCGTGGAGTGCCCCTCCTTGCTTGCTGGCAGCATACAACACAACGCCAAGAACGCGTACCGGATGCATGCCCAAGATAATTTCGCAAAGTGGCCCGAATGCAGCATCCCATCCTGTCTGTCTCATCAGCTTCACTAGCAGCACTGGCGGCGCCTTTCAAGTTCCCATCAAGGTCTCGTGTCCTCTCGCCGCCGCCAACACTTTGCGAGAGAACCGAATACAACCAACTCGCCCTTCCTCCAGGATCCTCGTTCGACATTTCCTCGACTGCGACCCGCTATGGTGACCGGATAAGTGCGTCAGAATCACTGAACAGCCACGCTCTGCCCTCCCTGCCAATGAAGGAATGCATCCTGCACGCTCCGCACATTCCATGTGAATTTATGCTTCTGACCGGATGACGATCATCGCCAATCAGCCCTCCGGCCTGATGACTAGCTTGTGAACGGCCTCGCTGATGCTACAGCGACGTCGTATTCCTTCATTCTTCGTGTCACCTCTATTTCGAACATTTCTCTTCTCGATCTTGAGCATCTGTCCCCGCCCATATTTGTACTGCAACGTCTTTTGCGGCAAGAGAGAAGCACATGTTCCCTTTTTTGCTACTCTAGCATATCTGTTTGTTTTCAATAACTCCCTGCGTTTCACTTCAAGAAGCGAGGCTCGGTAGGGACGACAGGAACCTCAACCCTATAGCATCAACCTCAGCGAGGCGCCAAAGCATGTTCAACAATATCATTCTAGCTGCTACCGCAGCAGGCTGGTATTCGGTGGCTGCATGGCCGCTTCAGGCGAGAAGTTCCGATGGGTGTGGCATTCAGCATCAGACCGGCTTCAACAACAGTACCAGCAACCATCAAGTGGTGTCTGGAGGCCGTACTCGTACCTACGCTGTCAACGTACCACTAGACTACAACCAGGATACGACCAAGCGACGGGCTGTGATCTTCGATTATCACGGCAACAGCAGAACGCCCTACGAACAGTATCAGGACTCGTTGTATTATGAATACTCAGCAGGCGAAGAGTATCTTGTCATCTACCCAGCTGGTGTGAACAAGTCTTGGGAAGGTCCGACGTATGCCGCCAAAGGAGTCGATGATCTTCAATTCACTACGGATCTTCTGGCCCAAGTTCGCGAGTCGTATTGTGTGGACGACAACCAAGTGTACGCCTCTGGCAAGAGCAACGGCGGAGGCTTCGTCGATCTGCTTGCTTGCTCTGACAACGGCGATGAGTTCTCCGCCTTCGCAATGGCTTCTGCAGCTCTCTACACCGACACCAGCCGGAACTCTTGCAACAAAACGCGTGCAATCCTGGAATCTCATGGCGACGCGGACCAGACCATCCCTTATGTCCCCCTCAAGAACGGATCCGGAGGTCCTCTGCCGGATGTGGGACAGTGGGTGAGCTGGTGGGGAGACCGCACTTGTCCCGGTGCTTCGCCTGTCGAGTCCGGCGATCTGGGGGGCTACAACACCACGACCTATTCTTGCGGGTCATACAACGAGGTCATCGGCCACTACCAGATTTTCAATCTGGGACATTGCTGGCCCAGCTCGACCGGTGACAATTTCGACAGCAGCAAGTCGGATTGTCAGGATCGATCGCTGGATTACACGCCGGTAGTACTCGACTTCTTTTCGAGGTGGAATTTGAGCAATGCGCCTAACTAGGCGTCACAGTCAGACGGCTAGCATTTGCGAAGCAGCGATGGTCATAGATGGATCTTTTAGCAGAATATGTTGGGAAAAGTTTGCCACATACCTACTCCCTTCTTCTTGTCCAATATGCTAAGCGGTTAACCAATCCTTGTCGCCGTCATCTTAGCCGCGAGCTTTCTCTCACGCGCTCTCCCACCTGCCTCTTTCTCAGGCGCTTCTTTAGAAGCTGAAGCTTCCGGGTAGAGACTTCAATCAAATCGAATATTGACGGACGCGCACTAAGTTTTGGTGGGTTTGGTGAAGCTCTAAATCCTAACCTTGTTTTTCGCGATATCTCGACGACTTAGATAGATATTCAAAATCTAGGAGATGAATCCTAGATTTTAGCTTAGCTAGCTACTAGTTAGATAAGATATATAGATCTTGAAGAAACGTAACTATAGTATAGCGAGAATATAAAAGTTATGTTCTTTTCGTACTACCCACTAAACCCCTAAATCCTACTAGAAGCGCTCGGTATCCGTAGGAATGTGTCTCCTGGGGGACAGAAAGAACGGGACAATGAATGTTGGTCTTGGCAGGCTGGAGCTCTCGAATTTTGCCGATCTGTCCCGTTTTTTCTGTCCCCCAAGAGTGTGTGTCTAATATCTGGCATATACGACCGTAGGAGGGGACGGTTAGCCTAATTTAGCCGAAAAGCGGGATTTGTTATTAGATGTGGAGCGTGCGAGCTTGCGTGGGTCGATGACCAGGACGTAAATCTCCAACGACACTTCTTGACGTCTCTCTTTCACACTACGGTTCAAGTCCATGGTTATCGAGCAGTCAGCAGCCTTACGCCGGAGATACTCCCGCGACGACACCGCGACGAAGCCACCGATGTCAATGTCAGGACGCAACGCGGCCACGGAAGACTCCGACGTCCGGAGACGAGCATTGGGACTCATCATGCGAAGCCATGCTTAGACGGCATCTTGATCCACTGGAAGCCAATCACGGCGCATCTTTGTGCCAGCGGCGAGTTTGTCCCATGAAGATGTTGGTGAAGAATACGGGCTGCGAGGGGCTTGTCCGGTCGCTGGCGATGTGCGAGTTGAGCAGCACGCCGCACCGCACTTCGGCGTCGCAACACCTACGACTCCTCTGGTATCCCACGCGGCCCTTCGCATTGCAGCCAAACGAGCAGCTGGAATTGAGGTATTCGACAGACTTCCAGTTAGGCGGAAAGTAAGGGCAGAGCAGAGTTCGAGACCTTGGCGCAGTTCGACGTCACCGATCCCGACACATCCGCCCACCAGCGACGTCTGTACCTTGCCGGGCAGCGCGCGTTGTTTGTTGCGAGAGCTCCGCGGTTTCTCGTAATGACTGCTGAGGTGAGCAAGAAAGTCAGCTCTTTGTAGGGACCAAGTCTCCTCTCCTCTCCTCTTCACAGCTCACGACTCACCACCTCTCATCCATCGATCTATTCAGGCTTCACCTGAAGCTCCACTGACTACACAATGGCTTCAGACAATGCGTTGGACAACTTGACTGCCGAGGCAGACTCTTGGTCTGTCTACACCAAGACTCGTTCCACCATCAACGAACAGCCGCTCAGCCAAGATGAGCTCGAGAAGACGACAAGATATATGCGCGCGACCCTCTACCTGTGTTTGGGCATGCTGTACCTCAAGGAAAACCCGCTGCTGCGAGAGCCATTGAAGAAAGAGCACATCAAGCCCCGACTGCTGGGACATTGGGGAAGTGACGCTGGACAATCCTTCACGTGAGTTCTGCAGAGGTTGCAAGACCAATCCGGACGCAATTGATATTCGATAGCTACATTCACATGAACCGCCTCATCAAGAAGTACGATCTTGATGCTTTCGTCATTTCCGGTCCTGGCCATGGAGCTCCTGGTCTCATCACCAACTTCTACCTCGAGGGCGTCTACAGCGAAGTATATCCAAACAAGAGCGAAGATGTCGAGGGCATGCAGCGCTTCTTCAAGCAATTCTCCTTCCCCGGAGGCATTGGAAGCCACATGACACCGGAGACACCAGGCTCCATCCACGAAGGTGGTGAGCTTGGTTACTCTCTTTCGCACGCTTTCGGAGCAGTCTTCGACCACCCTCAAACCATTGCTCTCACCATCGTGGGTGACGGAGAGTCAGAGACGGGGCCTTTGGCCACCAGCTGGCACAGCAACAAGTTTCTCAACCCGATCACCGATGGGGCTGTACTGCCTGTTCTGCATCTGAATGGCTACAAGATCAACAACCCTACGATCCTTGCTCGTATCTCGGAGGAAGAGCTCAAGGCTCTCATGAAGGGCTACGGTTGGGAACCATACTTCGTGGAGGGTTCAGATCTCGACACTATGCACCAGGCCATGGCCGGTACTCTCGAACACTGCGTAAATGAGATTCGCAAGTTCCAAAAGCAGGCTCGTGATTCGGGCAAGGTCTTCAGGCCAAGATGGCCAATGATTGTCCTCCGCTCCCCCAAGGGTTGGACTGCTCCACGCAAAGTGGAGGGACATTATCTGGAAGGCTTCTGGCGTGCGCATCAAGTGCCGCTTCCCAAGGTGCATAACGACCCAGAGCAAATGAAGATGCTAGAAGAATGGATGCGCGCATACCAGCCAGAGAAGCTCTTCACCGAGGAGGGAAAGTTGGTTCCTGAGCTTAAGGAGCTGGCACCGCCGAAGGGCAAGAGGATGGGTGAGAACCCGATTACCAACGGCGGTGTCATCCGCAAGCCACTGAAGCTGCGAGACTTCAAGGACTTCGCTATCAAGGTCGACAAACCGGCAATCACGAGCGCGCCGAGCATGAATACCTTCGCCGAATTCCTACGAGACATCGTCAGGGACAACCCGAAGACATTCCGTGTTATGGGACCTGATGAGACTGAAAGCAACAAGCTCTCCGAGATTTATAAGGCGGGAAAGAAAATTTGGGTTAATGGATACCTTCCTGAAGATGAGGATGGCGGAAACCTTGATCCCAACGGACGTGTCATGGAGATGCTCTCTGAGCACACTGTAGAAGGCTGGCTCGAAGGTTACATCCTGAGCGGTCGCCACGGCATGCTCAACTCGTATGAGCCTTTCATCCACATCATCGACTCCATGGTCAACCAGCACGCGAAGTGGATTGAGAAGTGTTTAGAGGTCTCGTGGAGACAGGCTGTCTCGTCTTTGAATATCCTTCTTACTAGCACGGTCTGGAGACAAGGTGAGAACTTCAGAATCTAGTTGCCATACTCAAGATGCTAACGAAAGTCGTTAGATCACAATGGCTTCACGCATCAAGACCCGGGATTCCTCGATGTCGTCTGCAACAAGTCGCCGGAAGTCGTCCGCATATACTTGCCTCCGGATGGCAACTGCCTGCTGTCCACAATGGACCACTGCTTCAAGAGCACCAATTACGTCAATGTTATCGTCGCCGACAAGCAAGTGCACCTTCAATACCTCAACATGGACGCTGCCGTGGAGCACTGCTCAAAAGGTCTGGGTATCTGGGATTGGGCGTCAAACGATCAAGGACAAGAGCCAGATCTTGTGATGGCATCGTGCGGTGATGTCGTGACCCAAGAAGCACTTGCTGCAACAGCGCTCCTGCGACAACACCTGCCTGAGCTTAAGATTCGTTTCGTCAACGTCGTCGACCTCTTCAAGCTCATGCCAAACGGCTACCATCCTCATGGTCTTACGGACGTTGAATACGGCGCCATCTTCACCACCAACAAGCCCGTCGTCTTCAATTTCCACTCTTACCCATGGCTCGTCCACCGCCTGACGTACAATCGCAAGGGCCAAGATCTCATGCACGTACGTGGCTATAAGGAGAAGGGCAACATCGATACGCCCCTTGAGCTTGCCATCCGGAATGAGAGTGACCGCTTCTCCCTCGCTGTCCGTGCCATTGACAGCTTGACCGAAGTTCTTGGCAACAAGGGCGCTGGACCACGTGAAAAGCTTATCGAGGAACGTATCCGGTCCATGAACTACGCGTACGAGACCGGTCTGGATCCAGAAGAGTTTACGAACTGGAAGTGGCCTTTCTGAAACCTTGCCCAGCGAAGCTTTGCAGGCTAAGAAAGGGGAGAGGGATGGGGAGTATCAGGATTGGGCAAAAACGGCGAAGTACTGCGTCGGCAATTAGATGTAAAGTTTTGGGTTGACAGGCAATACGCATGAGATCACGGTGAGGATAGAAACGACATAACTTTTTCTCACGCTTCAACCCTTCTTCAACTTGGGTGCTTTTGTTCTGGCAATCTTTGTCTTTCCTCAGCTACAGGATCTGCACGACTTCGCAAAACCTCTGTCCTGTTGTCTCCTCTCCCGTCGTGCGACAAGGACGAATGAATATCAAATCTTCGCCCGTATGATCTTGCGGGTATGGCTATCCTGGTCATGTAGCCAGGCAGCTTCCGCGCGTGGATTTGTACATGGTAGCAAGCTCCATCCTCGCTCTCTGAAAGCTTCTCGCTATTGGCTAAGGGGTGTTCAGGGGGAGGCTTCTTTTTCTCATCTACACCAACGACGACGAAAGATTTGCTTCTACTTATTTACTGCAACTCCAGAGCCCCCCAAGCGAGCGATGTCTACAAGGAACGCGGAAGATATGGACGATAAACGATTCATTCTCCAGAATGACGATAGTACTCCGGCCGTTGAGCGCGAGAATGCGCTACCTTCTCCCTCGACGACGGATGAGAAGGGACTCCATCATGACACCGTCGCCCCCGAGGCTATTGGAGGGACGGAAGGCGATCTCCCGGCGAATTATTATCTCTCTGCGAGGTTTTTGGGGACGCTGATTGCGACTTGTTTGGCTCAGGTGGGTTGATGTAAGAGGACTTTTCTGCGCTGTTAAGATGGCTGACGTTTCGGATGTAGATTTCTGGATACCTTGGATGGGTTCTACCCGCGAATACGATTTCACTCATCGTTGCGGAACTTGGTGGTGGGAGTCATTCGATTTGGTTGGCCGTTAGTTGGCAGATTGGATTTACGGTTGGGTTCCTGTGGATTGGACGGGTGAGTTGATGAACAGCACTAGCTCTTTTTTCTGTTTGGAGACGGAACTGACCAGACGATTGCAGTTGAGCGATATCTTTGGACGACGATGGTATGTACTGATTGACGTCGGAAGCAGGATGAAGCAGAAGCTAACGGGTTCGAAAGGTTCTTCATGGGCTCATCGATTCTCGCGGTCTTTGGAAACATCCTCGGATCATGCGCCCAGTCGATTAACATGCTGAGTGCTTGCAATTGTATCAATGGCCTCGCGGCCGCGGGACAACTCTCATTTTCGGTTGTTCTGGGTGAGCTGGTATCGAATAGGAACCGCGGTATCTTCAACACCATCGTGCTGTCGACTTCGGTGCCATTTGCTGTTTTTGGACCTCCGATAATGCGGGTATGTGGATTGGCAGGAAATGAAGGGCAGAGACGGAGGCTGACTGGGAGTGCAGGCATTCTTCCAACACACGGCTTTGACCTTTCGATGGAGTTACATTCTTGGAATCATCGTAAACACCATCGCCGTGGTGCTCTATTTCTGCTTCTATCATCCGCCAGGCTACGATCTCCTCCACGTGGGCGGAAAATCGAAGCTTCAGCAACTCATGTCTTTTGACTGGTTTGGAATGGTCCTCTTCACTTCTGGTCTGACCGTGTTCCTCATTGGATTGAACTGGGGTGGCAACGTTTATTCCTGGAGCGATGCACACGTACTACGAGCTTTCTTCGCCGGAATCGCCGGGATGGTGGCCTTCTGCGTGTGGGAGGCTTATTGTCCACATGAGTATCCACTGATGCCGATGAAGCTGTTCCGCAATCTCAAGTATGATGCCATCGTAGCCTGCGCCGCGATTGGCGCCATGGTGTACTATGCCGGAACGGTTCTCTGGCCTACGATGGCGGGCGCTCTGTTCACCACTTCCGTCATCCACGTCGGTTGGCTGTCCTGCGCAATGGGAGGTGGTCTGCTGATTGGGCAGATATCCGCAGGTATTGGCGTCCGATATCTACCCAGGATGAAGATCCAAATGACCATCGGTGGAATTATCATGATGGCCTTCATCGCAGCCATGGCATCAGCGGACCCAGATTCCGAAGGGCGAACAACAGCATTCCTTCTCATCGGTGCCGCCGGAGCTGGCTACGTGGAGAATCTGACGCTTTCCACGATGGCGTTGGTCTGGGAAGCCGATGATATTGGACTCGTTGCGGGCGTGATGGGATGTATCCGTACAGCGGCCGGGGCGCTGGCCACGTCGATGTACAGCAGCATCTTGACGACTGAGCTCACCAAGTATCTTCCGAAATACGTTGTCCCGGCAGCGGTGGAAGCTGGACTTCCCGCCACGAGCGTTCCCGCTCTACTAGCTGGAATCAGCAGTGGAAGCTTCGATGATGTGCCTGGAATTACTGAAAATGTCTTGGGAGCGATTGCAGATCCGATCAAACATGCCTACACCTTGTCATTCCGAACAGTCTTTCTGTGTACGATACCGTTTAGCGCGATCTTGCTGGTGGCGGGCGCGGTGTACTGCCCGAACGTGGAGGACTACATGACGGAGGATGTCGCGAGAAAGCTGCAGGGTGTTCGACCGAGATCTAAAAGTGCGCGACCAAAGACAAGTGCGGTATAAAGATTTGCACGTGAATTTTTTGTCGTTGCTTTCTCGCCCGCTCCCGCTCCTTCCTCGCCTGCGGTCGCCGTGGTAACCGTCCACTTCTGGTTTACTGTGAGAGCGAGAACTCGCAGCTCGTTGCCGCCCGCCGCCCTTTCATTGACATTTCGCACCGAACGCAAGCGGCAAAAGTTGTCTCGCCGTCGCTTTTCCTCTGTTGCACAACCGACAGCGATCCAGCAGCATGGCATCAAGCCACGCCGTAGAGACGGTAATGACTCGATCAGAGTCCCATCCGCTTAACTCCACTCACGATGGCGCTGTGTCAGCCGTCAAGGTCGATGTCTTCCGCGAGAGATTGAGCGAGGCAGAGTTCCAGACGTACGAATGAACAGTCTCGCTACTCACGACGATGATTGGCGTGCCCTCTCCCTCATGACACGAGACTCAGCTGATGACGCGACTCCAAACCTGAGCGTTCGATCTCCATTTACGGTGTTTGACCCTTCCCGCGAAGATTTTGGTCGCCCTGGAATTCAGGCGCTGCCGGGGGACGTCTTGACGGCTCGGTAGGACGGCGGCGACTTGGATCCTCCTTTATTCCATGTGGTGGTCCGTTATTTCATCCAGGCTTTTGACGAAATGCACGACGAAAGATACCACAAGATGAGCGAGGAGGGGAAGATGGCGGTAAAGAAGCGGATCTATGCTTCGCTGAATCCTGAAGATTTCCGAGAGTTCTTCGAGATCGAAAGGACTCGGCGGGCTGCGTTGGGCAAGTCTACGTATCTGAACTTAAAGCTGCCTGAGGTGCCGAGGAGTGATGCTGGAGCCAAGTATTGTGGCTACTGTGGGAGAGGAGTGAATGGGTTGGGTCGCCAGCTATCGATGTGCAGCAACTGTAGATGTACTTGGTCCTGCGGAAGACAGTGTCAAAAGAATGCGTGGAAGATGCACAAGATCAATTGCAAGAGCCCGAGCGAAGAGAAAGAGAGGCGAGGACCACCAATGTGGGCGAAATACCACCGGCTTGAAGGTACGAGCGAGGATGCCGAGTTGTCGAGGAAGCGTTGAAAGCTAGTTTGGAGTTATGACGCCGCACTTCTGGTGCGGTTGCCGTAGCGCTGGAGACGCAGACTCGTTGCTGGATGCAAAGAGCTTCGATGATGGTAGGTATATGGACCAACTCCAGGCCAGGTGTCCAAGATGCTCCTCGCATGATGGATCCAGATAGTGTGACAGTGTCTTGTTTGCCACAGGAAAGTGCATCAAAATGGCTACTCCATGTCTCGAGCCGTAACTGGAAAGTGGTAGAAACCGTCGCAAACCTCGAGTGAATGGCTGTCAGCGTGACTCAATTGTCCGTGCTTCACGGCCACTCTCTCACCTATACAACGCTGAATTTGCCCGCCAACAGCAACTCGCATCAGCACCTACCAAGTCTTCAGAAGCTTCACACATCTACGCATCAGTCGAAACCTCCGCTCGGCCTCCGCTGTGGTCCCAATCGCTCCCACCGCTGCCGAGGAACTTCACCTCCCACGGGGGGTGAAGCTCAGATCCTTGCCTCTGGCTGGAAGCATGGCCTCCTCGGTCACGATCGTGACAATTACTAGCGCCTTTGATGGTTTGGCTGGTAGAGGTGCCTCAAGACAACAAGACTGGCAGCCGATGCGCACAGCCATTAGACGTGGAAGTGCCCGTGACGTGAGAAAGGTGAGGTCGAATCCCGCGGGCCCAAGCGTCGGGAATGACAGCCCGAAAGCTTCACTCCACGGACAACTCGACAACTTCAACCGCACTTTCTCTTCCTCATTCGACACATTGCGGCCGCGTGATATGGCTGCAGCAATGACATCTCAACCGCCTCCAAATCCCAAATCCTCTATACCGAATCCCTCGCGCTCGCCTCTACCGCTCTCCGCCAGCCAGGAACAGCAGGTCCGTGAGCTCTACTTCAAGAGAGTGCGGCAAAAGTGTGCAGATGAAGTCAGAGGTATACATTAGCACGAGCATGATAGAGCTCTCCACTTCACTTGGCTGACAATGGCGCTTTCAGATTTTGCAGCATGTTGTAGCTCTCGGACATTCACCGCCACCTTTATGTGTCGAAAAGAACAGAAAGCGATGAACAATTGCATGAAGCAGTACGCCACGCAAGCCGAGCAAGACGCGGCGAGAGAAGAGTGGTTCGCTACCATTGACAAGAGAAGGGAGGAGAGGGAAAAGAAAGAGGCAAAGAGGAAAGAGGATGAGAAGTTCTGGAAGGAATGGTGGGATAAGGATTCCAAGAAGCCTGGTCACGCCGATGAGAAGAACTAAGCCATCGAGGAGCAACACAGCTCCATTTACGACGACAAGGCGTTTGCGTGTTTTCACGTCGGCGGTGACATGGAATACGTGCTCAAAGGGTGCTCGAGACAGCTCTTGGCTGTTGATATGGACCGCACTGCGGCTCCAGTGCCATTCATCACAGCACGAAATTATCTGGATTGAATTGGGGCCGCTCTACATGGCAAGGCCGACATGGGCACCCCTCACCTCCATCATCTCCGGCTCTACAGCCTGCGGTTGCGCAAGGCCAGCTCGCGCTTCTCGCATGTCTCTCTGCCGCGCTGGACTTTCTCGCGTCATGTAACTGGGTGGGTTTCCTGGTGTCTCGTTCTGAGCTGCGGCCATGGCCTCGTCGTATGTTGGCGATGGTAGTGTTGGCGTATCTGGGGAGATCGGCGAAACGACTGGCTGTAGGTGCAGCAGATCTGGATTGGCTCTCACGCTGTCTCGCCAGCGCCCATAAGCGGGAGGCGGGTTTGGCACTGTCCGGACATCCTTGTCCCACTCTCCACTTCCTGGTCTTCCGCTTGCTGTGGTGTTGACTGGAACGCTGCGATCTTCTCTAATGTCGTCAGAGGATAGGTGGACCTGTATTGGCGTTGGAGGCACGAAAGCATCTTGGTCATCTGGAAAGTTCGGTACACGGCGCAACCGCGGATGCCTCTGACAATGATGACGGTGGTGTCCGTGGTGTCTGCGCTGATGACCGGGTGCTGAAACTGCCACGAACAACGGTCTGTTGGGCGATCGCCTGCCAACGATGAATAATCGGATCACCGAATGCGCGAAGACAATGGTCGCCAAGCAAATTCCAAAGATAAACATGACATGGAAGGTAGTCGACAAGTCTGTCTCTGTTGTCGCAATTGATACATCTGCACCGAGTTAGGATCTGGATGCTGAGAACAGCGAATATTTTGAACTCACAGGTTGCGACTAGCGCGGCCAGCAGTAGAGAAGCGAGCAGACAGAGAATGCTTCGCGATCCAGGAGTCTCCGCAATTTTTCGAGACCTGTACGACCTCTTCTTTGCTTTCCGTTTCGGTATTTGGGCTTTCTGTTGCTCGAAGCTCTCCAGGGATCGATCGCTCAGATCTGGATGACGAAGGGCTGCCACGGCTCTGGTATTGAACATCGCGGATTGACGTGCCATCTCTTGAACCCTATCCTGATAGCTTCGTGGAGGCTCCGGAAAGTCGGCCACTCTTTCGGAGAGATGTGTCGTTGACGAGCCTGCGGATCCTGACGACACTGGACTGGGCAAGACTTCGGGTCTTGGCAAAGGCGAGGGATGGACATCACATCTTCGTGGCGCGTGTGTTGGCGTTGCAGGAGAGCTCTTGACGGATCCGAAGACCGAAGTTCGAAGAAGATTCCGGACATTATCTTGGACGCGCGAGAGCCGGGATGGACGTTCGTCTTCTAGGATGCCTGCCTCCAAGGCGCTCGAATCTGGCAGTGGAGAGCGCATTGGGCTGCTGTCTGGCTCTTCTGGGAGGGGATTGCGGTTGGCGCGAAAGGGAGTGCCGAATCTTTGAACCATTGAGAGGGAGAAAGAACGACCGCAGGAAACGAGGCAGAAGCAGAAGAAGAAATGACAGACGAGTTCTCCACCGGCCGGAGGTGAACGAACGCAACCACAGCGAACGTGGAAGGAGACGAACAAGACACGCAAGTGAGAGATGGTCGAGTCTTATTTCATCTCGCGCTCCTGCAAGGAAGCAGCAGTAAGTAGTCGAAAAGTAAACAATGCAATCGCCGTAGAACCAGAATAAAATTGCCACTTCATGTAACTAGAACGAAAGGTCGCATGTACGAGGACCTTACAGCTCCAGGTACCGTCACAGCCTATCGAATCCGTTACTCACTCCCATCAGCAGACATACCTTGCCGCGACGTGCATGATGTTGGGGTTACACACTGGAGGAGGACGCCCGAACAAGTTCGGTACTTCGAAGACGCCTGGAGACTATGCATCGCCTCTCAAAATCCCATCGGTGCAGAAACTGTAACAGTTGTCAGAGAAGAGTGCTTGTGAGAATGCTTGGATATGTTTCATCTGCATGCTGCGAACGAAACAGAAGAGGGTGTGTGGTTAGACGCCCTCCACAGCTCGGTCTACGGAAATAAACTTCGCGGCTTTACTGCATTCGGGATGGCGCCGTTCATGTGATGTGCCTTGTGAGCCAATCACGCATCGAGAGAACTTCGAGTCTCAGACCCAACAAACACTTTCGCGACTTGGGATCACTTTACATGGGAAAAGTCCACCCGCCACAGGATATAGCGGTACTTGATGAAAGGAAGAGGAAAAAAGCGAGAGTGTAGTCGCGCGGCACTTTTGAGAGACTATGTATGTTTCAGAAGCAACGAACAACAATGAGGTGTGTAGGAAGTGAGACATACATTAGCGTGAGTGAGACGGGGGTGGACATGTTCTATGCATGTGAGTTGTCTGTACCTATCGCCACATAGATCTTACTACGCAGTGGGGATGGGGCTGTCGTCGTCGTCAAAATTCCCCATCGCTATAGATTCCAAGAAACGGCGGTGTATGAGGCCTAGCAAGTTCCAAGATTCGTTTATGTTCCAGAGTCTGGGGCCTATACCGTCAATCTATCGTGGCTGATGCATCATGGCGGCCCAAGGAATCAATGGGTACGCGTAGACGTTAACGAAGTCCATTCCAAGATATTCCTATTCCTCCGCTTCTTGCTCTTCCCCCTCAGCACTGGTCAGACTCATTCCGCTGACGCTAGGCGTCTCATTTCCCTTCTTCGAACTCCCGCCGGAGCTTTTGCCCAACTTCAATACGCTACTCCAATTCCTGACACTACCCCTATTGCTCCCTTCCTTTTCTTTCTCCTTGGCCGGCATACTTCCCACGCTAGCGCTCATCTCTTCGCCGTCCTCTTCCGCCTCCGCGCGCAGAGGCGCACTGGTTGGAGGATCCTGCTGTCTGGCCGTCTTCTCACGCTTGAAGGTCGGCATTGTGAACTTACTCGAGCTCGACTTCCTTGAGAGCTTCTGCATGAAACTCTCCTTGCCTGAGCTACCTGCTAACATGGGCGAAGGCGCCGGTGCATCGGAGGTGGAGTAGGATGGCGTGCCTGCCAAGTCGACCGAGTTGCGAGATGATTCGGCGAGGGAAGATTCGTTGGTCGTCATGGAGTATGTATCCCGTGTGTCTTTGGATTTGCGGCTGTGGGGAGGCGATTCATCGAACTCGCCCTTATCCAGGTTAGGGGTTCCGCTGCTAGAGGCGGTGCCGTCTTTACTCTTGTCTTTGGTCAGTTTCATGCTGGAGAAGAAGCTCTTGAAATCCTTGGCAGCGGGATTGAGTCTGGTACCATCAGGAGAAGACGTGACTGCGGCTTTCTCGGCCTTCTTGGACCCAGCGGGCGGCTTCGTGCCAATCGCGCCCAATTGCGCTGCGCGGTACGAGTCATGAAAATCGGAGTCATCGTCTTCTAAGATGTCTTCTGGTGGATCGTTGCCCTGCTGTACAGATGGCCGCCGCGAGGGATGCCGAGAGCCAAAAAGACGTGATTGTTGGGGAGTGTTCCATCCTGGGGCCCCGAAAGCGAGTGGACTACTGCGCGCACCACCTGCAGCATCATTAGACGGCCAGGTGTCTATTCCCCAACGGCTGCTGTCCATCGAGGGTCTCGGTAGCTCGGTTGAATGAGTGGAATCTGGCCTTGGTGAAGCCGGCCTTCGAAACGCGCTGGGCCATCCGTCGTTTGTCTTGTCCCTACTAAAGAAATTGAGTGCACGACGGCTTCTAGACAGTGGCGGGGGTTGCGGACCTTCGAACATGCCGTCTCCGTTCACAGAGGGATTGCTGAAAACAGATGCAGAAATGCTGCTGTTCCGTTTCCTACTGTTCGAGTCGATCCCTGGTGTGCCCTGATCCTGCCGGGGCATGGAATGGCTCTGAGCCTTTCCAAGCGCCGGTCCCTCGTCCGCGGATGTGGTTTTAGCTCGCTGCTTAATGCCGAACATACCGCTAAATCGACTTCCAGCTCCGCCACCGCTCGTCGCACGATTTGAACGATTAGATCGGACCGAGCGGCGGTCGGCATCCATGAATTGCTCTGGCGAGCCAATGTAGAGATTCTGCTGACTCGCGTGTGGACTGGCAAAGACGCTGGCAGATCTGCTGCTAGCCGAGGCAGGGGACGCAGGACCTGGACCTGGATATTCGTGGACTGGCTGAGTACTTGGACCCGGAATGCCTGGCAAGCCGGGAAGAGACCCGAGGCCAGGAATCGGTCCAATAGACCCGGTCGAGGGCCTATCCTCTCCATCGCCGAACAAATTCGTGGGCAAATACTGTGCACCTGCTTCTGGACTCATTGGCGCGCCACCAGTCAGATGCTCTCTTTCCTCCTCCGACATCGTGATCTCTTCTGTGGGGGCGGAAATGGTCATGCCGTTTTGTATGTTCAGGAAAGGGGCAGACGAAAACATCGACGCGGTACTAGTTGCCGCCGGAACGAATGGAGCAGAAGTGATGGGGAAGCCTCCCATGCGTGGACTGTCGGATGAGCTGTGCCCGCTCTGCGCTCGTCGACTGCGTTGGCTGTCTCCTCTCCGAAGTGGACGTTCCAATGTAGGCGGAGGAGATGCGATGTGAGCAGCCTGTTCCTCCTGCTTCCTTCGAGCTCGCAAACTTTCCAGATACGCAACTTGCTCCCTATGAAAAATTTTAGCTTGTTCCAACTTTTGGTAAGCAATGGTGTACTGCTGCTGCATTTGAGCGTAATGCGTATCCCATTGCCTCTTTTCCTCGGCATCCTGCTGAAGCTGCTGAACCAGGTTTGGCTCTGGCTCCGAGGCGAACGGAGAACTGTTCTTCATCGCACGCTCGATCTTCTTAATTTCGGTGCTTTTCTCCTTCATCTCCTCATCCAGCACTCTGATTGCCGTGAGTTCGTCCTCGTGTTGCTTACGCAAAGACTGCTTCTCGTCCTCCATTTTCAGCAGGTGCTCGTCTTTCTCGTGTCGAATGTGATCCAAGTCGGTTTTCATCTCTTCGGCCTCCCGGGTCCACCGTACTATATCGTCGTTCAGCTTCTGCCGTTCGTGCTTCCTCTGCTGAAGAATGCGTTCCTGCTTTGTGCGTTCATTTTGAGCAGCAGTATTCTGACGCTCTAGAGTATTGACTTCTCGCTTCAAGTTCCGGCTAGCCTTCTCCTTCTCGTTCATTTGCGCCTTAAGGTCGTCCCTCTCGCTTGACAGCGCATCTTTTTGTCGGGCTTCCTCTTCGTCCTCCTCCCGAGAGACCTTCTCCGCCTCCTCAATCTCCCTCCTAATGGCATCGAGTTTCTCGGTAAGCTGCTGAATCGTCTCGGCGCCTTCGGGTGCTTCGCTCTCTTCAGTGGGAGGATCGTGCTTGTCAACGGTAACGGCGGAAGGTGAGGCTCGTCGAATGCTCCGGCGGGGTACCAAGCCGGTGCTTCCTTCTCGATGCATAGGAATGGTCGCATTTGAAGCAGGCGCGATGTTCTTTAAGCCTTTAAAGGCCGTGATGCGTGGGATCGGCTCCGGCAAGCCATCATGATCAGTGTCGTGGCCGTCTGCACCAACGGCAAAGAAATCGCCAGAGGTAGCGGGTTTGGTTCGGAATCGGATCGGATCGCTGCGGGAGCTGAAGTCGACATTGTTAATCAATGAGACCCTCAGGACGTAGAAGCAAGCAGGCTGTAGACCGGTGATGGTGGCGGCAGAGTCGTGTATGCTGAGTGTACCAATAACATCGCCGTTTAGGTGTACCTCGAATTTGAAGGAGCTCTTGTATTTCTGTTTATCGGGCAATGACCAGTGAACGATGGCGCCGTCGGCCTTGATGGAGGCTAGATCGATGACGGGCGCAGAAGGAATGTCGAAACCAAGAAGGCCGGCGAGCTCTTCGAGTGGTTTATTGAGGACCTGGTACGCGCGGTAGAACAACCTAGAGATGTTTCATCAGAAGGGGAAGGTTGTTTGAAGAGGTTGCGACCAGGCCGCAGTTGACGTACCACGTGACAGCGACGAGGACGATGACGGGCTTAAAGTAGAAAGCGAAGGGCAGCATGACCGTCTGGGCGACATTGAAGGTACGCGACAGCCAGACGGGATCGAGCAGAGGCAGTGGGTTGCTGCTATCGCTACCGTCGACCAAGGCCAGGAAAGGATTGCGGCGAGGTTTGGCGGCGGCCGCTGCGTCTGGGCCCGCCATGGTCGTCGACGGGGTTCCGCATAGGAAGCAGGCTGGAAGCGAAGATTGGCTAAGAAGAGGGTGAAGGGTGAAGGGTGAAAGGCGAGGATGGATAGACAAGGGATTGATTGGAAGTGGTTGTTTCTGTTTCTGCTCACATGCTTCCGCAGCGGCTGCAGACTGCAGAGATGGATGCTTGGCAGACGGGACCCTCCGCCTCCCCCGGACTCGGGACGCTTCGGCTTCGGCAATGCAGCATCTTATCTTGTCCCGATGCCGGTGTTGGCGGCCAGGATGTGCTGCCACACACAGCTGTGAGCTGCAGGTGATGAAGGGAAGCTCTCCGCTCCGACCCCCCAGTGCTTCCGCGGACCCCTCCGACCGACACGAGACGAGCACTGTGAAGCACGTGCAGCTCACACGCCCCGTCGCTTCACTTCGTCTGCTTGTGTGCTTGTTGACTCGTGTCTCGTATAGCACTTGGCGTTGTCTCCGCCAAATCACCCTCCAAGACACGTGACTCCACAGCTCAGCCATCCGACAGCCAAGACGGGCGCATGGATTCAAGCCGACCACACACTGCGGGATCCAGAGACGTCCGCATGACGCTGGCTCGCTGAACGCTGAACGCTGAGCGCTTGGAGACGAGCGGCGGACGACAGACAGCAGCAGACGGGCTGCCGGGCTTGCTTGCTGACCATCGTCATCTGACCACGCTCAGCGTTTGGCCCGTTTCCGACCGACTGCTTCTCTTCTTCACTCGCGACATTATTATTCCTGTACCACGCTTTCTCTTCTCCATCGCTGGACCTGGAGCTGGAGCTGGAGAGCCGAAGTCCTCCCCGTCGTTCACGATCACGAGCTCCGATTCAGATCCGAGATAGCCTATCCGAGATAGCGTACCCTACCCGAGAACGACGAGGCTCAAAAGCCTCATCTTGCCGGCGACTTCTACAACACCGCCGCATTGGACTGGATCGTGCCCTCGAGTACGGCCATGCAGTACGTTCGTTCCCTCACCGGCTCCGTCTCCAAAGGATGGAACTCCATCAACCCCGCCACCCTGTCCGGTGCCATCGACGTGATCGTTGTCGAGCAGGAGGATGGCTCGCTGGCCTGTTCGCCCTTTCACATTCGCTTCGGGAAGTTCAGTCTGCTTCGGCCGTACGAGAAGAAGGTGGAGTTCAAGGTCAATGGAGAGAAGCTGGACTTCCCCATGAAGCTTGGGGAGGGTGGAGAGGCTTTCTTCGTCTTTGAAACACACGACAGCATACCGGAGGCTATGCAGACAAGTCCCCTAGTATCTCCCGTCGCGAGTCCGGAACTGAAGCCGAGTCGGCCTACCACACCGACTCTGCAAGAGCCCGACCCCTTCGATCTTGAGGCAAGCAGTGGGCTATCGTTGCAGGACGCATCGAGAATGCCGAAGAGGGGACACAGTAGGAGCACTACCGGAGCCATACCCGTACCAGCAATGGTGAGGAAAGCTCACAGTGATCTTGGACAACTTACTCCTCTCTCCACCTCTCCAGAAGACCCGCCTAGACCGCGCCGCATGTCAGAAGATATTGCTGGTCCACCTCTAGATCGCACATCATCTGACAGTGCGATCCCAAAAGCGAAGGCTGCGATCAATGATTCTATGAAGAACAGCGAAGTCATCTTTGCAGACAACAACGAACGACCCCCCTCTCGTAGCGAATTCGAACGTCCCAGCAGCCCACCTCTTGTAGAGCGCGAAGACGCGAAAGCACGCGCAATGAACCTCTCCAAAAAGCTATGGACATCAAATATCAGTAACCAGGTGACGGAGGCTGGAGACTTGATGCTTGACATGGCCGGATACAAGACCGGACACCTGGAAGCATTGCAGGCCGAGAACATTGCACGCCAACTTCTCTCTGAAGAGATTGACGGTCCGTACGATATTGGAGCCCTGATTGGTGCGGACGAGAAAGGAAACATTTGGATATACAGCAGTGAAGAGGCGAAAGAGGCCGCCAACAAGAGAGCAGCAGTTGGTATGGGGAGCTTCAATCCGGCCGCTTACGCTTCCACCGATGCCATCTCCGATCCTGGGTATCACAGTGATGACGCCCAGGGCAGTAACAAGTCCGACTACAATGGCGCGCACACCAGAAGAGACTCGGACAGTGCGGTAGGTCTGCCATCTCAACCAAGCTCTCCTACAACCGCTGGAGATCCAAACAAGAACTACGCAAAGACGCTTCGCTTGACGTCGGATCAACTCAAATCCATGAATCTGAAATCGGGCGCAAACTCGATGGCTTTCACTGTCAATCGCGCAACATGTAATGCAACACTATGGTATTGGCGGCACGACATTCCAATTGTCATCTCCGATATTGATGGTACGATTACCAAGTCAGACGTGCTCGGCCACGTGCTCAATACCCTCGGGAGAGACTGGACCCATCAGGGAGTTGCAAAGTTGTACACAGAGATTGCCGCCAACGGCTACAACTTCTTGTACCTGACGAGCAGGAGTGTCGGTCAAGCTGACATGACGAGGGCGTACCTTAACGGTGTAGTGCAGGAAAGCTATCGTCTACCCAAAGGACCAGTGATTCTAAGTCCAGATAGGACAATAGCTGCCTTGCGGCGCGAGGTGTATCTCAGGAAACCAGAGCTCTTCAAGATGGCTTGTCTACGAGATATAATGTCTCTCTTTTCAGGACATGGAGGAAGCAACAACACTCACGAGGACGTCTCAGCCGGATTGAAGCCAAGTGCGGGAATGCCGGGTGGGTACGGAGCTGGAAGAGGCAAAGGCGGCAGTCCGTTTTACGCCGGGTTCGGGAATCGCTTGACTGATGCGCTGAGCTACCGATCCGTCAACATTCCGAGCACGAGGATCTTCACCATCAACAGCAACTCCGAAGTGTCTCTGGACCTGCTGTCTCTGAACAATTACAAGACGGCCTACAGTAGCATGCGAGAGATCGTAGACCACTACTTTCCGCCCGTCGGTCTTCTCATCAAGGGCGGAGGTGAAGAATTCACAGACTTCAATTACTGGCGGGATAAACCTTTGGACCTGGATCAGTTCACTGACAGCGAGGATGAAGACGACCTGCCCATCGAGACCGCGCTCCTTCGACTTCGCACGGCCGAGACACGAGAGAGCACCATGCTTAGCGAGGACGAAGCCGGCATGACCGAGAGCTACATCTCGGACCCACGCGCAAGTCTCGATCAGTCTGTTGCAGGCACTCTTGACGAAGACGATGATCTCACGAGCTCCATTATGGAAGATGAGGAAGACGATGGTGATGTGGAGGATGAGTACGAAGAGGAGGAAGAATTGGAGGATGTAGAAGGCCTCGAACACGACGTCGAGGATGCGAGAGGTATGTGTTGCACAGTAATCGAGGAGCAAGCGAACAATCTAACAAGAAACAGGTGGCGCACACTCACCTCGACAAAGCCTTGCCGAGCCTCTTCAAAGTCCTCTTACCCCGAAGGGGTCCGCGACGGAAGATTCCGGGCGGACACCACGGCAACAACAAGCCAGCACGGGCTCACCGTAGAGCGTTGCCGGTCTTGATTTTTTTCACTCGGCTATCAGCCAAGCTGATGCTCAACTCTGAATTTTTTTTATTTTTTTTTGCTGCGTTCTGAGCGGGTGTTGTCTGGGCGAATCTGATGCACATCATATAGCGTAGAGTTCCGGGAGGCAAGGAGGGACGGACGGACGGACGGACACAAGGGATTGAATTGTGCAAATAGAAGGCAAAAGTTTCTTCGAATCTTCCCGGGTTACTACTGTTGCCTGTATCGTACTGTAGTTAGCGACAAAGGGGTGTTGTTGTTGATACTCAAGGGTGTCATCGTGTCTCCGTTACACATTTTGCTCGATGAAAAAGGGGAATGTAAGAAGGATGGATGCCTGGGGGGACAGAATTCAAAAATGCTTTTCGCGAGATCGTGCGGTGCTATTAACCTAAGGTATCTCTCTCGACTCTTTCTCCTCCCCTGCCTTCCCATTCGCTCTCTCGCCATCTACTCGACCGTCGACGTGAAATTCGTCTGCGTCAAATTCGTGTCACCGGGCAGGATGAAAGGTTTAATATGCGGCAAGCGGCTCAGCGTATCGTCGGAGAAACCCAGATGGTCCTTGACGACCTGCTTGGGCGTGAGGCCTAGCCATTGCGCGACGGAGATGTCGTTGTAGGTAGGAGCTTGCAGGACCTCTGCGGTTACGTCTTAGTTCGGGGGGAAACCTGTGGGGGTGTTAGGGGGAAAATGATGATAAAAGCTTACCGAGATAGACGAGGTCTTCGGTGCCGGTGTTTTCGAGGTAGTGGGCTGTCACGACGGGAACGTAGCCGGTGTCACTGTATGTATCTCTCTGATTAACGACGACGACGACGACGAGGGCAATGCGTGCTGGTGAGCGGGAACAGGAGATGCTTACCCGGCCTGGAAATCAAATGTCCGACTGGACGTGGGCGCTTGGTAGACGGTCAGGCGGCCCTGTCCGGAGATGATGTAGTCCCATTCGTCAGAGGTGGTGTGCCAGTGGAGTTCTCGCATGGCGCCCGGCTTGATGGTGAACAGAGCGACGGCAAAGTCGCTGGCAATCGGGAAGGTGGTCGTGTCCAGAATCTTGACGCTACCGCCGGGAACTTCGTACGGCTTCTGCTGGCTAAAGTGGTAAGAGTACGAGTTGTGCTGCGGAATCGGACCCGCGGGCCCCGTCACGTTTTGCTCCGAGATATTGGATGGAGCTGGGGTGCCGTTGAAGATGTACAACTGTCCGTCGGGAATTTTATCGAAAGCGCTCGTGTCGACGCGAAGGTCTTTGGCAAGGACACTCTTGGGGTTCCGTTCAAACAGCTCCGAGACCAGGAAGGTATTGTCCTCGCTGAAATCTCCATTGTCGAAGATGAGCAAGAACTCGACGCCATCTTCAAAGGCTTGGATACTGTGAGGCACGCCGGGAGGGAAGAACCAGACGTCTCCAGCTTGGAGGTCGTCGATGAATGTCTCGCCAGCTTCGTTCATGGACGCCAATCTCACAGTACCATTGAGTACCATGCTCCATTCTCCTTCCTGGTGCCAGTGGAGTTCACGATACGCGTTCGGACCCAGATACATGTCCACGCCCGCCATCGCGGTGGCGATCGGCAGCTCGCGGACGCTCTGCTGACGTGCCCATCCGGCAGAGTTCAATCCATGACGGTTGTGAGAAAGTGCTACGACGCAGGTTCAGCGCTGTTCTTGTCAAACATAGTGATCATCACGTACCCAGAGGCCACTTCGCATTCGAAACGTCGCCAGAATCAGTCCCAGGAGGAATGTACACATCGCTGTTCTGTTTCTCCAACTCTCTATTCCTTGGACCTGGGTCTGTCGGGGCATCCGTACCACCTCGAATCGGCTGTGGGTTCTCAACGTCGGAGAGGTCTAGATAAAGTCCCAGATCGGCATCTTCTGACTGTGCAGGAGTCAGGGTATATTGGTCTTTGGGAACTGTGGCCAGAAGGTCCTTGTCGACGGGATTGGAAGGGTTGTATCCGACTAGACTCTCGCTCCCACGCAGTGAGCCACTGGCTCCAGGAGGTCCATATGGAGTCTCTGTAGGCACGGCGAGTAGCGCAAAGTCTGGAGGAGAGCCCGTTGCTTCTTGGCGTTTATCGAACTGTTGTCTTCGCTCCAGAATAGCTGGGTGCCCTTTGAACGGAGCAGCCAAGCACGTCGCGAAGCATGCTGCAGCTGAAATACACTGGAAGAGTACCATGATTCAAGCTTTGAAGAGTCTTTCGAATCCAAACGCGAATGCCAGGAAGAAGAGAGCGCGCCCGTCCCACTGCTCTTTATATGCATGTCGACCACTGCATGTGCCTGCGTACAGACACATACCGCACGTCAGTGCCACACAGGGGGATCATATTTCAGCCTTTACGTGCCCGCGATAGATCGTCGTGCAGCGATTCCGCGTCACTCATTTTTGGCCACGACGTTCACGTATGTCGAGCGGAGGCCAGTCTCGCCTAGCGCGGGTCGACGTGCACTAGCTCATACTCCATAAGCGTTCCCAGACGGCAATTGCATTGGTGCACAATGCCGTGATAGCAGTTTTCTGCTCGGGCTACTCGTTCCGATCGCAAAAGTGTCCTGGGAGTGGGTAGAGACGAATAACGAGTCAGCCGAGAGGCTTCTTCATTCCCCTACAGAACAACATCCCTAAAAGTGAGGTCAAAGACGTGGTTGGACGATGACTCCGACAGAGATGCAACTCATTACAAAGATTTTGCCTCGTTTGCACAATGTATGTGAAAGGTCGGATAGAGCGGGATCTTGTGACAGCAGTATTAATTATGCTCAAGCAGCTGGTGTATGAAGCTACCTGAAATGTGAGGTTCCATTCCGCGAGGCTAAATAAAAGGTTCGGGGCGGAGGCACTAGTGGGTGTCGGCAAGAGGCGCGAGTCTTCTATCCTTTCGACAACCTGGAAAAGCTTCAAGCTAAACTAGAGACAAAGCACAGGTTATTATCATCCTGTCTTTTGACTTACAGCGTTCCACACACAATGACCGCACCTTCTGAAGAATTTCACCACTTGATCCACTTACCACGAGTGATCCACAACAGTCCCATATTTGCGCCGAGCGCACGAGCACTACTGACACTCTCAGTTACGGACACTTTCAGTAGACTTTCAGCAGGCAGTCGGGGGCGAGGTAAAGTGCGCGCGGTCGTTCAGAGTGTGAATGAATCCATGTGGGGCGTCCCGTACATTCTGTCGTCAGACTGTTGTCGTGGAGTCATCTTGCCGCTTCCAGGGCTGTACAAGGACAAGCCTCACACCTGGATCAAGCTGACGTAGTTTTTGCCTCGCCTCCGAGTGCGAGGGGTCACTCTTCGCGACTCCGTTGCAGGGAGATCTTGAGATGTATTTGCGGGCAGCCCTTGTTGACCGCTAGTCCACTCGGGACAACGCCGACGCAAAATACATAGTTAGCCACAGGCGGATGGACGGGCGGCGGGACGGTTCAAGAGGAATAGTGACTTCTGTCCGGGGTGAGCTCCACTCGAGAAATGCTTGGCCAGGGCTTGTGTTGCTTGAACAGTGCTTGATCATATCGGAACTTGCGTAATAATGCGGAGTTGCTGACCAACGTGCTATTGGCTCGCGGCGAAGCGCCTGCACAGGATGCAATTGATTCATGCCTCATAGCCGAGCGAAAAGGCGGTAGTCTTTGCATCCTTGAGCGGCGTCTAGAGTCGTTGAGATGCAAACGGCGCTGATAAGCGGGTTGATGCGGATTTACAGCGGCTGGTGTGAGCGGCAGCGGCGTCAGCTCGCGGCCAGTCTGAATTGGTCATCATGATGGTTTCATATCACTCGACTGCAGAGTGTCCATTCTTCGACGGTCCACTGCGCATTGCTTGAGTTTGCTTTGCGTGTCGTTTCCGGTTGGAACACCCGAGGACCACGGAGATGTCACCGTCGTCCGGGAGCTCCAGGATCTCGACGGTCTCAGAGGCCTTGTCCGCGATGCGCCGCCGTTTCTTGCTTACGCTGCCAGCCCTCTGCGCATCGAGATCTCTGGCCTCCTGCGCCGACCACTTCTGGAGCACAGCGTCCTCAGCGTCGTTCTCGAGGGAGTGAAATGAAGCGTGGTGGCCACACCCATCACACTCGAATGATGTTGCAGCCTACCGCATGTCAGTCACTATGCGCAATCCACATGAGGTCGCACACGACGGATTAGATACTCGCCTTGACCGGATGTAGCATGAAGCGAAGACAAGGACACGTAGAGAGGATGGACGGCTTGAAGTTGCAGCGTCCGCGCGGCGGCTTGTACTCCATGGCGCTCCAGACACTGTTCTTGGGTGCCAGATTCGCCATGATGGAGTTGGTGCTGTCTGTGTTTTGTGTTCTGTCTCTGGTAATGTCCGACGTAGTCGAGTGTCACGGCACAACCTGGAAGTCGCGTTTTCGTGCAGCGGCGCGCATAGGATAGAGTTCGGCTAACCACGCAGTCACGTGCAACGGCTGTCCAAAGCTTCGAACTTCACCATCCGTTCACCTCGAGCAGTCCATACATCTTTTGAACGATATACGCACGATACGACCGACCTTGGCTAACTCGCACATCACTGCAGACTGACCCTCCGCGGTCGCATCGCCGTCAAGATGCCGAAATTCTTCTGCGATTACTGCGATGTCTATCTCACCCACGACTCCATGAGCGTACGCAAAGCGCACAACAGCGGCCGAAACCACTTGCGAAATGTAGTCGATTACTACCAACAGATTGGACATGAGAAAGCGCAGGCTGTAATAGACGGCATCACGAACAGCTATGCTGCCGAAGGACAGACCATGCCTCAGCCTCCAGGGCTCGGCGCACCAGGAAGTGGTCTGCCAGGCTTCCCACCGGCTGGTATGCCTGGATTTCCGCCACCGATGCCAGGCCAAGCGTCTCAAATGCCACCAGGTAAGACATCTGTGAGGAAGAGTACGTGAAGGATAATGCGTTGACTGTAACTAGGAATGCCTCCAATGCCACCGGGCTTCCCACCCCTTCCACCTGGAGGACGAGGTATGCCGCCTCTCCCCGCAGGCTTTCCTCCCATGCCCAACGGCTTTCCGCCTGGCTTCAACCCGCAAGCTATGCCAGCTTTCCCTCCGAACGGCACACCTGGCCAGCCAGGATCGCCACCACCCGGCATGCCCTTCCCACCGCCCGGCGGCTTCCCACCCAACATGGCACATGGTGCTGGTGGACCAAGCCCTGCGCTCGGACAGCATATGAGTCCGCCACCGGGTGTACGACTTGGTGGGCCGCCGGGGATGAAGAATGATGGACAATAGAGTAGAGATGTGCAGTACCGCGGATGCCGAGTATGAGCAAGACTCTGGATGAGCGGAGCGGAGCGGAGCATGTCTGACGAGGAAGCTGCCGCCGTACAAGACGTATGAACCTTGAAAGAAAGGGGATGGCGAAAGTGAAGATGGTCAGACGATGGATCTACAAATATTGCGGAAGGAGCTGGCAACGACGGTGCAAGACGACCAGCTCCTGTTGCACGAGTCAAGGGAAAATGCAACTGTTCGGGTACGACAGGATTACGGTCTTCGATTAGCGAGGCGTTGGGGGACTCTCTGGAAACCGATAGATACTTGACAGTGAAATCAATGTCAGTAGGCGCGGAGTCCAAAATTTGGCGATGAGTTGCTATTTGTTTTGATTCAAAGCGCGATTCGCCCACGCTTGGACCGCCTTCGCTCGTGCAAAGGCATATCTGTACATGGTATACAACGCCATAAATACCATCAGCATGGCTTCCCGTCAATGAACGTCAATTAGTGGCGCTTGTTGAATTTATGCTGCCTCGGCTGACTTCCATACGCTCGTCGCGCTTGGTCAGGCTTTTTCATGCTTGCACCCAGATTGATATCGACCTTGGGAGGAACAGAGAAGCCGAAACCCTTGGCGACCTTCTTCAGATCCAGATTGTGGATGTTAAAGACGGAGCGCAGGGAGTGGGAAGCATATGCTTGGAGATATGAGCGGTAGCCGTCCTTTGCCGACTGTGGAAAATGGTCAGCTGGGCTTCAAGGATAGTATAGAACAAATGCTTACCTTGTTGAGGTAGTAATTCTTCCCGATCAGCATCTCAAGCTGGCTCTGAATGTCCAGGATCTTCTTTGGTGGAATCTCGAATTCCACCAACGGCACCTTGGCTTCCTTCAAGTGGTTAAGAAAACCAACCTCGCTCGGCTGCAGGAACATCAAACTCTTGCCCTTGGCATTCGCACCTCGAGCGGTTCGTCCAACACGGTGAATATAGTCTCTTGGGTCATCAGGTGGATCAAACTGCACAATCCAGTCCACGGCCGGAATGTCGAGACCTCGCGCGGCGACGTCTGTGCAGATAAGGGTGCCGTGCTTTGCGTTGACGAATTCAAAGAAGGTGTTGGTTCGCTTTTGTTGCTTTTGTTTGCCATGAAGATCGAGGACCGGGAGATCGATGTAGTTGAGGAGTTCTGAGTAATACTTTACGCAGTTGCAGCTGCTGAAGAAGACAATGATCTTCTTTTGAGGATGTCTTTTCAGGAACGTGAACAGCAGACGGAATCGCATATCGGAATCGCAGATTACGTAGCCTTGTTCCAGTCCGGCGACAGTACTGTGCTCTTGCTGGTGGTCCACATTGATGTAAAGTGGACCAGGCCGAAGAGATATTCGAGCAAGATCCTCAACTTTGGTGGTTTGTGTTGCGGAGAAGAGCATGGTCTGGCGGTCTCCCTTGGGTAGAATTTTGACAATCTGACGCATCTCATCTTCGAATCCGACTTCCAGGATACGATCTGCCTCATCAATGACAAGCGCCTTCACGTTCTTGAAAACGAACCCCTGAGTGTTCTGCAGGTGATCGAGTAGACGACCGGGTGTCGCAATAAGCAAATTCACACCTTTGGCCAACTTCTCCGCCTCAGCTCTCCTATTCGCACCACCAATTACGATTCCAAAAGTCTGCGAGTGATGCTCCATGAGTTCTCGAGCGACACCGAAGATCTGGAGGGCCAGTTCACGAGTGGGCGAGACTACAATGACACCGGTGCCGTTCCGGGGCTTGAATTTGAGCGAGTGAAGCATCTCCACGGCCGGAATGAGGAAAGCCAGTGTTTTTCCAGATCCAGTCTTCGCCGCTCCAAGAACGTCTCTGCCGGCCAGTAATGGAGGGATACCTCGTCGCTGGATTTCGGTCATGTTCTCAAAATTCATGCCCTCGATGGCCTTCATGGTGCGGTCAGACAAGTTCAATTCCGTGAACTTCTGTGGTTCTGCGGAAGTGGTGGGCAAAGATACACCAAGTGCAGACGGTAAGTCTGAAGGTCCGCCCAGGTTGTCGTTCGTTGCCAGTTGCCCGCTCACTTCTTGCTGCTCCTCGTCATCTGCATCCTGATCTTCTGTCGAATCTGCCGCCTCGCCAGTGGCATCTTCTGTCACATCCTCTTCATCTTCTGAACCGAATCCGGCAAAATCGTCTTCTGCTTCGGCGTCGACCTGAGCCTTTGCAGCCGCCTCCTTCAGCTCCTGGTTGACCTGCTCTTCTGCACCCGTCTCTTCCTCGTGCGCCCCTCGTGCCGAGTCGTCTCGAGCTTCCTCTTTCTGCCGTTTCGCCTCCTTCCTCTCCTTTTTGGACTTCTTGCGCTTAGGTTCTCCATCCGCGTTCGGCTCGTCACCGTTTGCGACAGGAGCTGGAGATTCTTTGGCAGACACGTCGGCCGACTCGGAGATCCCTGTTCCTACAGTTTCGACCGCCTCTGATGCTTTCCGCTTCTTGTGCTCCTTCTTGGCCTTCTTTCGCGATTGCATCTCGTTGTCCATCTTGTCCGCCTCGGCGTCCGGCGAAGGTAGCGCTCCAGACATCAAAGCAGGATTGTAATTCTTCTGGAAAGACTGCTTTCGTTTCCGTTTACTAGCGTTCTTGATGAAGTCGTAATCCTGCGACATGGTGGAAGAGGCGGCAAGAGAGAAATTGTGCTAGACTTTGATTCGGAGCTCCAGAAAATCAGATCCCGACCGCGGATCTTTTCCGCACGTGAAACGGCGAAATCTTGGCACGCTACTCAAACTCTAGACCGACCTCCCTCGCAGTTGCTTTTCACCTCACACTTGGAAGTACACATTCGTCGCGAGATATAACGTCCAGGAAAGGCACTCAAAAGATTACTACCACAATATTCCACAGTCTCTGATACGCGCGAAACCCATCTCCAGATGCCTCTTCGGCCCGCCTGACCGAGACGAAGTAACACAGCCCAACCAGTCGCTGCTGTTCGGTTAGCATCCAGGCCTTCGATCAACTACAATGCCCGTCACGTGGGTTATTGTTTGCACGGATCTCTTTCAGCAGACACAATGTACAATCAATGTGGAAATTGCGACTTTACTGTCCTGGAAGCCGGTCTTTGTACCTAAAAGAGCAACACCTCGACAAAGACTATCTTTAGCACGGGTCCCATCATTTAACTACTTCTGGCCTCCCAATCCGTACACTCTCCCTTTCCTCACATCAACATCCAGAGCCTTTCTCAGCTTTCACATTTCTTTCGTGTCGTGTTCTCCTCGGTATCTGCTGGTCAGAACCCCTTTCCTTGCCTTTTCCTTTTCAGCTACTACCAGCGAACAACACAAATACCAGACAGTCACATCTGCAGGGAAGATGCCAAGACGTAGTAACGCTGGCATTACCAGCACAAGACCCAACAGCCGCGATAACAACAGCAGCAGGAACAGGAAGGACCTGTACTGCGACACCCACGGCTGGGGAAACCATACGTCCCAGGACTGCAACCGGCCCAAGGATGGCCACAACCCCAATGCAATTCCTCCTCTTCGTTGGAACAATAACGATAACACCACCAACAATGGTGGACGTAACGGCCGCAACCAAACGACATGTGGCTTTTGCAACAAGGTAGGTCACAATGCAAACGATTGCCACGCTAATCCAGCTAGCTCGAACTACCGACCGGGCGCAGACATTGACATGAGTGCCCCAGATCCAATCGCAATCCCGTTTCGGATCAACAACACATTTGGTGTTGCTAGCGATGAGAGTCGAATTATCCCCGAGCAGCCTGGATTCCGAGGTTTCGCCCAGGAGAACGAGCCACGATGGCGCGCTGCAGGCCTCCGCAATGCTGAGACCTCCCAGGCTGAGAAGAAGCCTTACTGTTGCTTCTGCAATGCTACTAGCCACGAAGCAGATCAGTGCCAGAACGAGCAAGGTCTAAAGCGGTTCTACCACTCCAAGCTCATTTGCGCTGGCTGTCGTGTCAAAGGCCATTTGAAGGACGAGTGCAAAAATCCCATCGGTCAGCGCTGTTCGAAGTGCTGGCGCACCGGTCACACTGCATTCGAGTGCAAGATGTGCAAGACCACTCCGATGAACACCTTCATGAGCGCTGTTGCCGCACCCACTCCTGCTAGCCGCTTCAAGTGGAACAGCGGCAACATCGTTCCAAACCGTATCCAGGCTTTGCGCGTGTGGTTTGAGAAAGAGCAACGCGAGGCCGTCAGCTCATGCCAATTCGTGAATCAATTGGAGTACGATGCTGTTGAGCATATTCTCCGCGAAACCGAAGCCCGGGAATTCCGCGAATCGGGTCAGCTGTCCTCTAATATGGATATGGAAACGGCTCGCGCGCAGTTAAGTCAGGACTTGTCGTCTCTCACAGCCGAGGTGAGGAACCTTACGGGACTCTCGACCCTCAAGCTCAACTACGCCGTGCCTGGAATCGAGGGCTACGGTTCTGATTCGCGCAATACGACCAAGAGCCAGGTCAAATCCTTCAGCACTCCACACTCGGGCACTACGAATGCCTTCACTTTCCACTCATCGACATCCCACCCTCCGAATGTTCTCCGCCCATCGATTTCTCGGGACACTAATCAGCCAGCCAACTTGACTCAAGAAGCGCACGAAGCGCAGATCCTGAACGAGGCGATCCAGAAAGTCATCCGGGAGCACGGTGACCGCGAGGTCGAAGACAAGATCAACAGATCCACCTGCTACGCGCGAAGCCACGCCAACGAGGGCCTTCGCAATCTCGCCCAGCGCGTCGTCGAGCGGCAACTCCTCAGCCCACAACGCATGGACGAGATTAAACGGCTCATGCTCCTGCGCGCGCAGTTCTGGCGTGACCCCGAGGCCATGGCAGCCCTCCCGCAGCGAAAGCGTCCCTGCTGCATGAAGTGCGGCCAGATGGGACACATTGTCGACCGCTTCTTCAATCCCGTCCGGCCGGATATCACCCGAGAGGAGTTTCTGGCGCTCCAGGATTGCGTTGATTGGGGCCTTTTCGTCGTGTTCGAGTGTGACTGCTGTGTTAGCAGGGTTCAGGGAGTGAGGTATGGCAACTACAAGTATGTGCCGCTGATGCAGAATTAGGTCTCTTGAAACTAGCACTCGAGGCTGCTTGAGCATGGAGGATGGTTCGCAAACATGGTTGTGATGGCGTTTGGTGGAATATAATGAGATGGAGCAGAGCCTCTGGTAGGCTTGACGAATTACGACGTTCTATCTGATCGATTTCTTTTGGACTGTTTCATAACACTGTCGAGTAATTTTCAATCATTTCGCTTGTCCCTCTTGAACAACACCTCACCGCCTTCAGTATTGCTATATCCCGCAACGCTAGGCTTCAAAATATCGGCCTTGACAAGATCTTGTACAAGCCCAAAGATCATACCGTCGCATCCTTTCGCTGCCAAAATGTCGACCGTCACGGGTAGGTACTCGCTATGTAGAGTAATGTTGCTGTAGTATTCCGCCGACCCGACTACCAACCTGTCAGCACGTCCAAACTCTGAACCATTGTGTTTCGTGGACTTACGAGGCAAGACAAAGTCTGGACCGCCCCAGAACGGGCTGACTCTCGAAATGTCGAAACCGGTCGGTGGCACAGGAGGATCACCATATTGGTTTCGGTAGTTGACATCTGCTTCCGATCCAACATAGAACAGCAGAGAATCGCTGCAGGTTAGATTATCGGGCTTCAGAACCTCGCTGGAGACCCATTCCTGGAAGACGGTCTTGTTGTAGACTGCCAAGTCTGCTGTTGTGTTCGGATATGAATCACCAAAAGCCCATCTGGCAAGCGGTGCAGGGTCCACAAAGGGCCGTCTGCCGTCGTGGGCCGCTGCATAATCGGCATAGAATGGGTCTCGCACCAGAACTGTTTGACGCTGGGAGATGAGAATTGCGTAGGTCAGATTGAGCAAACTATCCAGGCTGGAGGTGGTGTTCGCCTGGTGAGTGCTGTTCCAGGCTGCGTTTATGTCGAAGGTCGTGACCTCGGCGCCGAGAAACGAGCTCAGGTTCCCGATAAAGTCCAGAAGAAGCTGGTCCCCATTCTCAGAGACGTTGGTAGGGAAGTCGTAGGTCATAATTCGCTTAGGGTACTTGTGCGAGATAGTGATGTTCTCACCGTAGAGTACTTTGGCGGCATCCGCCCAAAGGATCGGATCTTTGGTTAAGAAACCGGATGTGTCCAATTCAGGCGCAAGAGGCATAGTGTTCTCCAGCGTCACAAGATCGTGAGTGGGTCGGTTGCCGTACAGCCCTTGGACTTGAGAAGGACCTCGAATGGAGCCTCCCGTGTCGCTGCCAAGGGTCAAGTCAAGCCAAGGGTAGCTACCTGCTCCAGCGCCCGGTCCAGACGATGACGAGGAAGGATCTTGATATCCCTACAAATATTGCAACTGGTCAACGCCGTACTTGAGACACGTCTTGAGAAATGGAACATCTACTCACGTCTCCTCTAGGGTTGAACGGGCTGTGATAATCGACCCAATCTTCAGTTGCCTCCTCACCGTTCGCAAACTGAGAGGTCTTCATTTTGCCAACAATGATCGCTCCAGCATCGACCAGTCTCTTGACAGGAGTAGCGTGCTCAGTGGCTGGAGCATACAGGTGATACCAGGCTCTATTTCCATTACTTGTTCTGGCACCTGCAATGTCGTAGATGTCCTTGATACCAAGACGTACTCCAGCCAGTGGCTTCTCCGTCGTTTTCGTGTAGTAGAGCCGAGAAGGCACAGCAACTGCCAGTGACTGTCCGGCTATTCCGGCGGAGAGTACGCTGTAGGTACCATCACCGCTGGACACCAGTGGTTCCAAGAAAGCACCGGCAAAGTCGCTATACAGTCTCCATGCTTGGAAAACCTCGCCAGTCGAAGACATGAAATACGGTCCTGGTGGTATAGAGGTGGAGCCAGTAAACATTGTAGAGTTGCCGTAGTTTGAGAGGCTGGCATTGTGGCTGCCGAGGCCGGTACTCTGGACGTACACTGTCTCAAGGAAGCCTTCTGAGAAAACATCATCGGTCGATTTGTATGATTCGATGACAGTATTCAGGTCCGCCAGGGTATGCGCTGAGCCATTGCTGCCGATGACTGTGAGCGGTGAGATGGAAGCTTTGCCGAACCATGGTCGAGATGGTAGTTTGGCAACTGGCGAGCCTGGTATGTAATACGAGATCCCGTCCAACTCTACGGTCTGGCCTGTGCTGGTGAAAGTGAGTGACTGTGTCAGTGGAATGAGAGTGCTCGCTACCACCGTAGTAGCGAATGAGACACGCATGTTAGCCGCTTTGAAACCTCCCTCAAGCCCCAGGGGATATCTTTGCAGACGTCGAGGAACTCATATAGGCCGGCACATGCAAGCCCATACCGCCTGATAGCTGGCGTGCCCTGGCCGAAATGACGGTGCCATTGGCCGTCCAACGCATCGACTAACCGCACCTCCGATCTAGATCTGCGGTCAATGCACGAGCAAGATAGCCGTGGCGTCCATACTCGCTCTGCCACGCGTGAAAGCTGCAGGTGGTTGCGGGCAGAGAGAATCCTCCTGCTGCAGCTAACGACCTTGGCCTATCTCATGCATGCACGAATGCATCGGCCATCGGCTTTGGTATGGAGCCTTGAAAGCAGCATTCTGCGCTCTGATAGAAGAGGCGTATCTCTCAGAAGTTTTCTTTCCTCGAGTATCGTGTATGGAGGAATATTGTGTATGGGGGAAAGGGCCATCTGAGACGACCGGAGCCGGAGAATCGTTCTTCCGATAAGAATTGCCGCAGTCACGCGCCATTCCTTAAGGCATCTTATGGCTCGATGGCTCGTCGGTATTTCGTGTCTGTTCGGTCTCTCTGACGTGCGAAGACGCTGCCGACATTCCACCAGATGAGGAGAAACCAGAGCAGATTTCCGCAGCCCAGCGTACAATCGCACACCGTGCCTCCCGCGAGACTTTACCAACCGCACGTCCAGTATGTGCATCCGCTGACAGCCTCACGTCGGCTGCTCCAGGTGAGATGAGCGAGCCCGAGGATTTTGGGGAAGCCATCAAGTCAAGACTGGCCAAGAAGAAGCGGGAGGAGAAGAGGAAGGACAGATGCAGCAGAGGAAGAGCCATCAACAAATCCCGAGAGAAAAAGAAAAAGTCGAAGAAGGAATTTGAAGACCTCGGCAAGAACTGTCAGAATGAAAGCACTTGTCTGGAGAAGAAGAAGCATCCTAACGCAGGAGATCGCGGAGTTGAAGCGGATAGGAGAACACAAAGATGCCAAATCTGTACGAGCAGAACGTACAGATGGAGACCGATTTCAATGAGCTGCGCTTGGGGATGGACGAGCTAAGAGGAACTAATGCAAAGCTCACTTGAGCGCGACTTGTCCTGTTGTGGTAATCCATGAAGGGTTTGTCACGTGCGTGCAGAAATGTATCCATCCCGTGTGCCGGATAGACCCCTGAGATCCTGTCCGGCTCCGCGATGCTGGTCAAGATTCTAGACGATATTATACTCCCGCTGTTTCTGCAGATTGCGCTTTGTGCGAAAGTCCCAAAGGAACCAGCCCCCCACGGTCACAACCATGAGCGGGAGCGTAATGGCCAGATAGAGCAGCAGCCCTGGATCGGCCTTCAGTTCCAATCTGCCGTCATTGTACGAGATATCGTGCAGGAAACCCATCTCGAGAAAGCCGGTGGTGAAGGTTGGCGGAAGGAGGATGAAGGTGATCAGAGCGATGATTCGCACGGCCTGCGCTTCGACAATCGATCTCGCAGTCATTCGCCCCATGAAGTTGAAATTCTCAATTGTTGCAACGTCTCGGAACTGCAGTCGTAAGCCGATGGCAAAGCAAGCGTGCCTCACCGGGAAGCGGAGACTCACAGAAGTGGCAGTCTGATCAAGCCTTTGCGTGATCAGGTGCACTTGGTTTTGAAGAAATTGCAGCTCTCTCATGGTGTCTTCAACTCCTCGATGGAACGTCTCGTATTCAGATTCTGCTGGATCCTGAAGCTGTTTTTGCCTTCGCCTTGATTCGTCAAGGGCCGCACGAAGCGTCTGGCGGTTGTTCTCGAGCACATGGGACGCATGCTGAAGGCGATCCTTGAAAACAGCACTGCTCTTCAAGGTTTCAGTGTCCACGACTTTGAGTATACCTTCCGGCTTGTAGAACGCTGCGTCGTTCATAGTCTTGACCACGGCGTTATGTAGCTCGCCGACATAAGCCGTCCATCCCGCTGCGAGGGACGTGAACGAGAGCAATGGAGCGTGCGTCCAGTGTTCCCATGGTTTGGCGCCCGACGGAGAATGGGCTTTGAAGCGGCGCCACAACTCGATCGAAGGGTTGATGAGAATCGACGTATCTCTCTGCCCCTCGACATCCAAGCTGAAATAGACACCCATCTGGCGGATCGAATATCCAAAGACGCCAACACCGCGATCGTTGCGTTCCACGTATTTGAGCAGAGCGCATATTTCCAGCACTGCAATATTCGTCAGAAAGAGTAGCAGATAACCGCAGCGTGGACAGGCGCACCTTTAGTGTCTCTGTGAACGTGAGCAGGAGCAAAATGAATCCCGCCTCTGCCAGCGTAGTAATCCGAACCGAAATCTGGTACGAACGCATCGACAATTTTCGTCACAGCTGGAAATGCGTTGACGGACTCCAGGAGAGCCTGAAAAGCTGATGATGTGGCGTCTAATGGGCTTCGGGAGGATTCCTGGCTGACAATGAACGTTCTGCTTGTCCTTGAATCGGTATTGGTGCCAGCACTGGAAAGAGGGCTCAGCACCAAAGTACCTCTTGACGACGACAGAGACCTACAGGTGCTTTGAAAGGTCTTGCTCGGATTGGAGAATGACCTCCTCGTAGGGTTCTACATGGGCTGATCAGTTGCTGTTTGGACAGTGACGAATCTGCTCTTACTCACTATCCTCGCTGAGAGTGCATGATTTGATTGCGACGTCTTCAGGGTCTTCGTAGAACAACTCGCCCTGCACGGCCTTTTCGAAGCAATCGGCTGCACCCTGGACATCTGCAACGATACCGGAGCTGAGAAGATTGGAGTTCCCGGGTAGCGGCCACATGATCAGTTGGAACGTATCACAGGACACAGCTGCCGAGGGCGAAATAATACCGTAAATCTACCCGCACAACCGCCCTTCCTCGAAGCTATCTTATCCCCCATTTCCTACTAAGAGCTGAACTCACACCGGAGTGAGTTGTCTTGAGGCTGGGTGATTCTTCACTGCCCGCTCGGTCTTCTGGGGGCCGGCGATGATTGGCTTGCACTAGCTTCGCAGCCCCCGATATCTCGTGCATGAACTTCGCCGCCTCTCGTGCATCGACGCTGACACCCGACACGCCATTGATAGGCACGGGAAGCACGCGCGCACCACAGTCTGGTCTCGCGCAGTCCTCAAGAGTACTTCGCCAAACCAGTGCTGCGGCGCGTAGTGGTGGTAGGTCGCTTGTAGCAGGCCGCAATGTCTGCCTTGCTCAGCTCCGTTGGGGCTTCGATTCGCAGAAAGCCTCCTGTCCTTGACTAGCCGCCCGTTAGCAACTTCCGGCTAGCAAGCGCCTGAGGTGATCGGGTTTGTACCTTGATGTCGAAGTGCTGTTGTTTCTTGCCGTTCTGATCGTACGTGTACGGAAACAGCTTTTCCAGGACCTCTTTTACCTGCGCTTCACGGGCATACTCAGTCAAGTCTGTCGTCTTCCAGGACCTGCTGTACATCTTTATTGGAGTTTGCTCCGCCATAATGGGCTCTTTCGAGTCGAACAGAAACGTAATGAGAGAGGGGACAGAAGAGCCGGCTAGCCAGCAGAGCCTCGTTATGTACAAGGTTCCGACACGAGGCAGCAGTCAGAGGCGGATGACTGGGCCACGACGCGTCACAGCTACGCGCAAAGAGGCCGCACACGCCTTGTGTCACGTAGGGCACAAGCTCGAGGGCGGCTCGATTTATGCGGCTCGGTTCTGCGGCAGAAGCTCCATGGATAAGTTCTCGGTGAACAATGGTGGTCTCCCACGCGATTACCATCGTCAAGCCTGTACAGCTCGTACTCATGCCCTTACTTCGCCATTGACTCGTTCGTCGGAGCATGGTTCACCGTCCAACTCATGCTCCAAGTCTTCCTTCATCGGGCTTGCAGTGTGTCCCGTGAACCAAAGGGCCACCGCCTCCATCAAACGACCTGACTTAGTGCCGAGGAAAGAGACCTCGTTGTAGTTCAAGTACCCGTCTTCTCTGTGGCGATGTGGTGTCCGTCCTGGCAAGCGTGCGCATTGCGAGCATTGCCGCCATGGGTTGTTGTAGTCATCCTTGCCGTGAATCTGCGGTTGGAACGAAAGACCCAACCACCGAGATGTTTTGGAGCCTTTCCTGAGCCACACGATGTTTGCCCAGTACACCATTGACAGGAAAGTAACTGCGACTATTGTTACGAAGTACCATCTGCCTAAAGGCTGGGTCAACTCAATGGCCAGAATGAACAAGCTGACAGCAGCTGTAGTAGAGCCCAACGCAATGAGACCTCGTCGATTTTTGGTGAACCATTGAAATGCTTCAGGTGCATTCCATTCATTTGCTGGAATCTCTCGTTCTTCTCTTCTCTTTGGTTCGATGGAGAAGGCATAACCTAGACCGACGGCGGCTATTTCTTGTCAGAGCATACCTCTTCATTGTCGAGTCGAGCGAAGCTTACCTTCGTAAATGAAATGTCCGTAGATCAGAACATTACCCGAAGACTGAATTGCTCCGTTCAAAGTGTCAAATGCCGGGGTGATACAGATGAGTATCACCGAAACGATGTAGTGTAAGATGAGACCACCCTCCGGAGCTCCTCTACGCACAGCGATCGCTTGGTTGACTGAGCTTTGCCACGAATCTTGTCCAAATCCAGGGAGCAAATATCGCATGTGTCGGGAGAGGTCGGTCCTTCTCCAAAGGTTGGAAAGCGGCAGGATATTCACCCAGCCCACGATATGCTTGACTCTGACGCAAGTATAGGCAACACTGATCATGGACCCAGCCGCACTAAGTGCAATCAAGATCGCGGCAGCCTGTCGCGCACGAGCGGTGTCTCCGAGCCACAAAGGCAAATAGTTGCGAAAGCGATCTTGCGCTTGCTCGGTCTGCAGTGCATCTGGTGGGAAAGTCGAGCAGAACACTGCGACAATGGCAGTGTAGAGCACACCAACGGTGACCACAGCTGCGATGAAGCCGTTCCTCAAGACGGAGTATTTTGGTATCTCACCAGCGACCTCATATGAGTTAGTATACACCCGTATTCGTGATCGCTTGGAAGCTACTCACAAATGTCGCGTTCTCCCATCCGTGGAAGCTGAAGAATACCAGCAGCAGCCCTTCAGTCCATCCGAACTTCGGCGGATTGCTCATCTCGAGCGTTTCTATCCAAGAATTGGGGTGTCCGCCAACGTCTCCCAGATACCAGCAGCCAGCAGCAAGAGTGCAGATCAGCAGGACAACTTTAGCCAATGCGGTCGAAGCGTTCACATAGCGGCTGGTCAGTGAGTCGAAGTAGAGCAGCAGACATATGAATGTAGTGATGCAGAAAGCGACGAAGCACACAAGCCTCCTGTCGGGATTGAGGTTGTGCACGTCTGCTGCGATAAGTGTGTACCTCGCGAATTGCAGGCTGTTGGTGCAAGTGGTGTACAGGATGACAAAGTAGAACGTGTACCTAGAATGTCGATGAGCTCATTGCGAACCATATGCAAACGACTGAACACTCACCAAGTATACAGCAGCAATCGGGGCAATTTGTTCTTGAAGATGTGGTCTAGATAAACCAGCTCTCCCCCCGTGTAGGGCAAATCCCGAGCATATTCGAGATAGAGGCACATACTATGACGGGTTCAGCATGCCCACTCCCCATCCATGCGTCGACATCCTACCTGAGCAGCGTGTACAAGAAACCAATCACCCAAAAGGCCATGGTCAGCGCCTTGCTCCTTGTGTAGTACATCGTTGCAAATGGGCCAGTGAAGATTCCAGTCCCGACCATTTTGTTGATGATCAATGCCGCAACATCCCACCACTCCAGGTTCCTGTGCGCAGGCACTCTAGCCGCCGGGTCTCGCGGTTGGACATCGTCTTCCAACGACCTGCGATTAGGCTCAATGGGTATAGGATGTTCTGTATCGTCATCAAGTGATGCGGCAGGAGAGATGTAGCTTCTCGGTGAGCGTGAACTGACGGAGATCTCGTTTCCATGAAGTTCTGAATGAGTGACGCTTGAAGCGACTGAATGAGCATAATCCATTGCTTGTGCTGTGAGCAAGCAGCTGTAAGGACGAAATGCGGTTGGTTATAAGACTCTGTGAATATTGTATCCTGCTTCTTCTCTCGTCTTACAATGCTTGATCGAGCCACCAAGGTGGAGTCCGAAGCGCGGTGTTTGAACAGGTCTGCGGTGGGACCGTCCATTATTATCGAGTTTCCTGTCCCAATTAGGGGCCCTGGCCACAGAATCTGACCGGTCCCACAGAATCTGACCGGTCCCGTGGAGTCGAACGCAAATGAATGCATCGCGTGCATGGATTGCGGTGAGCTGTATGTGTGATTCGACGCCAGGAAACGCCACATTCCTCCGCCTCTCGCTTGCTCTTTATTAACTTGCAGCTTCGATAAGGGCGGATCCTCTGCAGTGAGCTCTTGCTAGGTACTGCAGTACAGAAGTCCGTGGAGGCTCAGGTAGATGCACAAGTTCTCTCCTCCAGCCTTCATCGTTATGACGACGCAGACATCAGTCCAGCGCAACAACTTCACATGGATGCACTGCCATATCCACCCAGATGGAGGAGACCTTCCTGAGGATCGCGCGCAATGCCGAGTGCAAATCAGTGACAGGAGCAGCGAACGCAAACATCAGACGATTTGCAATCAAAAAGAACGAAGCACCACGAAGAACAAGCAACTCTCGACAAGGGAGCCACGATGAGGCTGCATCCGACGATTCCGATTTGCTTCCAACACCATCGTCTCTGCAGAAAGCGTTCGCGGACGAGAGAGTTGTGTTGGAGCTTTCGCAATGTCGTTGCGAGGCGTTATGTGGCCCGCTCTGGGTCGGGAGCACTCCCAGAAAAGCCGTCGAAGCCGCACAAACCATACACAGATCCGCTTTGCAGGACCCCACGAAGCGTAATGCGCTTGCGGTGCTGATATTGAGCGGGTGCACATTTGCATTGAGAGAGTTCTTTCACTCGGACTGCAGCACAGTGGATGACCTCCTTTCAGACTTGGAAGTGAAGATTGGCGGCGATTCAAGGTCGAGCGACACTGGTTCGAGAGGAGACCAAGACAGGGTCGAGCGACTTTTCAGACCGCTCCTTTCAAATCCAGCATGGTCGGGAGAGACTGTAGGATCAATCGCTGACAAATTCATTCACACCGTCAGGGCAAAAGCCTGGCTTGTGCGAATCCGATCATTCTCGATCAGCGGAACCATGTTTCCCAGCGCTCGAAGGCAGAATATGCCATTTGTGGAAGAGAGTCCTGCGTTCCAAGGACGTCTCAATCGGAGATACATCAAATTCAAGATAGCAGATGGCTATGCGCTCTCTGAGCAACTCCAGGGGCGAACTCTCTTTCGCAAAGAGCTCACGTTTCATCCGCCCCGAGTAGGCAATGATTTGTGTCAAGAGGCACGTGACGAGGTCAGGATGCTCAATATCATCAACGGAATGCATCATCCCAACATTGCGAGGATGTTATTTGCCTTCGAAGAGCAGGATCCTCTCAACCAGCGTATTAGTATTGTTTTCCGCTTCAACGAGTTCGACCTTGGCAGGGGTATTTTGTACAGACCTGTACAGCAGTCAGCGCAGATACTTAGCCGCTTCGACAACGCAATGCAGCCGCCGGTGCCGTTGGAGGGCATCCTGGACCATGGACTGTGGAAGGCCATGCTGGGCATTGTTGACGCAGTAAAGAGTCTTCATGAGTTTCATCACCCGGACATTCGGCCTGACCGGGGCGACGTTATCCATGCCCAACACTTTGACATCAAACCCGCAAATATCCTGGTAGAGATCCGGAATCAGCGCCCCGCAAAACTGCTTCTCGCAGACTTTGGGCGGGCTCGCCTTGATGAACACCCGGCGTCTCAGACGACTGGACAAGCTGACGCTCCAGCCACATATGATTATGCTCCGCCAGAAGCAGACCCCTCTGAAGAACCGAGCACTGGAGAAATCATTATGCGACGAAACTACGACGTGTGGAGCTTGGGATGTGTGCTTCTTGAAGTTCTTGTCCATCTTCAGACGGCCGACGCAGTAGGATTCCTCAATGCTCGTGGGCGCGAGTCGAGGGAGAACCATCAGGATGCTGCATTCTGGTATCGAGACCAAAGGCACATTCCTCATCTAAGGTCTGCGACAGAAACGAAGTTAAAGGCTCTCGAAAGAGGTCCGCAGTCAAACGTCGAACGAGTTGCCTGGTGCATCCGGAACATGCTCAGCCCCGATGAAGCAAAGCGTCGTGAATGGCGGATAAAGCACTGTCTGGAGGCACTTCAACCGGTCGAAAGGCACAGCTGGAAAACTATGATATCGACGAGCAAGAGAGCTCTCCTGGACCCGGAGCTGGCAGACATGACGACTCTTTGTTGGGGGCGCAACTTTCAACGGTCGTTGCCTTGCAACCTGTTCTATTTCCGAGATCGTACGCCAAGCGATACCGATGAAGCAATACTTGTCGCCGAGATATACGACCAGCCTTGGAATGGTAAAGGGTTGATCAAGGAAGAAAAGATTGCTCTTATACCATTTTTTGAAGACAGAACTTTGCTTTCGACACCCCAGTCCACAATTGGAACGCTGAGCGTCGCCTTTCATCATCTTCACGGCGGCGAAATGCTCTTTCACTTCCAAAGAGTTGCGGAGTACCTGAAGTTCTTCGCTGTTTTGTCCCATCAGCAGGTGGCCTTGGGATCGTCCAGCGCCGGTTTAGAGTAAGGCGTCGATAGAAGAAAGTACATCCAAGAGGTCGTGCTAATCGGTGATAGTATCCGATGTCAAGCCTGCGAGCTGCATATCAGGCGACCACCATTGCCTTCCAGAATTGAAAGTATGGGGGCCAGCCGCGTCCAGCTTTGGAGCACATACGACAAGCGAGGATACCACCAGAGGTTCGAATCGCAACAAAGCCAGTTGCAGCCAGCATCGGCTTCGGAGAGCGGAAGCTCGTCGAGCCAGAGAGGATCCATTGCCGTGGCAGGGGATGCAAGGTCATTGCCTGCAGCTCAAAACAGTCGCTTCAAGCTGGCGCTGTTCACTATGGCAAGCAATAGCCCCTCTAGAGCAGCGAATACTGGCATGAGAGCCATCATCGTTGAGCGTACGTAACTTTGAGACCTGCATAACCATGGAGGCTGACTTGACCTGCAGTAGATCGGGAAAACATCCAGCTCGACAGTCGAGCTGGCGACTCTCGAAAAGTATCTTTCTCACGAGCTGGAGAGCACGCATCCTTTCCAGTGGCAGTGCTTGAGCCGAGTGTAAAAGTTGCATCACCTTCTGGGCCAGATGAGCAGTATCCTGGTATTCCCATGTCGCCGGCGCAGCTGAATGAGCTCATCCGAGAATCAAAAACGAGGCTCAAGCGACTGGAAATAGAGTTCCCTGAGCGTTCTGTGGGTATGTTGTGCACCGCAATTTCGAAGCTGCCCTCTTGCTGATGAACATCAACAGATCGGACAAATCTGCTGGCGCTGCTCGAGCATTACCGGGTGTTCTAGCTGATATTCCGATCCAGTTCAGCGTCTTTCCATAGCGGAACGATATAATCGTCTTCCCGAGAATCCTAGCCAAACTCAGGGCAATAGCGAGTCGGATAGCGCAAGATGCGCGATAGCAGCCGCCGAGATGATACTTCGAGGTGCATGAATGCACAACAGGTCCGAGGGCGCAACACCAACAGTAGCAGCCGTCGAGACAACGCTCCGATGTGCGCAGACGCTGTAACGAGGCATGTCTTCGGTGATACCCAGGATGTACAGGATCATGTGCATTTTGTATTTAATGTGGCTTAGGTTGTTGAGCGCCCGTCTCATTCGAGTAGAGGCGTATCCATCTTGAGCTTCGTGTGCCGAAGCGTCCGCTGAGGTCCTGTGCGGCTCCATGACTTCCCGTGCCTGTAGGATGGGTGCCCTGAAGGAGGGATCCAACCTGGAAATGCTGTTGATCAGATGTCGTTCTTGCTTCCTCCAAATCTGCATCATATCGACGGGTCGATCGACGCGTGCTCGGCACCCGCCGCCGTAGATACGCGAAATGGCACCAGATAACCGTGTAGAGCCATCGCCAATGTGCAATAATGTGGTCAGGTTCCCGTGATAGTAGTAGGTACAAGTGGTCGCACAAGACAGGAGTGAAATGGAGGTGAAATGTGAGGTGTCAATAACCCCTCAATCTCCACCCTCCCTTTTGGATGCCCCTGCTCTCTCGCTTCTCCATCCACCCACACCTCATCGCGTCCTCCTCAACGCGTCTTCATCGACTGCTTCCGCCCGACTTCCATCTCTTCTTTCCTCGCAATCTGCATCACCAACCAACTTCGAGGCCGAAAGCCAAGCTTGGCGAAGCGATCGGCGGGATGTATGGCCAGAGCCGAAACTATGCTCCACAAGCCCAGAATCGGAGCCCTGCGACAACAAGACGAGGTCCTGGTATGCCATTCACGCATTTCATTCATCTAATTGCCTAGCAAACAGCTCGCGCTGTACGCTTTCCCCGCGAGATCATCTCACCCTTTCCTTCTCCACGGATCCGCGCGTGGAAAATCGCATCGCAGCGCAAGCGCAACATGGATCAAGCCCGCGCACACCACCGCAAAATCAGCTTTGCTGACCTTGAGCGAACCTTTCGCGCTGCAGGTCCTATGGTCGCTCCTCCCCATCAAGCGCACGCCCAGCAACCCGCTTTGACCCAGTCGCAATTACAACAGCAGCATCTCGAGAACATCCGGCGCCAAGACATTGCGCGCCGGCAGGCCAAGAAGCCGACCGACCGCGATATTCCGGACGAGATCAACGAGGCCATTGTTGGAGATGGAGTCGATCGCTACAAGAAGTTGCGCGATGTGGAGAAGAGGCTGGACGCGGTCATGATGCGCAAGAGGCTGGACATCAGCGATAATCTACAGCAACGCTACACCCGGAGAGAAGGCATTCTGCGGATATGGATCTCAAACACAGCCGAAGGACAACCGTGGCAGGTCGTGGAGGAAGGCACAGGCAACGAGGACGGCATGTTCGAGCTTGGGGAGAGTCAGGCTACGTTTCGCGTGAAGATCGAAGGCCGGCTGCTGGACGACCCAGAGGATGACGAGGAGGACGAGCGCCCGCCGGCCCACAGGCCACGCCTCAGCCATTTCTTCAAATTCATGACCATCGACTTCGATCGCAATCCAAATCTCCAGCCCGATGGGTTTAGCCAAATCGAATGGCGGAAGCCGCAACCGACGCCGCAGAACCCGAACATCGATCCTCACAGCCCTGAAGTCTCCTTTGACACACTTGAGTTCACTCGCAAAGCCGACGAAAACATCAATGTCACAATCAACCTGACCCGCGACGAGAAGACCGAGCGGTACAGGCTAAGCCCGGAACTTGCCGAGATTCTGGACACCGAAGAAGAAGACCGTGCGGGTGCCGTGCAAGGCATTTGGGAGTACTGCAGAGCGATGGGCTTGCAGGAAGACGATGACAAGCGCAAGATTATCTGCGACGGACCGCTACGGAAGGTGAAACGGTGTCTGTCGCGATCTTGATGTTATCAGTAGGTACTGACTGGCCTTTACAGGTGTTCAACCAAGAACAAATTTACTTCCCATACGTGCCAGATATGCTGGTGCCACACATGCATCCTATTCCGCCAGTGCAACTTCAATACACTATTCGGGTCGACAAGCCATATATCACAGGTACCAAAGATCCAGAATCTCCATCAGAGGACGAGAACGAGGAGGAGCTCAAGCCAAGCCGGCCTACTGTTTACGACATCCGCGTTCCATTGCCAAACCCACTCAAGCACCAGCTGCAACGATTTCAATCATCCAAATCTCACATCGGGGATCTCCAGACCATAGTGAGAACCGACGATGATCTCGCGCTGCTCGTTCAGAAGATTCATCAGACCAACGCCAAGCGGAAGTTCTACGACAACCTGGCCAAAGACCCAACATCCTTCATCAAGCGCTGGATCAGCAGTCAGCAACGTGATCTTGAGGTAATACTAGCCGAAGCAACACGTGGTGGAGGCGAAGACGTGATGAACGAGGAGTGGCGCCGCGGTGGCGCTGATGGAGTTTGGGGATCTGAGCTGGCACGGGAAAGCGTTGGTCTCTGGCTTGCACGCAATTCGAAGGCGGGTCACTAGAAGGGCGACGAGAATTGCAAAGGACAGAAAGCAGCTGCACGCGAAGATTTCGCGAGCGGAAATCGTCTGGATTCTGAGGACCCCCATGATGGCAGCAGTGATACCTCGACTCCCGCCAACGGCAACGCACAGAAGTCAGTCGATGAGAAAAAGACCGAGGCAATTTGGAACGGCTTCGATAACCTGACGAATGCATGAACACGATGACGGAGGGCTGTCCTGGGGCGCACGAAGCCGCAGGACCTGTATTGCCCGTGTCGCTATCTCGTGTCACGCTGACCCTTTCATCGGCATCAGACCTACGAGAGATAGCATGCACAAAGGCCACCTCATCCTACCAGACAGAAGCCTGATCAGATCGAAGCAATGCTCGTAAGATTACAGAGGAGACAGGCAGGGAGAACGTAGGTAGTCTCGAAGCAGAAAATCATATGTTCGCCAAAGGGCCCAGCTGTGGTGGTGGTGTCCGCGCGTGCAAAGCTATGACTGCTTTCAGATGTTACGCTAGTAGTGCTCTTCCTTCTACGTGGGGATGCTGTGTGGCCTTCATTACCCTGGCGCCGTATTTTTGGCAGCGACACCTTTTGACGACTTCTTCTTCTTCTCTTGGACCCTAACCTAAATCCAGATTTTCAATTTCTCGTGGTGTAGATCGACTTTCTGTGGATTGATTTCACGTTATACTAAGGCAGACACATTTGTGACAATCCTTTAGTAGGGCTGTGCGTGAAACGTATGTGGTAGAGAGCATGCCATGGGCGTGGTTGGAGTGCAAAAGCAATAAAACTGCTAGTCACGAGTTTGTTTGTTTGTCCATGCTGCACCAATGACGAGCTTGGTAATCCTGGACAACAAACTCAAAAAGCCACTTCTGCCATTGGTAGATTATGTGATCTGGGCCATTGGAAAGGTACCAATCTCCGACAGTGTTGATGCCAACCTCACCTCATCCAAGACAAGTGGTTCCGCAGAGAGCCTACATGCGCAGCAGCCAAAGGCGCCTACTCTAATGGTCTTCTTGTAATAGGGATCAAGTCGGCTGTCAATCTTCAGCAGGACTCTCCAAGACATGATTTCGTGCTTCGCGGACGGAGTCTTGCCCCACGTATAGCTGCGTAACCCGTGTTGACTACCGGTACCTAGGTACACCAAGGTAGTAGGAGAAGGCCGAGTGGAAAGATACATCGATGCCAAAGGCTGTCCCAGGTCGAAGAATAGCAAGCCAATTCGGGCGAGGTGAATCGCAATGCGGCTAGATGCTGTAGCGCAGTATAGTCACATCTTCTCAGCAGCGAACAGTCTGGTTATGCGGGGCAGGTCACGGGGCAGGAGCTGCCTCCGCACTGTGAAGGTTTGGTGTGTGTGAGTACCTTCCTATTCAGGCGAAGATCGGAGGTTCCCCGGCAGAGGTCCCATTCGAAGGCTCCCTGGCAGGAATAGGGAGGTTTCAGCTTGTGAATGCTGACCGAGCCACCACGGCATGCTGTAGAAGGTGGCGATTGAAAGGCGACCAACAAGGTAGAAGATCGCGCGTTATGATTCGCGGCCGGCAGAAATGCGAAGAAAGGTCGCGGTTTTTGTTGCCCGGAAAAGAGCCCGGAGAAGAATGGGACGAAGCGGATAGCGCGGCGTCATCGCGATCGTAGCCGGTTTGGAGTCACGTGACGGACTCCGTTTCCCAGCGGCCTCGACATGCCTTGGGTCCGTGAAGAAAGCCCGGAGGCTGAAAGGCAGGCAGAGGCGGGTAAGCGGAAGATAGAGTCAACAAAGCGACTCGGGGGCGGCAGTGAAGATAGTAATTGGGGGTGGAGTCGTGCAGATGTGTGAAGAAGTGTGAAGAGGAGGGGAGTGTGGGAGTGCTCTTGCCTTCTGCCGAGTAAATTGGTCCGTGCAGCCGCTGAGAAATGTCCCCCGTCGCTTCCCTCATAAGAACCTCCTTCCGGTGCGTCATCAGTTTCTCAGTTTCTCGCTCGACGTCACAACTTCCCTACGAATCTTTTGCGCGCATTGACGGTCAGCAGAACGAGTGCAGGTCACGTTGTACTCACGAGCCCATCTCAATCGCGACTACTGCTATTCCTCTTGGACCCAACACACGAGCACACCGCGTGCAGAGACGATTTCTTGGAGCCCGTCGCAATTTGTTTCGCCAACACGCGCCTCAACGTCATTCATCAATAGCCGCACAAGTTTCATCGCGAGTCCATCAACGCAGTAAGTCCATCACCAGAGCCTCTGGGAATCGCGTTCGCCGTGTCCGATACTGGGTGGGTGCAGCCTCCGCGGACGCCATCTGCATCGCGGTCGAGTTTTGCCACTCGGCCTGGAGGGCAGAGGAGGAGGAGGTGACGAGGCGTCCAAAAGGGGCGCGTCGAAGCTCCAACACCCACTTACTGTCGCGTGCATAGCCTGCGCTCCATGTCGTGAATCCGCTGCAGTGTGCTGACCAGATCCAGTTTGGAGAGAGACTGCGCGAGAGAAGGAGTTGGTTGTCAGAAAACAGCGGAGGGAGGAATTGAAGTGCTTTGCTGAGGAGGAAGATCGTCACTGCCAAAGCAAAGCCATACGACGTCATAAGTGGAAGGAACCACCACAAACATCATCCAGCATGGCAGCCGTCACAACTCGAAACTCACCACACTTGAATTCCGGGACGAAGAGCATGACAGCGTCCCCTCGCTCTACTCGCACTTCACAGCAGAACTCAGGTATGTCGTTGTCGCCTCCCGACCCCTTATCAAACCCACACCTACTCGAGTCCTGCCCCATCGCATCGAGGCGGGTCTTCCCCATGGATGCGATCTGGCGCGCTTTCGTCATAGCGTTCCCAGACATTGGCACCTCGAGACCATGCCACCACCTACAAGGGTGAACAGCACTGATGTTCACAAACAGACAGCGTGAAGAAGGACGAATCAAGCAACGGCGACACGAAGCCAGGTGAGTCGAACAATCGCCCTTTCCCGCGCACACCTTGACGGCGCAAAACACCCACCGGGTCCATCTACCAACCCATGAGCACAACAACTGACGCGCAATGGCAGAAGTCCCTACCATCAATCAGCCCGAAGACAGCGACGCGCCCACCAGCGGCAGCAAAGACAACGCCGCGCCCGCCGCCAATGCCCCTCTCGCCCCGCCACCGAAACCTTCCCAGCAGAACGGCGACGGCGACTACTTCACCGGAGCGCATAATACAACACACTTGGCAAAAGAGCCGAACCCGTTCGAGAACGCTTTCGGAGGCAACCCTGCAGAAACACCGGGCAAGTCGCAGCTACCTGGCGTAGCCAGCCTCACATCGCCAGCGCCTCTCCTTCCTGGCAATACACCCGGCTGGCCCGGCTCTCTTCGTTCAGGTCCTCTCAGTCCGGCTATGCTCACTGGCCCGACGGGTTCGAACGACTACTTCAACAGCGACCACCACTTCGCCGGCAGCTTTCCCACCCCGAACGAGTCCTCGCTTCGTACTGGTCTCACACCTGGCGGTGGCGGGTCTATGTTCCCACAGCCATCGCCCAACTCGCAAGCACTCTACAACCAGCTACAGAGCGGAGGCGCCACACCCGGTACTCTGGACTTCCATCGCACCGCCATGACTGCACGCGCGCAGACCAACAACTACATTGGCCAGAATCCCATCACGAGTCAAGCGCAGTCGAATCCCAACATCCAACCAGACCTCGATAGCAAGCCATATAACCCTACCGCTACCAGCGCACCGCAAGACAACCAGGATCCTTTCGGTTCCCACCAGACCAACGACGCGGCAAACGGCCTGTTCATGCTCGCGCAAGCTGGCGGACAACAGCGCAACTCGTCCGGCTACCCAATGTCTCAGCAGCAAGCTCCGCAAGGCTTTCAACAGAACAACCAGAGCAGACAAGGTGGAAAGAATAGCGTTGGCAGCAATATGTCCGGCACGACTGAGGGCACTGATGAACGATTTTCGGACGATGCAGACAGTAAGCCTCCCACCCGAGGTGGTCGCGGTGGCAAGAAAGGTTCGACTGGCAAGGCCGCACAGAATGGCAAGAGAAAGACGGATGAGCCAGCCAAGGGTCCGGCGAACAAGAAGCAGCGAAACAGCGCCATGTCGGAAGAGCCTGAAGATGACCTTGACCACGACGATATCGGCGATGGCGACAAGGACAAAAAGATGACTGACGAGGAGAAGCGCAAGAACTTTCTCGAGCGCAATCGGTATGTTTGAAATCCCCATGCGCGGTTACGAAACCTGGCTAATTTCGATTTAGTGTTGCTGCTTTGAAGTGCCGTCAACGCAAGAAGCAGTGGCTGGCCAATCTCCAGCAGAAGGTGGAGATCTTCAGCACAGAGAACGATGCCCTCGCTGCTACCGTTACCCAGCTGCGAGAAGAGATCGTCGGGCTCAAGACCCTGCTGCTTGCCCACAAGGACTGCCCCGTGTCGCAAGCGCAAGGGATCTCAGGCATGGCGATGCAGCAGATCGCTGGCGATACGCAACACTACGCCAATCCTTACGGTATGATGGGCCAAGGCGGGCCGGGCATGCAGCAAGGCCAGATGCCACAGGGTCAGATGTCGAGAAGGTGAGTCGGTGCGGCAACCGCCGTACATTGCGACACCTGCTCACTTATGCCACAGCTAGGGTCTTCCTGCACGAGATGACAGCGGAAGAGTGCCGAGTTTAGAAGATGAAAGTCCTACCAGGTTCCTCAATTTCTCGTCGTCAGACCCACAAGTTCAACAGGACCGAAGATGGACCCTGTGAGCGATGTGTACTCTTTGTACTGTAGATGAGTTCCAACTTTACGCTTTAAGGGCGCTAGGGATGCACAAATGGTGGGCAGAGGCGTTTATGGGAGAAAAGAGTACTTCTTTATGGGAGGCTAGAGATTTGCAGGGCATTTTCTGGGGAGTGCGAAAGCCATTCCTAGCGGGTGGTGAGGCTCACTCAGGTAACAACAGCAAGAGCGCCAATGCTACGATAAGTTATTGAGATAATTGACGAGAAGAATCATAATGAAATCAGTGCTGAGCCGAAGAGAAGACTTAAGTGTGAGTGGCAGAGGCCCATGGTCACTGGTTTTGAGATTTGGTCTGTGAGACACAGTGTAATACATTGTGATCACGGTATGAGCATAGGAGGTTGGCGCCAAGAATATATATACGCCCCTGTGTAAGTGTGGAAAGAGGCGGCTTTCACGATGTTCTGGTCGTGTGCTTACAGCTGGGCCTGTGTCCGATTATTTTTGCGGTCTTCGAAGCCGTGATCACTGCGTCTCACAGCCTGTATGTGCGTGGGTACCACGGGCTTAGTGAGTGGTATCGATTGGGATGGAGTCTTGCTTGTGAAAGCCCCACCTCCACAGACCCAAACAAACTAAGCCATCCCCGGCGCGTCACTTCACGTCCACCAAACAACATGCGCGTCTTTCCCTGACGGAGCACCTTCGGCTTCAATCGACAATGCTCCATCCGCGATCAGCGTGACAATGACCTCATCTAGCCGCTCCGAGCGCGTCGCAAATGCCCTCCAATCCCTCCTCGAACGTCTAGTCCCGCAACAACTACCTGGAGAATCCGAAGAGAACGCGGACCAACGCTGGGAAGACGCCAATAACTTTGCGCACGAGGTGATCGACCAAGCAGGCAACAACGAGCGCAATGCAGACGACGTGAATCATGCGGCGGATCTAATCTCGAGGAGACTCGTGAGGGATGGGAATGGGTCTCCAGAAAAGGCGGCGCAGTTTGGGAATCTGTACAGCCGGTTATTGGCGCAGCCTGTTTTGGGCAAGAAATGGGGGATTCTATACTTCTTGTTGAGGGTCGCAGAGGCTGGGGATGGAGATTCGTTGGCTCAGAGTGGGAATGGGATCCATGTGCAGGAAGAGCAGGAAGAGGAAGAGGAGGAAGAGGAGGAGGAAGAGGAGCAGGTGCAGCAAGTGAGAGGGGTTGGAGAAGATGGAGGAATATACGATGGGCAGAATGAGGTCTTTGACGATGCATTTGCGAGGAATGGGTTGCATAGAGTCCCTACTGCGAAGGGTCCGGACAGTCCAAGGGATCCTCCAGTCCGCGAGCGAGGGAAGGGTGTACCTGCAAGGTCAAGACCACAACAGACAGAGGAAGAGGCGCCTCCGTCACCGCAGAAGAAGGCCATGGAATTGGAGCCATCAGAAGCTGCGCTGCTGAGGGATCTGCCCTTCACGCTTCAAGGCCTATCGTCAAACAATCTCCCTTTCGCAGACAAGAAATCGGTCACATTGCCGGCCACACTACCTGTACCGCTGGTATCGCTGCTGCACTCACTCGCTGAGCCTTCTTTGTTATATCGATCGCTGTCCGACTTCGTCGACTCTGACGAAGGTGGTCTCGTAGGACAGGCCCTGCGATACGCAATCGGAGTCGAACTACGATCGTATCTGGGCTTAGTCGCTACCCTGGAAGGACAAATACGTCGCGCCCTCGCCCAACTGGACGAAAGCCTTCCCCACGGAGGCTTGGGCAAGGCAGCGGTGACCTTGAAACGATGTGTGGTCTGGACACGAGAAGCTACACTGGGACTACGATTGATGAGCATGATAGTAGAATCAGCAAAGGGCAAGAAGGGTGGTGAGCTGATCAGCCTAACACATACCTTCTCTTCGTCGCACGGAGATCCATTTGTGCATACTTTTGCCGAGAGGCTGCTCTCGCATATTACCAAACCATTCTACAGCATGCTACGGGCTTGGATCTACGATGGAGAACTCGAAGATCCTTACCATGAATTCTTCGTATACGAAACCCAAGACAATGATGACGTTGGTGCCACCAGTGTTTGGGAGCACAAGTATCGGCTCAATGAGAGCATGATACCCTCCATTGTCACGTCCGAGTTCGCGCAGCGCGTCTTTTTGATTGGAAAAAGCTTGAACTTCATTCGATATGGGTGTGGTGACAGTGGCTGGGTTGAGTCCTACAGCAAGAAGGCTTCCCGAGAGCTCAAGTACGGCGACACGGCCATGCTCTCCACAAGCATTGACGAGGCATACAAGACTGTCATGGCTCGATTAATGGATCTGTTGGAGAGCAAGTTCGCGCTATCTACAAATCTCAAAGCGCTGAAGAAGTATATATTACTCGGCCAAGGCGACTTCATCGCGCTGCTGATGGAGTCTCTTGCGTCTGCACTGGACCGACCGGCCAACAGCCAGTACCGCCACACACTGACCGCACAACTTGAGCACGCGATCAATCACTCCAACGCACAGAATGATGGCCAAGAGGTCCTCCGGCGGCTTGACGCCCGTATGCTCGAGTTGAGTCACGGCGAGATAGGATGGGACGTGTTTACGCTAGAGTATCGCGTCGACCCTCCGCTGGACGTCATCATCACGCCTTGGTCTAACAGACAGTACCTGAAGGTCTTCAATTTCCTCTGGCGAGTGAAGCGTGTCGAATTCGCACTCTCGACCACTTGGAGAAGACTGCAGACTGGTGCGAGAGGCGTGCTTAGCGCTGTCACCGATCGGCTTGGTGCAGACTGGAAGATGGTACGGGGCGGTCTGGCCGAAATGATCCATTTCGTCGATCAACTGCAATACTACATCCTCTTCGAAGTCATCGAGAAAGGCTGGGCCGACCTCGAACTGGCAATGCACAAACCCGATGCCACCCTTGATACACTGATCGAAGCGCACACTAAGTATCTGCGCGACATCACGAGGAAAGGTCTCCTGGGCGGCGCCGGATATCTGGACTTTTCCACTCAGCTCCACGAGATCCTGAAGCTGATGCTAGCGTACAAGGATGCCGTCGACAGCCTGTACAGCTATAGCGTGGCCGAGTTCACGCGACGACAGGACATGGCTGCTCGAATCGAATCACGCACACGCGCCGGGCGATGGGGTATCACCGAAGCAGACGAAGAAGCCGCACAAACCACCCCTCTCCTCCCTCCCTCGAGCGTCGCCCGTGACAGACGGGAAGCCGCATCACCCCTCCCACAACTGCTGAGCCTCCACGGAGGCGCAGAAGGCGAGCGCGCCATGCTCGATCAACTCCGGCAACGACTCAAGTCTCTGCCCCTCGATTTCCGCGCGCGCACCAACTTGCTCCTCGGCGACCTGGCGCATCAGCCGGACAGCGATATGCGGTTCCTGGCCGTGGTGATGAATTTCAACGATGTCTATAACCCGGTGCGGAAGAGGAAACCACCGCCGCCGCAGCAGCAGCAGTCGCATCATCATCATCATCCGAAGAGCGAGAAGGAGAAGCTTTCGGCTGCGAGTGTTACGAGTTCGACCTCGTCGAGGAGGCCTCCTCAGGCGCAGGAAGGCAAGGCCTGAAATTTCGTGCTTGGCGTTTTTTCATGCATGCAAGGCGCTCTCGGGAGTCACGCTGTGCATTGTTTTGTCGGGGATGATGATATGCACGACATACCATTCGCAAAATTCCTCATCGACTTCACAGAACCGTAACGACGACGACTTCTGTGAATTACGGTGAGAAAAACGGGGGAAACGGACTCTAGCTCTCTCAAAAGTCAAGTGTCTATCCATTTGTTCATTTGTTCATTTCAAAATCGTTACTAATCCTCTTTCGTCTCGTGTAACCATCATCCACTTGTGACTTCATTCTCCCAATTCCCGATTCAGAATATCATTCGCAAAAATGGTATCGCATCGCGAGGGAGCAGCCCACAGACCCAAACGCCCAATTTCAAAGCCCATAATTTTTCCTGTTCTAAAGACTTGTCTGTACACTAGATACACACAAGTATCGGTCAAAAGAAAAAAAGTTCGTCGAAATCGTTAAATCTCGCGAAGTGCCGCTTTGCTTTTTTCTCTAAATGCTCGTGGTGATGGTAGTCGTAGTCGTAGTCGTAGTCGTAGTAATACGACGTCAAAGAAACACCCGTCCCAAAAACCGCGCATTGAGTGGTTTGCTCATTCGTCGGCGAAACGGAAGTGCCTCGAAGGCTTCAAGTTTCTTGTTGTTGTGGAACGTTTTGAGCTGGCGCCGCAGAGACCACTGCCTGAGATGGAGGAGGTCGGGTAGTAGACGCGTGGGAGGCCGGCGCTCATGGGCACGGTGGCGTTGCCACTGCTGTCGACGGTGAGGGTGTCGCAGGAGAGGAGTTCCGTGAGTTCCGTGTCGGCATCGTAGCCCGACGGGATGTCGAGGGTGTAGTTGGAACCCGAAGATCCGACGTTGGAGAGGACGGTGAAGACGCTGCCCTTTTTCATCGCGATGTTGGTGTAGTCGTTGTAGACGTGCGAGTTCTGCGTCGTGGTGTAGCTGCTGTCGTCGGCGATGGCGTGGTGTCGGATGGCGTTGAGAGTCGTGACGAGTTGGTAGAGGACGGCGTCGGTGTTGTATCCGGACAACCAGAGGGCTTCGCGATTGTAAGGCGTCGAGCTTCCGCCTTCGGCGTTGTAGTGTTGTTCCTGGCCCTGGTACACAATCGGAATCCCATCCGTGAGCATCGTGAAGGCGAGCACGTTCTTGGCAGCGGCTATGTCTCCGTTCAGGGATGCGAATCGTGGCTGATCGTGGTTCTCGGAAAACGTGCCGAGCAGGGACGTATCCGGGCAGCTCTTGATCGTGTCAATCATGTCAGCCAGATCGTAAATGCTTCCTGTCGTGCTCTCGAAAGCAGCAACAAGCGGAAAGTACCTGCAATCACCCGTCAGCCACCACCGCCTCCACAGTAGCAAAGCTCCGCTTCCAACCCATGCAAGCCCAGGGATCAGATCTTTATACTCACATCGGGTAGTTCATGACACCCGGCACATAATCCTGGAAGGCGCAAACGAAGCCCTCGTCGCCTTCCAAGACCTCACCAACCGAGTACACGCCCGCGGCGCTCTGGAAACCAGACCAGAAACCGGTGTTGACCTCCATGAGCGAGTCGATGCGCAGGCCGTCGACGCTGTAGTTTGACACGAGCTCTCCGACCCATGTGTCCCATACCGCCGAAACATTCTGTGCTTCGGTCTTCAGGTCCGGCAGTGGCACCGTGGTGTCGCCCTCCCAGCATTGTTCGATGTTAGTCTGTGCACCAGTCAGCGTGCGCGATCTCGATCCGATCCTTGTGATAATCGTGGGAACAGGATGGGGTAAATGCACGGACAGTAGTAGGTTGGGGGAAAAAGAAAGATATCCCCGCAAAAGCGAAGATCGACATCTCCTCAAGAGGAGCGCGCAAAGTCGCGGAAGGTACGTACCGTGTTTGTGTCGTCGCTGTAGTCAATTGCGCAGTATGGGTGGAAGTAGCTCTCGTCGTTGAAGGGGACGAAGATGCTATAGTCGATGGTATCTGGCGAGCCGGAGTATGCGTAGTGATTCGTAACCACATCGATCATCAGCAACTGCGTCACGAGGAAGTTAGCAGGTAGTCAGGCGACGAGTGAAACGGCCATGATTGCGTTTTGCCTTGGTCTTCATCAACATACCATGCTGCGAGAGTGCAGTTCCGAAGCGAGATTGGTGAGGTCGGAAGCAGTGCCAAAGTGCTCGTTGACGGCGTTGATGTCCTGTTGCCAGTAGCCGTGGTACGCAGAGCCGTCGGCCGTGTTACCCTCGAGTTGTTTTGTGATGGGTGAAATCCACACGGCGTCGAAGCCCATGCCTTGGATGTAGTCGAGTTGATCAATCAGTCCTTGCCACGTGCCATTGCAGTAAATGCCTTGGCTGGTATCGCAGGCTGCGGTCGTCGAGCCATCGGTGCGCGCGAATCGGTCGGTCAGAACTTGGTAGATTGTCTTGCTTCGCCAGTCGTCGCTGGTGGCAGCATTGGCGGCGCGACATAATGCCAAGCTCAGCACGGTGAGGATGCTGGCAAAATGCATGATGTATGCTGCTGCACTGCTGCTGCCAATAATGTGGGTCGGCCGGTGGTCGTCAGTAAAATAGAGAGAATAGACAGAGAGGAGGTTCAATGGAAGAAGGAACTATGTGCAGGTGGTAGGGGAGTGTTGGTAAGGAGCCGTTGCAGGGCAATCGTCGGTGCACACGAATCCAGTAGTGATATTGTCAATAAGATTGTTGTGAATACTACTACCCAAGGGTCAACACAACGACCTCAAAGACGAAGGCGCGTCCGAGCGGCTTTATACTCCAACGGCACAGCCAACCTGCTTCACACATGTTTCGCGATTCGCATTGCCGGCGGAGGGCAGCTGCGTGTGTGCAGGGCAGGGCTTCGTCACAAGGCGATCTATCCGCCCACTACTCCGTCCAGAGATGCGCCAGCGCCGGCGCCGGTGCCCGGAGCGGCAGCAGGTGGAAGAGAATGATGATGTGATGAAGAGGAGGAATGCAATGCTGCCCTGGCCGTGAGCCGGTGAGAGGCACAGGCACAGGCACAGGCATCACCACAACCGGGAGGAGTCGCAGGTGCGCACGCCGGCACGCATATGTCGAGCAAACCGCCGGGCCCGAGTTTGTGTTTGTGAGGCACGCCGAGGGCTGATGATCGGCTTCCTTGTTGACCGAGCAGCTGCCGTGCCTGCGCTACCGTCCACAGCTCCGCCTCCTACGCTCCAGCATCATCACCATCATACCGATCAGATGCGTGCGTGAGGAGGTGAAGCCACGAGGAGGACTAGTCTGTAGTGCTCACGCATGCTTCGACGCACGCTTGTCGATCCGTAGCTTCAGACGACCGGCGCCTTAAGCGACAGCCTTTGGGGCGATTTGCGCAACAAGCCAAAGCTTCGAAACGCCGGTCGTCCGCGGGAGAGGACAAAGCAGAGCAGCGGCCGAAAGACATGTGGAGCCTGCTGAATTTGTCGGTCACGCCCAGCAACTGGCCTGGTGTGCGGTCCCATCCACCATCCACACGACACATTCTCCATACCACTCTTCCGCAACCATGGCGGTCTTGCTCGCAACCTGACGCGCATTGCCGGCCACGAGTCACGGCCTGCGACAAGGGCCTCCTTGCACATTCTTTGTTCTGTCTGGTTGTTGTGCTGGAGTCTGGTGTCAGCTTCATGAATCAGTAGGCAGTCCAAGGCCGGCGGAGTAGTTGGAAGCGAGCTGGTCCAGTGGTCAAGGTGGAGGTCAGCCTCTACCCGGCTAGAACTACGAGACGGGGCGCCGATCTCAGGCGCTGTCCGCCACATTGTTGTGTGTGTGTGTGTGGTGGTGGTGGTGGTGTTGTGTGCTGTGTTGCTCTGCACGTCGTGGGGAGCTAGTAACCTATCGACACCCTTCAATGGTGGATGGGTGATGGGTGGAGCCGGTCGTCTGTTGCTCCCTCCTACGATACGACTGAGACCTGCCTCGGGCGCTGGGAATGCGCACACAATCCATCCACAGGGCCATTGTTTTCTTTTTTTTTTCTTTCCCGCTTGCCGCTTGCCGGAACTCCTCCTGTACGGCGGGCAAAGGACTGATACGGGTACGTCAGCAACTTCACGCATCGTCGCAGCCACCGCGCAATCCTCCCGGGCAGTGAGGGAGAAGAGGGTACACTTGCCGTCATGCGCCTCGTCTTCCCTTCGTACTTCCTTCGCTCGAGCGTCTCCATGGTGGGAATCTTGACGGTGTAGAGGAAGACGCAGCCGGCGCATATGCAAGATCTGCAGCGAAGCAAAGAAGTCGGGGTCGGCCTCATGACCCGCAGCAACCTTAGCAGCGCGTGGCTTGCACGGACTACTACTACTGCCGCCAAGCATCATACCGTCGAGACCGTCGAGATTGCTAGCTACCTCTATAGTGGATGATTGTGTGATTGGATGACACGTCCTCCCTCGCACCGCACTACCTTCGAAAACGGCATCTCCAGACAACCCGGCCTCTCTTCGCCACATCAGACAGCTCCAGTATCTCACCAACAACACCTTCGGATGATGATGGTGGTCATGATGTCGCGTCCAAACATGAGTCGCTTCGAAGAGCCCGTCCTTCCCGAGCGCATAGCCGCGGCGGCCAGATCTGCGGGCGCGAACGACTTGTTGTTGCTGCTCCATCACCACTGCAACGATTCGACCTGAGAACGAACATGTGGAGAAGGGGCGGGATGGATCAGGTGTCTGAGACTTTCCTTTGCCCCGAGCCGCGGTCACAAAGGTATGACATCTCCGCCGGAAAGGAACTCACATGAGGATGCTGGGCCAGGTACCCGATACTTCAGATACAAGCACAAGCTCACCTCCTGCAACTCATGACTGCCACAAGCGAGGAGAGTACTGCAGCCGGAGCGCTTCGGGCAGAGGCAGAGAGGAGCCAAGAGGTCATCGGTCGACGGCACGCAGCGGCAGCAGCTGTCCATTGCATGCATCCTGCAGTACCGAGCCTTATTACACTAAACAGATTGATCATTGCAGCACCCTCGTTTCCATAGGGCCCAGCTTCCCTGTCCACACATCTGCGCGCTCACATCTTACCTGCTTGCTGCCCTCCACATTCCACCCGTCTTCCATCAGTCATCCACGACTGCTGTGCGTCTGCACTCGACCATGTTCCTGCCTGTCGGTCAATCGTACAACCGATGATGCGTGCGAAATTCCCCTTGTCCGGATGATGGAGCGAGTAACGCGGCTGGATGCTCCTCGCCCCTCCTTCCACATCATGCGCCGTAATCCCTATGCCCCCCGACACGTACACAAGCGAGCGTCGCCGAGAACACCACTGAGGGCGGAGATGCAATGGAAAGGGGAGAGAGGTGCAACAGTCACCGTGCTGCCCGACGGCATATGCTGCAGCGGGGTAGTATTTTGATGAGCCACCTGAGGCGACGACAGCATCATCGCACCCGGACGTGAAGACCGGTGACCAATGTTGCGGAGACTGAGGAGGCGGTGACCTTCCTGAGGTGGTTGGTAGATAGTATGTTTTCCAATGTGGAGAACTTGGAAGCTTGCAAAACCCTGGGACCCAAATCTTCGTCCACCGCCGCTCCCAGACCTCGGACCACGTGGCCACCAGCTCATCGTCGGCGGGTTTTCAAAAGCGAACGGCAACTCCACACAGCGTCGAAAAGCGCAGCACGGCGCTGATGCGAAGACTACAGGCCTGATGCTGGCAGACATACGCACCCTTCGTTCGGCGGGATCCTTTGAAATTGGTTTGGGATATGCACCGGATGACTGCAGAAACAGCCAAGCCTCCTCGTGTGCAGCGATTGGATGTCAGATCCGGAGGACATGTCGCGAAACGGTTGCATCGTTTCGGGGCCTGAAGGTCGTGCGATCGCAGGAGAGCGTGTCTGCGTCCCGCAAGGCTATACAGCGGCAGCGACAGGTGTGGCAGAATGTAAGGTAACAAATGCCACGCGCTCGGAAATGCGACCACGTTGGACGTCAATGTAATTGTGCTCACTGCACATACCCTGGAGCAGCTCTTCGATATGCATCGCCGCGGTCGGTACCGGAGGTTTCAGGTCTGCGTGACGCGCCAGGCGCCTGTCTTATAGGTAGATTCATCTGCTGCTGCACGTAGTTGGCACTGCTTGTTCGGAGGGGAAACGGCCGTGACGACACGCTCGGTCCGTTGGAGGACGAGATCGGGATCTCTCCAGAGGTGGGTGTTTGCTCGTTTACGCTGGAGCTCATGCTGGCACTATGGCTTGGCGTCTCCTCGCCTCGCAGCATCGCCCGTGTGGATGGCGACAACTGCGGCGCCAGATGACTCTTCCTATTGTGCCGCTCCATCATGCTTACCGCCCACGCCTCCAAGTCGACCGGTGTGCGCTTTGCGGCCTGGAGGAACGAATCGGTGTCATACAGCTCTTGCGGTGTAGGTCGCTCATCGGGATTCTTCATCAAGCACTTGGCGATGACGTCTTCTAGAATCTGCGGGAAAGCATCGCTCTTCGGGAGTTTGGGTGCCGGTTCCAAGACAATCTGTTGTAGCAGATCGAGAATGCCCTGTGGTCCAGCCGCGTCGTCTTCTCCGTCTTCACTCTCTATGCTGAATGGGAACTTGCCGATCGCCAGCTCCATCAGTGTCAGACCTACACTCCACACGTCGCTCTTGACCGTGTACGGACTCCCTTGTATCCGCTCCGGTGCCATATAAGTTCCGGTTCCAACAAAGGTATCCGCCACGCTGTTTTCCAGTTCGGACGAGACGCCAAAGTCGCAAAGCTTGATCTGTCCCTTGCTATTGACCAGAACGTTGGAGGGTTTGATGTCTCGATGCATGATTCGGTGGGCAATATAGAGATATTTGAGACCGCCCAGGACGGACTCAGCAATCTTACCCAGGACGTCAACGCGGACGGGACCGAAGTTTCTAGATATGCTGTCGAGTGACCTGTGAGAAGCTTGGTGTTAGTGGCGGCAAATCCGTCGGCCGTTGCGAGGTAAGAAGACGTACCCAACATCCATGTATTCCATGCACATGGTGACATCGTTGGACTCGTTCATGAAGGCACCGTAGAAGGAGACGATGTAGGGCGAGTTGCACTCGTGCATAATCTGCAGCTCCCTCACGATTCGCTTCCGCACCTCCTTCTTGGCCTCGACGTGGATGATTTTCCTGGCCATGACGATATTCCAGCCCTTGTGCCGGACCTTGCTGACGGTACCACCATTGCCAGAACCAAGCTCTTTCACGACCTCCAAGTCCTCGCTCCGCCAATCAGGACGGAACTCGACGCCGATCTCGAGTGTGTCTGCCCGCTTGCCGTTGTTGCCCAGAGCACCAGGCAGCTGCGCGTCCTCGTCGGAGGGCACTGCAGGCTTGGATGGAGCGCTCAAGGCCAGGCCCTTTACGTTCTTCCTCTTCATCGTCCGCGCCTTGAACTGATCGGCGCTCATGTTGAGTGCTGTGTATCCGCCTGGGCCGGCGGCTGGCAAACGGGATGGAGGCTTCTTTGCGGCCAGGAGAGATATGCAGGGAAGGACGGGAGCTGTGAGATATATGCCAGCAGAACTTCGTGCTTGGTGTAGATGTGTTTCGTCTTGTGTGTCAGACAGGAGTGGATACAAAGGTAATGCCCAACAAGCGTGAGCAGCGTGGTGGCGGCTCCAGTGAATCAAGCGTTGGCGAATCAGTCGGCAGAGACCAACATGCCCAGCGCGCGTAAGTCTGCTGCGGCGTCGGCGGAGCGTTTCGTGCGCGGCAGCTAGGTTTTTATAGGTTGTGGGTGAAGGTACGTGAATGATCGCAGTCCGCAATGCGCAGGAGGATTGTCGTGGTTGAGATGTCGGCGGAGAGCAGTTCTCGGGAGCGGTCATTTGGCGACTTTTAGTTATGCAGCCAGACGGCCAGGGTGGGGGACCACACTATTGGATTGGAGTGCCAGAAGCAGAACCTCATGAATCCCTCTGCCGAACAGTTTCCGACCAGCACCAATCCGTCTGTCTAATAACGTTCAATAGTCCGCGAGAACTGCCGCGTGTCTACACTCATCAACAAGGGGTGCCACGCAGGCCTGCCGACGAGCATTGAAGAGTATCGAATTACTTGAATGAGGTCTGTCTCCGCCCCTGGGCGAACTCTAGCCGCGCCTGTCAAACAAAGAGGGAGTCGACCATCGCTGCTTTCGCCGTGATAAGATGAATCCGACCACATCGATGCGGACACATCTGTGTCTCTTCCAGCAGATGCTATCTCCACCTACATCGCTGTTGTCATCCCTGACTCGCAAGTGAAATCACCTATATCCACGGCTATTATTATACGAGATCCGGAGGTAGCTGCGGTCGTTCATCTAGATGCTCTCACGTGACTACGGGAACAGCCAGCTCCCGCCCGGCTTTGTCACTAGCGCTCCCGCAAGAAAGCTCCGCCTGGAGATGTGCACTGGCAGCTCGCGCGACTTGATGAAAGCGACAACATCTTTCACCCGCCGCTTCTCCCCACCGCTACCTAGAACCCCATCCGCGCCGCCAACTTCACCCGGTCACGTATTACTTGCGCTGCTGCTTGTCCGAACACAACATTGAGTTCTAGGCGCAAACCGGCTACTTGGACAGATCACTCGCGCTCCTTAATTCCTTTCACTCCCGACCAGCCGCCAACATGGCTGAAGCGTTCTTCGACACAAGAGCCGACGTCGGTAGCGAGGAGGAAGACGAGGACTTCGATGAGGATACAGGCGAGGCAATTCCTTCCAAGCGGAAGTCCAACAACAACGAGATGGATGATTCCAGCGAGGAAGAAGACGAGGATGACGAAGAGGAGGAGGCCAAAGTTCGCGAGGGTTTCATCGTGGACGAAGAAGAAGATGACGATGATGAAGAGACTCGGGCGGCGAAGAGACGCGAGAAGAAGAAGAGGAGACGCGAGCAGCGCGAGGAAGATGAGATGCTGGACGAGGAAGATCTGGATCTCATCGGTGCCATGCCGCAAGAGCGTCGTGCCGTCGAGCAGAGCAAGTTCAAGCGTCTAAAGCGTGGCCACCGGGAAGAACGCTCTGCGAGTGAGGCTCGAGGTGTTGAAGACATCTTCTCCGATGAAGAGGAAGGCGCAGAGCCTGCCGGCCTCGGGCGCCGCGCTGGATTTGGTCAGTACGATGATGAAATGGATGGATTCATCGAGCAGGACGAGTTTCCTGACGAGGAGGGCGGGCAAATGGACGAGGATCTCGGTGTGCGCGCGCCTAGAAAGCACGGCATTGCGGACCTCAAGAACCTGAAGGACTCTGGTCTCGGTGAAGCTGAGATGGAAGACATGCAGGGTGCTTTTGGAGATGGTGAAGAATACGCCTGGGCTCTGGAGGCCGAGGCTGCGAACAACGAAGAACAGATGGATCCAGAGAAGCCGCTTGAACTCAAGGATGTCTTCGAGCCTTCCCAGTTGGAGGAGCGTATGTTGACCGACCGGGACAACGAAATACGCGTCACGGACATTCCGGAGCGGTATCAGCTAGCTCGTGGAGCGTACAAGGACTTGTCCGATCTCGATGAGGCGCAACTCGCCGCACGCGCGGCAGAAGAAGCGAGCTGGATTACGAGTATTCTCTTTCCACGCAAGCGCATAGACCAGAAGCTCCGAGAGCCCTTTGAGGCAGCGATCAAGCAAGTTCTCGACTTCATGAACGTGGAGGATTTCGAGCCCTCTTTCATTTTCCAGAATCGCAAGGACTATTTGATTCATTCGGAGCGGGTACCTACCAATGACCCTAACGGCCCGGAGTTCACCATCAAGGCTGAGAAGCTGCTGAATCAGACCGACCTTTGGGATGTGTTCGAGCAAGACCTGAAGTATCGCGCGTTCGCAGAGAGACGAGATGCTATCCAGAAGAACGTCGACCTCTTGAAGGAGATTGAACCAGACTTCAACGACTCCGTCTTTGACGATCTCATCCCCCTCGCCGCCCAGCTTGATGACCTTCAAGACATTCAAGAGTACCTGAACTTCCAATACTCGCTGCAATTGAAGGACCTCAGCATTGCAGAAGCTGAAATAAACGGCGCCCAGAAGCGCGCTCGTGGCAACCGGGGTGTCTGGGATAAGGTTCGCTCTGGTCCGGCGTATCATTTTGTCCGTGCCTTCGGTATCACGGCTGATGGTATTGCGCAAAATGCTGAAAAAGTTGGGCGGAAGGCGTACACGGAGGACCCGGATATGCGACCTGAAGATCTCGCTGATACTCTAATACGGGATCCCGATTTGAAGACTGGACAAGATGTTCTCACAGCTGGAAAGGCTATGTTTGTCGAGGAGATCGTGACCAGTCCACGAATGCGGCGGCACGTGCGCAAAATCTATTATGAGAACCTGGTGTTCGACTGCCACCGCACCGAGAAGGGACTCAAGCAGATTCACGAAGACCATCCTTACTACGAGTTCAAGTATTTGCGGAATCAAGAAGTCCGCAACTTCCTGGTAGACCGCCCCGAGCTCTTCCTGCGGATGTTGAAAGCCGAAGCAGACGGATTGGTAGAGGTTCGCGTGAGACTCCAGAGAGAGCGAAAGATCAAGGAAGATCTGCGGAAAGCCATTGAGTCTGATAATTTCTCGGAAGTGGCCGATGCATGGAATGCACTTCGGAGAGATGTGCTCGACGCCGCCCTCGCTAAACTTCACCGAGTCATCGCGAAGGGAGTCAAGGATAATCTCAAGAATGAATGCGAAAACAAGATTGGCGGGTTCTGCCGAGATGCATACACCCAGAAGCTGGATCAGGCCCCATATAAGCCAAAGGGCATGGAGCTTGGCACATGCGCTCGTGTGTTGGCGCTTTCGAATGGCGCTGGAAACCGTGGAGATGCTATCTGCTGGGCGTATGTCGAAGAAAACGGACGGGTACTTGAGAATGGCAAATTCACCGACCTTCGTCTTGGCAACCCGGAGAAGGGTCTACCAGACGGTAATGATGTCCAAGGCTTTGTCGAGGTGGTGGAACGTAGACGTCCCGACGTTGTTGCCGTGTCAGGCTGGTCTGTGGAGACTCGTCGCTTGTACAAAGACCTCCAAGACATCATTGAGAAGAAGGATCTTCGTGGTACGCCATATGAGGACGAGGACGACCGCGAGGTGCAGGATGCCCTCGAAGTCATCATTCCACAGGATGAAGTCGCCCGCCTCTACTACAATTCTGATCGTGCCGCGGCGGACCACCCCGGCATCCCTCCAATCACCAGATACTGTGTTGCGTTGGCTCACTACATGCAGAACCCGCTCAAGCAGTATGCTGCACTCAAGAAGGACATCGTCTCCATCACGTTCGATCCAAATCAACAGCTCTTGCCGGAGGACAAGTTCAGGCGCTACCTCGAGACTGCGATGGTCGACATTGTCAACTTGGTCGGCGTAGATGTCAACGAAGCCCTTGCCGATCCACTGACGCAGAATCTGTTGCCATATGTATCCGGTCTCGGACCTCGAAAGGCCGACTACCTTGTCAAGACCGTCGGATCGAACGGCGGCGAAGTCATCAACAGGGTGACGCTTGCAACGGGAGACGTGGAGCGTGGCAGACGACAAGCAGTTGGGCCAAAGGTCTGGCACAATTGTGCAAGCTTCCTGTACATAACCTGGGAGGACGAAGCGGGGACCGACTATCTCGACAACACGAGAATTCACCCCGAAGATTACGACATCGCCCGCAAGATGGCCGCCGATGCCCTCGAGCTTGACGAGGAGGATATTGCCGGCATGAAGGCTGATGATGGCGACAGTGCAGTGGTCAAGAGATTGGTGAAATCAGAGGAGACTGATCGCGTCAACGACCTTGTACTGGAGCAATACGCGGAGCAGCTCGAGAACCAGTTCCAACAGAGAAAGCGTGCCACTCTGGAAACGATTCGTGCTGAGCTGCAGAACCCATATGAGGAGCTGAGGCGCAACTTCTCGCAGCTCACCACGGACGAGATGTTCACTCAGCTGACTGGTGAGACCCGAGACTCTCTCAAGGAGGGCATGATTGTACCGGTGTCGGTCAAGCGGACGTGGCAGGACCACATCGACGTACGACTTGACTGTGGAATCGAAGGAGGCATTTCGCAGACGGAGTATCCTGAGGAAGTCGTGAGAAACAACCTGGAGCCCAGACAGGTGTGGACTCAGCATCAGACCATACAAGCCAAGATCTCGTACATCGACCGCCGCAAACTGACGGCGCAGCTGACCATGCGAGAGTCGGAGCTACGGCAGACTTTCCGTAGTGTGCCCGATCATGGCCTCGACGAGTGGGATGAAGACCAGGAAGCTCGCGACAAGAAGGCTGCGAAGAAAGCACTGGAAATCAAAGGTGGTCGTCAGCAACGGGTCATCAAGCATACTCTGTTCAAAAACTTCGACTCGAATCAGGCTGTCGAAGCTCTCAAGACGCAGAGTCGTGGTGACTGCATCATTCGGCCATCTTCCAAGGGCCCCGACCACCTTGCTGTGACCTGGAAGATTGCCGATGGCGTCTATCAACACATCGATGTTCTGGAGCTGGATAAGGAGAACGAGTTCAGTGTGGGCAAGACCCTCAAGGTTCAGGGCAAGTACAGCTACAGCGATCTCGATGAACTCATCGTGCTCCATGTGCATGCAATGGCAAAGAAGGTCGATGAGATGACCAACGACGAGCGCTACCAGTCGGACACCAAGGAGGCAGCCGGTATGTATCTCAACATCTCTACTCTGCTTACTAGATCAATATACTGACGTGATCTTCTCCAGAACAATGGCTCACCACGTACACGGAGGCCAACCCGAAGCGCTCTATGTATGCCTTCTGCATGAACCCGAAATATCCAGGGTACTTTCACCTGTGCTTCAAGGCCGGTCAGCATGCGCCGCTTTCCTCCTGGCCGGTGAAGGTGATCCCACAAGGCTTTGAACTCAAGGGGCACAAGTACCCGGATATGAGAGCCTTGAAGAATGGTTTCAAGCTTCTATTTGCGAATCAAGGGCCTCAAGCCGGCGCAAGACGCTAGAGGTATGCTTCTGCTCTTTCTGAAGCAATGCAAGGATTAGGTCAGATACAGGACAACAGGTGAGATGGAGAGGGTACGGAATTAGAACTGTGCAATTGTTAGTTTGGGTGTGCTTTCCTGATTGATGTATCAATAGCGTGGCATTTGAGAAAGGCGCAAGTCAAGCGAGGTAAAATCAGAGATATACTCGCGAGGCTTGCAATGGACAGACAAGGCCGTCTCATCTACACAGATGAGACGAAAGGGAATGGGATGAAAAGTACGCGAACACCACTAGTCCATACGTGTGTGCGGGCAGCGTCTGCTTCTCCCGTCCAGTGACTCAGCAACTGGCATGTGAAGAAGACACCATCTGGAGTCATTCTTCTTCTGCCTTCTTCTCTCCAGAAGCCAGATCCTCGGAGCAGCAAATAATCATTATCGCCTGAACAATTTCCAGTCTGGCTTGATAATTCGAGGCGACGACTCTGTGCAGATCGATCTTACTTACCCGCAATAATAGTCTGCTTGTACCTGTTAGCTGCATGTCACACAGGCTGCCTGCCATCTTGGGAACGTTTCGACAAAAATGTGAAATCATCATGGGTAATACCTCATAACGATCCGTAGCACTCATCATTTGACAGCAATTGAGATTGGCGCCAGGTACAGTTTGACAGGTCCAGGTCCAGGTCCTCTTTGATGGAAAACTTCGCTTCGGAGTCGGATCCGCCCATCTCGACCCGTGGCGAGGACGGACGAAACTTCATCATGGGTCCAGTCCCGCCCGACTCCCAAGGGTGTTTGTTTGACATCATGCCGAATCAAGGCCGAAGGAGGGCTTTCCAATCAATGTTCCAGTTCGGACGCTATTCGGATCAGTCGCCGACCCGATGCCGATGGGCCCTTTTTTTTGTTGTTCCTGCATAGGTTTTTTTTTTTTTGATGATGACACGCCTGTCTAGTTCTAGGCAGGGCGGCCGCAATTAAGCATCCGTGGCCGCGGTGGGACGGCGGTTTTGGGGGTTTAGGTAAGGTAGGGATGAAGCTTGAGGCGATAAGTTTGATAAGGTGCCTGCAACTCGTAGTGTAGTGCGCGCTGGCACGCTTTCCAGGCGCTTCGAGCAAGGGCGACGCGCAACGTCATGGGTAGTAGTAGCAAGTAGCAGTTGGTGTGTTTAACAAGGCAGAAGGTGTTAGGGTGCGGTCTAGGGTAGGTCTTGTGGGAAATGATATATAATAGGTAGCCTTGCTCGTTGGTCTGAATCTGCTCCGCTTCGCTTTACTTTGCTACTCAATCCTCATCTGCCTCTTCTCGAATCTCGACGTTGAAACTTTTCCCACACGCAGCCATCGCCAGCGAAAGATGCCTTCCTTCACCGTCTTCAAAGGGCAAAAAGGCGGCAAAGTCGTCAAGTCCCAAACCACCAAGCCGGACCTCCAGAAGGACCAAGTCCTTGTCAAAGTGACCGCGAGTGGATTATGCGGTACCGATCTGCATTACCGGGAGGCCGACATGGGCCTCGGCCACGAGGGTGTTGGCGTTGTTGAAGAGACGGGACCAGCAGTAACACATCTAAAGAAGGGCGACCGTGTCGGATGGGGTTATGAGCACGACAGCTGCCTACACTGCCAAGAATGCCTTCGCGGTAATGAGACATACTGCGCTCAGCGGGCAATGTACGGGTTTGCAGACTTGGACCAGGGCTCGTTTGCGTCCCACGCTGTCTGGCGCGAGGCGTTCCTGTTCCAAATTCCGGACGCATTGAGTGACGAGGTTGCGGCTCCTCTCATGTGCGGTGGTGCAACTGTCTTCAACGCTCTGCACGCATACAATGCTCAGTCGACTGAGACTGTTGGGATTATGGGCGTCGGTGGTCTCGGACACTTGGCTATCCAATTCGCCGCCAAGATGGGTTGCCACGTCGTTGTTCTCAGCGGCTCTGACAGGAAGAAAGAGGAGGCCCTGAAGCTTGGTGCTCAGGAGTTTATCGCGACCAAGGATGTGAAGGAGATCAAGCCTTCAAGACCTTTGAACCGCCTGCTCGTGTGCACGTCTGTGCAGCCGGAATGGGAGAAACTCATTTCCGCTTTGGCTCCAGGTGCTTCCATCCACCCACTGTCGGTCGACGAGGGCAATTTCTCCATTCCATACAGTAAGTTCCAGCTCTCACCAGTCGTTGCTGTGCAATTGCTAACGTAGCTCGCAGTGCCCCTTATCGCCAACGGTCTGACCGTTCAAGGCTCCGTCGTCGCTTCCCGATACATCCAGAACCGCATGCTCGACTTCGCTGCGCTCCACAAGATTGAGCCAATCGTCGAGAAGTTCCCAATGAGCGAGGAGGGTATCAACGAGGCCATGGACAAGCTGAACGCAGGCAATGTTCGCTACCGCGGTGTCATGATTGCTCAATAAATGTTGTCGATGCATGAGTTGGCGTTTGGCGGACCAAAAATTGTAGCGTTATGGGCGAATGCATGAGTGAGCGTCGTAGAGCTGCTCGCGTGTAGCGTGATGTGCAATGAAATCCAAGCTTCTTCCCAGCATAACAAATCGACTCGTTTCCGCCCGAGAATCAACACAGGCAGTACGATTGCGCCTCGCATTGACTTTGCATACTCTCGATGCTGGTCGTTAGCTCTGGCGGGTCTGAAGATCCACATCGACGAGCAGATTGTGGGCGTCTGCGGCGGCATCAGGTCTGGCTGTGAACGGCCGCGGATGCTTGCGGCACATGCTAGAATCTTGAACGTCACTCCATCCTCAGTCGCATCTTCACTCCATCAAGGAAGCAGGATACTCAAACGTCTTCTGTATGTGCGTTTTCAGGGTTGACGCGCCTTCATCTTCTTCCCCAGGAGGCTCCATACTAGTAGGATTCTTCATCTCAGGTGGGTTCGTTTCGATCTCAATGGTTACCTGTTGTGGATATGAGCGAATATACCACGCAAACGTTGAGAAACACGCTGGGCTCGGTATTTACCGCTTCATCCTCACAGCGGTAATCTACACCTACAGGTCCATCGTTTACCAGGCCCACGTCCATCATGGCCTGGAAGACGCCGTCTTTGACTCGATCCTCGCGATAGAGCTTGCGAACCTGACCAATGAAGGCGTCGTAGAGTTCTCTGCCCTTTTCGGGGGAGGCAGACTTGTGGAAGCTTGGTTTGTTTCCTTTGTTGGTGTTTGCCAGGAGAGTAAACTGGGAGACTTTGGAACATGGAGTTAGTATAAGCTACGTAGACCTTGATGGTGATTCGGTGTGGCTATATCGTACCGCAGAGGACCTCGCCATCAATTTCTTGGACGTTCTTCTTCCATTTAGTCTCGCCGTCGTTCCAGAGTTTCACCTTGAGCACTTTAGCAGCCATGCTCTCGGCTTCCTTGGGAGTGTCTTCCTTGCCGATGGCAGCGAGAATTAATAGGCCTTTGCCTATGGTGGAGATGAGCTGGCCGTCCACCGTGACGGACGCGCTCTTGACTCGCTGTATCACAGCTTTACACGTGAGATTAGCCCTGGAATCAATCTCGGGAGATGCGAGGGAAACATACTCTTCATCTTGGCTTGACAGCCTGATCCGGGGTCAAGCTGCTGCGGCACAGGGTGGAAGACGCAGCACACAGCAAGCGAGCTGAAATGGAGGGAAACGGGATTGATGCAGGGCAGGACAGGACAGGGTAGAACAGGGCGGGAGTGTATGCAGTGCGATGCCAGATAGCTGTCGGCAGGATTCCTCCTCTAGAATAATGTAATGGACTGCAGCTGATTGCGAGCCTTGCCTGGGGCCACTCGAGCACGCGGTCGGGAGTGACGGGCCGGTCTTCGTACAGATCGCAGGTTATCGCGCCATTTGCACGTCGACGTGAATGTCAAAGCGAAGGTGTCTGTTTGGTTTGTTGGAAGGAAGCTGAATTCGGCGCCAAAGCGCGCGACCCTGCAAAGCTTCCAAGTTGCGACACCACGACGCATCCCCAGTTCCCTTCCGAACAGCAATCAAGCCTCCAACCCAAACCACATCCCACCCGTCCTCCTCCTACGCAATCGTCTTATCCCCACGCTACATGCAACATCACCGTCGTTGCACCCAGAGCACTCGCTCCCACACCGCGGACGCGACCACCATCCCGAATTCCATTCTTGTTTCCGCTTTCCGCATACCGCACCGCACGCGGCTTCCACCGCGGCGCACCACTTCACAGCCTGACCTGGCACACGACATCACAATACCGCGTATCGCGCGTAATCACCCAACATGGCGGCGAGAAAGTTGCAGCAGGAGATGGACAAGGTGCGAGCTCGCCATGCTGAGGAGCATGTCCGAGCGCATATGCTAACCCGCCGAGTAGGAGTTCAAGCGGGTCGCCGAAGGAGTCCAGCTGTTTGAGAGCATATACGAGAAGCTCATCCAATCCACAAATCCGTCCCAGAAGGAGAAGCTGGAAGACTCGCTAAAGAAGGAAATCAAGAAGCTCCAGCGGTCACGAGACAAGATCAAGGGATGGGCCAGCCAGAATGATATCAAGGACAAGAAGCCGCTGCTTGACCAGCGGAAGCTCATCGAGACGGTAAACCATCACGCGCGGGCATTCGGGCTCAAACCTACAGTACTGACATGAAACAGCAAATGGAGAAGTTCAAAGCGGTTGAGAAGGAAATGAAGACCAAGGCCTTCTCCAAGGAGGGCCTTTCTGCCGCTGCCAAGCTGGATCCCAAGGAGAAGGAGAAGATGGAGACCTGCAATTTCGTTTCTGACATGGTCGATGATTTAGGCAGACAAGTTGAGACTCTCGAAGCCGAAGTGGATACATTACAAGCCGGCATGAAGAAGAAGAAGGGCTCGGGGAACGCCGACCGCGTGGCTGAACTGGAGAAGTGGGTGGAAAAGCACAAATGGCACATTTCAAAACTCGAGATACTGCTGCGATCGCTGGAGAATGGCAGCGTCGACGTCGAACAGGTCAAGGAGATAGAAGAAGGGATCCGATACTACGTCGAGCAGAATCAGGAAGTCGACTTCAACGAAGATGAGGGCCTCTTTGACGACCTGAATCTGGACGAAGAGGAGGAGTCTTATGGCATAGCAAACGATAACGACAAAGTCTCGAGTCAGGACACACAGAGCATACAAGAGGAGCCTGCGGAATCAGAAGCGCCGTCACGGACCAGCACGACTGGGAACATCAAGGGCAAATCCGCTTCGATCGATGCGAATGCCAATGGGCGGCGGTCTAGCGTGCAGCTCAAATCTCCTCTACCCGTGCTATCGAGTCTACATAGTCTGCCAAGCAACGTCAATGGAAAAGCGGCGGACACCATGAAGCCAGCGCCTCTACCTACAATACCGACAGGACAACCCTTGAAGTATGCATCCGCAGCAGCGGCGGCGGCTGCGAGCGACAAGAACGGCGTGGGGATTGCGCCTTTGCCTCCGCCACCTGGAGCAGCGAAGCCTAGCGAACCGACGTCGCCCGCGCCGACACCATCACAGCCCGTGGAACCGCAAACAAAGGCACCAGAGCAACCGCCGAAGCAGCCCACGCCCGTATCGAAGGAAGAAGCCAAGGTCGAGCCAGCCGAGACAACATCAAAGGCATCCTCCGTCAAGCCCTCACCGCAAGTACCACAGGCGCAGCCTTCGCAGTCGGAGGCTAGCTCGGTGAAGATGCCTCAGCCTCCAAGCCCAGACTCTGGCATAGCAGGCATTGCTCTGTCGCACGGAGAGCCAGGACAGGATGATGAGGAAGAGAGCATCTATCACTTGCCCTCTTTACTCACAGACCTGTTGGACTCTTTCGAAGAGACGAGGCAGCGGGTCAAGTCAGATCAGCCTTTCGACACGAACGTCTTGAATGCGTCGCGGATGAGCTGTCCCATACCTTCAGATGCGGAGAAACCCAATCACTACAAGCCTCAGAACCCATTCAACTACACACCCGCGCATTACCCACAGGAGCCTCTGGGCATATTTGACGACAATCGGCTCTACAGTCGGATAGATACCGATAGCCTGTTCTACGCCTTTTACTACCGCCAAGGAACGTACCAGCAATACCTTGCAGCCAAGGCGCTCAAGAGTCAGAGCTGGCGATTCCACAAGCAGTACCAGACATGGTTCCAGCGACACGAGGAGCCCAAGAACATCACTGAGGAATTTGAACAGGGTACCTATCGGTTCTTCGACTATGAGAGCACATGGTAAGTCTCGACCACACCAGATCTGCTTTGGACGAACACATGCTAACCGTGAGGCTGTCGCAGGATGAACCGTCGAAAGGCAGATTTCAAGTTTGCCTACAAATTCCTCGAAGATGATCTTTAGACGACTGAGCGGAATCGGACGCCGGGTCATCATCCGGGCTGAGTGGGTGTGATGGGAAAGTGGAATCTTTGAAGTGTAACAACAGCAGCTTCTGATCAACAAGATTCGGGGAATTCTTCTTGGGAATGGGCCGGGCAATTGGGAATCCACCCTTTCTCTCTTGCCCCTCTTCCTCTTGGGCACAGCAGAGGTGTTCAGATGCCGCCTCGCCGACATGAAATGCCAACGTCATGCGTTTCCACTTCTTCCCAAGCCACCTTTCCGAGAGTGTGCATTTCCTTATCCCTTTTCCTTCTTCTTGCATTCCGTGGGCCGGCAGACTTGCCCTTTGCTAATTGCTACATCACATGACCAGTGTCACATGCTCTTTATGCTGTCAGTCTGCATGTCTGAGCAGGTGGTTGCTGCTAGTTCTGCATGCCTGCCTGAGGAGGTACCTTAGTAGTATTAGGGCACAGCAAGGAGGCTGAGCCGGAGTGGCCGTGAGGTGGCTTTCTGGAAAGCCACCTCAAATTTCCAGACGAGGCTAAGCGGACCAAGCGGACTTCACTTCGCCCTCTCCTCTCCTCTCTTTCGCCTGCTTTGCCGGCCGATGCCTTGTTTTTACGAGCGGGCCGACGAAGAAGCAAAAGGTTGTGCTTTTGCCTTTCTCGCATCGCAGCGAGATACCACCACCACGTCCATCCAGTCTCTGGTTTCTGGCATGGAGCTGCTGCGCCTTGCCAAAGACTGTGCGGCCTCTTCGTCTGCCTCCTCCTTCCGTCAGCCTTGCGGGAAGCTGGGCCTGGAGGCTCTCGCTGCCAACAGAGAAATCTTGCCAATCAAGCATGCCGTCGGCATTTGTCTTGGTCATCCTCCTCTACCAAGTCTCCGGTCTCGCTGGACCACGCATGACGAGCTGTGCGGCCTCTCCGCGCCTCTCCGAGCTTCATTCCGACTTCACGTACGAAGTGTGTACATGATCGACTAGCCGTCTAAGGCAGACAGGGAGAGGCATAGAGCATCACTGGAAACACTCTCGTCGGTACCGAGGGGACTCGTCCTGCTTCATTCGGGAGCAGCCATTGCAGGAATCGGCTGATCCTCCGCCCTTCCAGACATATCAGTGCCTGAGGCTGTACAGGTGAGATGTGAGGCCGCCCCCAAGCAATGCTTCTTCGCGCTATTCTCGAAAACTCAATGAATCAGAAGGCAAATCGTTCGCATGCCGGATCACCGGTGTCTATCCCACGAGATCTTCGCGCGGTGCCGTTCCTCCTAAGATCCTGCAGTTGGCGTCCATACCACCCACTCGCTCGCCATCCAACCAACCAAGTTGCCTTCCACTGTCACGCGGCTTGACTTGACTATCTGCAGGCTTTTTTTTGAGACTTCATCCCATGTTCACGTTTCGGCACTGCCCTCGCGGATGTCACAAGCGCCCGGTATCTCGAATGCGAGAGGTCCCTTGCTCTGCCGTGTCTTCCTCGCTTTCCAATGCTGCGGGCTCTTCTTTCCAATCCTACAATTCCAGCTTAGCAGCCTTATCCGAGGCTCACGGCAGCCAAAGCACTGCCTTCAAGAAGGCCGCACGAGACTGCGGCGGCCTACGACACCGCGCCTCGCAATTCATGCTCTTCTCATTCGACAACACCCTCCTTGACACCATCAACGTGGTCCAGCTTCCTTGTTCCCGGCACCGATGATCTGTTCTACGAACACTTCTTCGGTACGTGATGCAGCACATCGCCGCCCTTTCTGTGCTGTTTGAAGGCGTCGTAAGGCCCCTAGCATGTTCCGCGATCGTGACTGAAGGCTACAAGCCTTCCATCCGAAGATGATGCGGCTCTGCACGGAGTGTGATATAGCACAGCTTGTGCTGCGTACATCTTGGCCAGGTCACTCACAATCGTCAAGAGCTCCTCCGTATCGACAAGCAACCTAGCAGTCTGAGACAGTAGGACGCGGGAAATCTTGTACCATCGACTGTTGGAAAAACTGTTTCACTAGACCTTAGGACATATCCTGCATACACCGTAGGTCGAGTGGTTCTTGACACTCTTACCCTTCAGCTGATTGAAGAAGCTTTAGTCGGAATGTCATCTTATTACTACGACCAGCCGTCAGCGATGTACCGAAGGTCGAGCCGGCAGCCGTATGATGATCTCTATCAATCACCGACTTCACCAAGCCGACCAATCCCTTCAAGAGGCTATCCCAACACACCCTTGTCTCCATACTCAACCTGCTCCTCCTCACCAACAACATCACACTACTCCACATACTCAGCGCCGCCAACCTCGCCGTATCCCCCTTCCTCGTCCTCCTACAATCCACGCCCTTCACCGTCCTTTCAGCCCGTGAAGGCCCTCTCCATATCTCCCTCCTTGGGTCCTATCAACACCTCCACGGACCAGTCCCTGTGCCCCAGCCCCGAAGTGACCTGTCTCTTCTACGGCTGCAGATACAGATGCGTGCGCAAAGCCGACATGGAACGCCACGTCGACGTCACACACATCCGTGAATCGGTCGAGATGTTCGATTGTCAAGTCTCGAGTTGCAATCGGATAGGGCCGTACGGCTTCACCAGACGGGACAAGATGCGAGATCACATGCGTGAGGTGCATAAGTGTGACATTCCCAAGAAGTCCAGGGGTGGATCGAGGTGAAAGTCGCATTGCGATTGGAGCCTCCTCATTTCTCGGACTGTAATTGTATAAAGACCTGGACAGGCGGCACGCGTTGCCAATAGGGATCGATCGATCGAGACCGGGAAAATCAAGACCTCACGGCCCCTCGAATCAAACTTTTAGACGAGATGAATGGGCGGAAACTGTACCATGTCTCAAGGCCAAAGTCAACGCCTTCAGTAGTAATCTCATACTCTTTTCAGACAGCGAGGCTGACTACTATTAAGAAAATCCACATCTTGAAGATGATACATGTCGTCCGATATCCTTTCCCTTGTGAGACGCTGTCTCGCAGCTCTTTCTCTTTTTGGTTTTGGCGTTCATCGTCTCCTGGAATCGATGGGCGCGGTTGAAGCGAGTGGGCGAAGCGGACGCCTGCGTCGCTTCGAGTGGCAGCTGGAGATATCGTGGTGGTAATGGCGGTGATCCTTCCCGGCGCATCTCCCTGTCCAGACGGCCAAAAGGGAGTCCGTCCGTACTGTGCTATGCACCAGACACAAGCACAGAAGTCGGCGGTGGTGAGAGAAAAGACGGGGAGAAAGAAGAACGTGTCAGCTCCCCGGGGGATTCCTCTGCCTCTTTTTAGGATCCATTGCAATGGCCCATGGCGCGTTGAATCATCGCCAGCGGCGGGTCCTCAGCCAGCCACTTTTCTGCAGCGCCATCCGCCTGGCGTAACGAAGCTTCCACGCGAGCATCTGTGATCGAGGCCAATTCCTGCAAGAAAAAGAGAACATATCAAACCAATTTACTCCTTTTTGGGGAAAATCTTGCTCTGGCGACATACCGTCCTCAACGTATTCCGGACCTGCTGCAGCGCAGCCACATGTCCCGCATGCGGCCGCTGTCCCTGTAAAATCTGCCGCCGCGACTGCACCCATCTCATCGCCGCCGAGGCTCTCAGATACAGCTTCTGCGCCTTGAAGCGTCGCAGGGAAGCGTCGAGAAGGATCCTAGAAGTCCCCGAAAAAAACAAAGTCAGAGACCTGTATCATCCTCACCCTGTCATTGGAAACATGCCTCCTGAGCTCCCGCTTCGTGCCCTCCTCATCCCTCGCCGCCCCATTGCCATTCCCCCCTCCTCCGCCTCCGCCTCCGCCTCCGCAGAACGGCTGCTGGAGCAATTGTTGCGCCTGGCCCACACATTGTCTCAGCACCAGATATCCGTCCTCGTCGTACTCTTCTGCCGACGGCTGCGTGCGGATCGATGAGAGTTGCCGTTGTATCGATCGGAAATCCTCGATGATCTCGGCCACGCGCATGGCGCGGATGTGGTTTACTAGAAGCCGTGGTCAACCTCAAGCTTGCGGTGAGAGGGAGGGGAGGGGAGGACTCACGCCCGTCTGCCATGATGCACATGAGTGGAGATATTGGGCGCTGTTGCTGCTGGTATCGTTGTGGAAAAAGGGAGAAGGAGTCAGATGATTATATCGAATAAGGTCTGACAGCCCCGAGTGAAAGGAAGAGCAGTGATAGAGAAAGTCAACGAAAATCGGCAAGTTAGTAGGCGGAGAAGAAGAAGAGCTCCAGGCTGGTTTGGTCTGATGGGGTTGGGGTTGAGGTCTTCCATCGCTGCAGAAGCGTTCTTTTTGAACAACCAGATCACGGCAAAGGATAGTATAGCGATTCACGCAAGCGCAGACGATGGCCGACTAGGAAAAAAAAGATACACCCGACTTGTTTGTGGCTTGCTAGCCTTCATGTTCTCAGCTGCCATGGACAAGTTGTTCGGTCTGTGCATTCCTGCTTCCACATGGTCCCTGCAGGTGCGCAGTCGAAAGGGCTGTGAGCACGAACACACAAACTCTCGTAACAAGAAAACAAGAGGTAACGTGGTAGAGCACAAGACGGTGTATCCTGAAGCTAGCACCACGAGGCGTTCCATACGTCACATTCCGGCAGAGCTCTGCTGGCTCCTTTATAGGATGGCTTAGCAAGAACTCTGTGACCTCAAGCAGCCCACATGCAAGCCATCGCGTGAGGTCGCTGCCGTATGCAATTCGTGCCGAGATGCGATGCAGATGCGGCTCTGATAGTGCAGTCGCAAGGCTGATTGGCCTGGTGGGAAGAGATGATATATCTGGCTGGTCGGTAAGAGCTGCAAGTAGATTCAAGCGATGCTTGACAAGGACGCAGTTAGGTACAGCGGCCGTGAGCCGCGTCTCTGGGTGGTCTGCCGCAGGAGCCAGTTGCAATCCGAAGTTGTCACTTGTGTCATTGTTTTGGCTAGCAGGGCCACGTGGGAAACGTGGATACGGTACGGCGCCCCGTGAGTGTGTGGTCTGCATGGTGAAAGCTTCTTAGTATACAGTATACGGGTAGCAGATCGATCTTCGCAGCGCACCTGCAGCTGCGGTATGCAGCACATGGATGCTAGTCTGCTTCGGGATTGGAGCGACCAATACGGTGCAAGCCAGCCCTACTGGCTCACGGACTTGGCCGATCGTTTCCCAGCTGCGCATCACAGCACCATTGCTTTCTGGTATTGGGTTTGGCGGTGCCGTAATGCGCACGACACACGTCAGGAGCCAGGAAAGGAGGAGCCAGTCAAGGCGCTCAGTCCTTCTCAGCAATCGACTGCAGCCGCTCGTCAATCTCATCTTCGGTCAATGAGCGGAACGTCGTGTCGGTCCCCTCCTTGCCGTCCATTCGCGGTCCACCAACGATACCGATCTCCAATTCGCCCTTCTTGAAATCGACGCTCAGCACTGTGCTCAAGGTGCTGATGCCAAGCTCCACAACGTCCTCCCAACTGCCCTCAGCGTTGTCCTTGTTCTTCAGCTTCTTCTCGAGGAAGTTCAGCGCCTCCTGCGCTTTTGGCCCCGATGCAGTGGCCTTGTAGCCGACATAATACCCTGCAGGGTCACACTTGTATAGTTGCGGGCCGTATTCAGAGTCCACTGAGATGAGAGTGGTCGCAACACCGAGCGGCCTCATGTATGCCTGTCCTGCGCATCAGTACCTGCATACCTCAAACCCGCCAAAAGATACGCACCCGCTGTGTGTAGACCTGAGAGATGTTCGCGATACGCTTGGCGAGGACATCGCATGGCATCTCGTATCCAAACTTGTATCGAAATTCAGCCGCTTCTCCTCGCGCACGCATGACGGAAGCCCTCGCGTCTGCTATCGAGCCAGTCATGACGCATCCAACGGAGGGCGAGAGCTTGTAGACGTATGATACGGAGGCTGGATCAATGAGCTTGTCCTGTACGCAACACATCAACCATCAGCTTCCAACTCGACATCGTCTTTCACCCACTCAATCGACATACCGGGACCTTCTTCTGGGAGATGACGACTGCACAGCTCTTTCCTCGCACGCCGACGGATGTGATGTTTGCTGCAGTGATGGCCTTGAATGCATACTCTGTTTCACGGCCCTCGAATCAGCTTTCCTTACGCCTCTTGCGACTATTCCGGGAGCTGATACACACCGACTTGATACAGGCGGCCTTGGTCGGAGAAGATGGTGATGTGTCGGTCGTAGCCCGCGCTTCCTGCAGTGCAAAGTCACAATGTTAGCCAGCTGCGCCTCGTTTCTGGCGGGCTGAAAGGAGACGAACCAGACATGGCGGCGGTGTATCGTAGAGGTCTGGGGTTGTGTCAGGAGATGGAAATGGTCGTCGTCGATTCGTCCAAGATCGTGGAGTTGACAGAGAGAGGTGGGAGGCTGCCAGGTGATGGAGTATCTCGTGTCGTTGTATGATGGGAGAGTGCTCCAGGTTGCAACGAGCACGCGTCAAAGCTCCCCCGTCATCCGCGCTAGAGAGCGGGCATCGCCGCTCCCGAAACCTTAATTTATCAAAATTCTCGAGATCGGTAAGGTATTACCTTCTATCCATCTCACTCCTGCGCCAGAGCACGTGAGAGCGAGCCTCAGATTGTGTCCGAGTACTGTTACCTGCACATGGCGATCGGAATGGGCACACCGGAAACCTCCACCAGGGTGCCCGCATGGAAGCGACTCGGCCTCAAGCTCAAATACGCCAAAGACAACATCGACGAGAACTCTGACAAAACCTCAAACTCCACGAACACGTCAACAACACAGTCGCAATTGCATAAGGTGAAGAAAAGGTCTTTTGAAGACACAGATCCAGAGACACCAGCCAAGCGCGCAAAGCCGGTGCCAGCTCAATCAACCCACAGCATTCCCTCGAGGCAATTTGGAGCATATCCTACGAGAGACAGCGGCGTCCCACCTGAGAAGTCGGACTCGTTCTGGAGCTACAACAAGGCCGTTCCTGCTTCCACTAAGACACCGAAGAAAATTGTGTTTGATGACGACGGGTAAGTGGGTTTTGTACTTTCAGAATCCGGACCCGAGGATACACTCCCTTCGCTTTCCCGGCCCATGTCAAGAATTTACCCTACCTCGACTCAGAGAATGAAAAGTCATGATGCTGATTTCTGGTGTCCAGTTCAAACGGCGTGGGCAACGACGAGCAGGCAGACTTGAAAAAGGGTAGACCGGCATCATTACGAAAGTCTGTCTCCTTCACGCCTGACACCAAGGCAGAAGACGGCTTCTCAGCATCCAACTTTTTCAAAGCCTGGGCTGCGGAACAGAAAGCAGAAGGCACCGAAGAGTCAACCGAGCAGCCGGAGTCACCATCCAAGGAGGCTAAGAAGCAAAAGAAGAAGAAAGCAAACAAGTCGAAGTCGACTTCGTTAGAACCCAAGGCGAAGGCGAAGGCGAAGAGCGAATCCAGCAAGTCCACCGAAAAGTCCAACGACGAGGACGAATCGCCCAAGGAAGTCCCGCACTACGTTCACTATCTGCAGCAGTACTACACCGACCGGGACCACTGGAAGTTCAACAAAAACTCACAAAAGGATCTCTTTAAAAACCTCTTCAACATCTCCCGAATACCACCGGAGCACAATCGGGCCATTATACAATACATCAAAGGTCTTCAAGGAGCAGCTGCGCGGGAGCGGATCGCTCAAGAAGCAGAGGACATTCTCAAGGAGATCTGGCTTGCTCAGAATCCCGGCGACGAGTCCATGTCTATGGAATCTGCCGCCGTTCGCAGACTTGCGTACTACCGAGCGCTCGAGAAGCATGTGGAACGCTATATTGCGCTGGGAAGCCCGAAAACCGAATATATCGATCAACAAGTGGAAGATTTGCGCCGGGAGGTGGAACGCGGGAGGCGTGCGGAGTCGATTCTGTTGGAAGGACTCGCGGATGCAATCTCTCGGGATACAAGTTCGTCTGGTAGCACTTCTACATCACTGCCGCCGCCGCCGCCTCCACCACAGTTCTCAGCGGCAATAGGGTCGTCACTAGAAAAGACGGCCAGCCAGATACCAAAGGGCAAAAGGAAACGCAAAGCGCGAACGGACGTCTCTTCGGATTCATCTTCTTCATCCGAAGACGACAGCGACACTTCCTCCTCCAGTGAAAGCGACTCCGAGAGCGACTAGCAGTCCTCCCAAGTCCCAGCTCCACTCGAAGCAGCAGAAACCCCACCCACTACTACTACCACCCACGACTATCCCCTCCCCCTCCCCCCCGGCGTCCGCCCCTACATCGACCCCAAACCCTGGAAATGTCTCGACATCGACTGCGACTCCGAAGGCTTCGTCTCGCGCCCCGGCCGCGACACGCACGTCAAACGCCAACATCCCTCCCTCGAGCTCGCGCGCCTCCGCGCGGACGAAGAGAAGTCCCTGCCTGCCCACATGCTCATAAGGCCCTGGAAGTGTGATCGCTCCGGCTGCGCGCGCTCCGGCCGGGGGTTCCAGTGCAGAAGGGATTTGAGGGCTCACGTCAAAGCCGTGCACGAGCGGCCTCGGGCGTCGTCCGATGATGCGCCCGACCGGAAGAATATCAAGCCTACCGTCACCGGCATCGGCATCGACAGCACGAGCGCCGCGAATGAGAAGAAGAAAGCCCTCGGATTCCTGCAAGACGACGATGACGAAGTCGATGCGGAATCCGAATCCGATGTGGAGAAGCCGAAACGTGCACCGAAGAAGCAGAAGGGCAAGAGAAAAGCGCGGAGGAGTGAGAAAAGCTTTGGTGGCTTCACATCCGCGCTGCTCAATGAAGTGCGGGATCGTGGTGATATGTAATTACCAAGGAATGAAACACGGAAGCTTGAATTGAATTTAAAATTTTTTGGATTCGGTCACGGTGATCGGTCAGGTAGCTGTACCCATTTCTTTTGTGTAGGTGTGGCGGGTGGTGGTGTAGTAGGTTGACGGCATCTAGTGAGGACTGCATGGGAACAGTCAAGAAACGAGAACGCACGTGGGCGAGTCGGGTCTTGTGCCCACAAAGATTCACTAGCCAGCCAGTTTAGCGGCTTCTTCTCCCCCCGAGAGAAACGCCCGTGGGAAGAGAGAGCAAAGTTCCTCCGCCTGTTTCCATTGAGCCCGCGCGCGAACGAGACGGTCCAGCTCCCAGTCCAGTAATCCAGTCCAGTCCCATGCAAATGCAATCCACTCTCAGTGCCCATATTTACAAAACTCAAAAAATTCGTCAAGACCCATGGATGATCGTCTGATAGCTTTCAAAAATAAAAAAGAGACGCCGATAGGTCCGCTTGGGGTATCATTGTCTAGTGCCCTGCTCTCAGTAGTTGTGTGGAGATGTTGGCCACGCGGGTGACGGTGGTCGATACATGTCCAGAATCTTTGCCACTTCTGCGTCTGCATCCGCAGAGTTCATCCGATCCAACTCCGGCCGGTATCGTTGCTCAACATTTAAACCAGTAGAACGCCCAGTGACATTACGCGACACCTGCTGCACAATCGAACTCGGAAGACCGTTCAATTGAATGGCCGTTTCCACCGTATCCTGGGATGGACCACCGGAGGATGATGGTCGAGGCTTAATCGTAGCCGGCTCCTCTTTGCCAAGGACTCGCATTTTGTTGCTGACGAAAACGATGCTGACTGCTGGTCATAGACCCTGTCCTTTCGTACGGTGGCAGATGTCGTGCACTGCCGTTGTCTGATGGGTAATTGGGTGGGTGCCCGTAGCCGCCAGCCTGCTGGACTTGCGTAGTCCGGTCACTGCTATTGCCGGACCAGCTGTCGTCGTCGTCCTCAATGCGTGTGCCACTCTTGTCGGAGTAGCCGTGCTTTGGCTCACCGCGAGCTGTTGCACCTAGCGCGTCAAGCTCGGTTGTGAGCTGGGACTGCGACTTGATGAAGCTGCCACGGTCGTCGCGCATCGGCTGGTAGCGAGATTCAGGGTTCTTGGAGAACACTGCGATGCACGATGCAACCAGGACAATGACGATGAGGATGGTCGAGAAGGCCGCGTTGTAGATGAAGAAGATGACACCCATCACACCAGTGACGATACCTGGCTGTCCGAAGATGTCCGAGAAGACCAGCAGGAAGATGGCGCTGACGAAGTTGATGACGCAAATGGCGATATTGAAACCGTTAGTCTTCTTGTCCATGTATGGTCGCATAACGCAGACTGCGATCAAGAAGATGGCCTCAATGATGACAAGTGCGATGGCCTGGGTTACGGCGCTGCTCTGGGCTACTCCGATGAAGAGGCCCTTGATGAAGATGTAGATCAGGACAGGAACGATGAAGAAGTAGGCGGTGGCCTTGAACTGGACGTAGAGGAAGCCCCACTTGTTGAGGGAGACCGGATCCGAGTAGAGGATGTAGGCCGGGTTCTTGTGCATCTGGATGCTGCGGCGCGCCAGGCGAATGACTTTGCTCGATGCCCAGACGAGGATGGCCATCATGGAGAAGACGGTGAAGACGGCGAGGACGACTTCAGCGCCGGAGTCCTTCTGCGTGAATTCCCAGAAGCAGAGCACCACCATCTGCGGCCAGCCGATGAGAACCATACGGAACAAGATGCCCTTGAGAACAGTGGTCCAGCCGTTCCTGAAGTCCTGAAACTTGTCGCCCTTCATTTTGCCAGCCTTGACCAAGCCTTCGCAGATGAACTTGAACAAGACCACGCCCAGGACGACGAAGATGACGAAGATGAGGAAGAAGATGTAACCGGTCAAGAAGATGTTGGTGGGCTCGATTCCAGCGCGGAAACCGACACGCTTGATGCCGCGGATCACAACCTGAGTGGAGGAGTCGGTATTGGAGCTTGCACCAGCGTTGGTACGCTTCACCAAGCCGTAGAGAGCGTCGAGACTGCGCTTCTGAACCTCGACGGAGGCGGAGCTCAAGTTGGACAAGATCGTCGAGGGGGTTCCACCAGTGGCACGCTGATACCAAGTTGCGAGTGTCTGCAGGAATCCGACACGAATGATTCCCATGCTCCATTGGAAGTTCTGGGTCCAGGAAGAGACGATCGGGGGCAGCTCGACGGAGGACATTCCAATGATGGCCTGGGCTTGGAAGTAGCCGAAGAGAGCCATGGCATTGGCGGCGACATGGGCGGCGGTGTTGGAATGGCCGAGACCCGAAGTGATGGCAGAGGCGACAAGAGCAAGACCTGCGATGACGGCGACGACCCATGCGACGCCTTTCTGGTCGACGGTCTTACCGTTGGACAGCTCGGCTTCGACACAGGCTTCGGACTGGCCGGTAGTGGTCGAGTTGAAGTACACCTGGACTTTGGCGTCGAGGTCGGGTACGGTATACGCGATACCTGCGTAGCGTGTCAGCTGTCTGGCTCCTCCCTCCTTCAGCGCGCCGTTTCCCTCCATCTACTCACCAGGTACCTGACGTAAGGAACTCGCTGGAATCTCCGCATTACTCTGCAAGTTGATCTGACCCTCGTTCATGGGACACAGACCGCGTAGGTCGTCGGATTCGCAAGGATCAATGGTTGTCTTGTAGACGTTCAAGCCATATGCAATGATGTTCAGCTGGATGGTGATGTTTCCCTCGATGCTGCTCACACCGTTGACGTCGAAGGCCAGACTGCGGTTGGAGGGGGTGAAGACGACATCGAAGAGGGTGGCGGAGAAGCTGCTGTTTGACTGACAGGGGTTCAGGGAGGTCGATGTCAGCATGCGCTCGGCGCATGTCACGGGCGCGGCGGCGAGGAGGAGGGCGGAGATTATTGATGCTATTGAGGGCCTCATATTGGCGGCGATGCTGTGCGTGTCGTGGTGGGTGGTGTGGGTGTTGTCGAGGCGAGCGAGCAGTGATGCAGTCGTCGGAAAGGTGCGGCAGCCCGCCGGCTTCAGCGAGGGAGGCGACGCGACGGCGGAGAGGGCGGAGCGAGGGGAGTGAGAGGAGAGGGTTGGTGGTGATATTAATCGCAGGTGCCGGTCGCGGCGGTGGGAGCGGTTGCCGGTGGATGATGATGAAGAACAAGCGAGGGACTCGAGGAAAGGGTAGGTCTGGTGGTGGTGGTGGTGGTGGTGGTGGTGATGATGCACCGTGGAGTGGGTGTGTGTGTGTGTGGGTGTGTTGTGCGCAAAGTGTGAAGCACGGTGTGATCTCCACGGAAAGGAGGCTCCTGGTTGGCCGGCGGGAGGGGCAACTCGGTTTTAGCGCGGAAGCAACGTCGGCGATGATGACGCCGCACTCGTTTCACTGCCCCGACACACGTCGACGTCAAGTCCACAGCGTCGTCGTCGTGTGTGAAGAATTCAAATAAATGCAATGCGATGCGATGCGACGGTGGATGCGAGCGAGGATGTTGTCGTGATGCAGGCCGAGCAGGGCAGGCCGAGCAGGCGCAGAGAGCGAAAAGTAACAGAGCACAGCACAGCACAGCACAGCACAGCACAGCACAGCACAGCACAGCACAGCACAGCACAGCACAGCACAGCACAGCACACTCCAACTCCCTCCTTTTTTTCCAGCAGCTTCGTATTCATCATCATCATCAGCTTGGAGGGCGTCGTCGAGGATTGGGGCGGTGCACTGCCACCCAGCCCGGCTCGCCCAATCACCGCCGTCGCTGCCGATGCCCAGACATCAGGGGTGACGAGTCGGCGCTGATCTTCCTTCCCCAGAATTGCCGTGCTATTTACAATTTCATTAATCCCGCCACCCCCGTCAACAACCGCCCAATTGCAATCCATGTCCTCGCCGACCATCTACTCTACCTGCCATCTACTACTACCTTCTGCATCCCCATTGCAAGTCCTACGGTGCTACCGTCGTGTGCTACGGGCGCTCGTGGCAAGCCGAGTGTCACGGCTGTCATCGTTCAACAGCAAAGAAGTCCGTGTGGCGGAGATCTGCTGAGGTGCTCGGAACACGCGTCCATGGAATCCTTGCGTGCTGCCGTTCCTGTGATGAGACGGCGGATAAACTGGTTCGGTACGGGTACTCCAGACATCGCCACCTCCGGTATCCGGAGTACGCTCAGGCTCCCCATACAAAGCTACCTTCCTCTTATTGACCACGTGTTCTGCTCTGCGATGATACTAGTAGCTACACACGGCACGCATGGATATCACGGCATAGCGAAAATGGCCCGTCGATAATATCGTGCGCCGCGGCCCAGCCTTTCCACGCAATCTTCGCCGTCAAGGACTTCCTTGGCGTTCAGCCGCCCACCTACAACGTACAAGGCTGCTCATGGCGGAACACGAATACGGGGGTCCACTCTCGTCAAGGAAGGCGAAATCCCACATTCGCTCAACGAACCGAACAGACATGTATGAACACGTTTGCTCGAAGAACAGCATGGCAAAAGCCCAAAGTCGTCATGCGACGGACGCATATTACGATGTAGTGCTGGAGTCATTTCGTCGACAGCTAAGATCTAAGAGCGGAGAGCTAAGCTGAAAGCCTGGAGCCAAGCAATGTGTACGAGCCAGAATGACAACTGTCTCCCATTCCTCGCTGACCAAGCAATGCTAACACCCGGAGATGCGCTTCGATAATTGTGGTGAAAGTCGTCTCGACTACCAGCGCTCTTTTGCGCAAGATTCAACGCCTCCGGTGCGGCCAAAAGCTATTGCTCTCTCCAACCACGCCGCTCTCATCGTTATATGTACACTTGGCATCCTAATCAACGGCCCCATTGTGCCATGAAAGCCGTCGAAATTTAAGAAATGCCAAGGACTGTGACAACAGACCTTGACCACACATCTGACGAATCTCGACGAGGCAACACGTTTCACGCCCTGTAAAACCTAGTATTCTACTCGACATTGCCTCTGTCATCGAGCTTTCCAGGTGACATAATACCTCTGACTTTGCAGCACAACAATGGCAGGTATCATTACAGATCTTTTCCCCGAGACAGTCATGTGTGATGTGGATCTGGGGCGTGGATTGTTGGTGAATTATAATGGCGTGCACGGGCTACCAGCCCGTCTCTCTCAGGCCAAGACATCTCATCAAACGCTTTCCATCACGCGTTCTGATCATTATTATTGTCTCCACCTCCACCAGACTGGGCGCTCGCATTTTGACCACCATCGACAACGTGCCGATGGTTGTTCATTATGGCTCCCTAGCCAATTCTGGAGGTTGAAGCACCCGTCAGTCCTCAAGAGCAGTGCGACCTCTTCAGTCTCCCACCAGAGCTCCGCAACCTCATCTAGGAATTCGTGCTGTACGCGGAGCCGCACGACGATGGCCACCTATCTCTTATGCAACTCAAACACTGAGACCAGTGCCTGTTGACCGTCCTGATCCTACTTCTTCCGACGTGTCGCTTCATCTATCGTGAAGCTGTCAGGATCTTCTACATCTCACCTCCCATCTGTCTTCGCAGCGATCAGCTCAGAAGTTCCCCTCACGGTTACTATGGAAGCGAATCGTCCGGACTCGAAGTCTCTGCCCACGTCGCTTGGTTGGAATCAAGACTCTGGTAGTAGGCATCCAGCCCGAATGTGAAGATATCAGTGGAACGAGCTGGTAGGTATGCATGCATTTGTCTGCGCACCTTAACAACTGTCTCGATCGATGCTATCGCTAGGCTGCCACTGTCCGACTGGCCGTGCCGTTGTCTTTTTGCCGGAAGATCGATAAGTCTGGGAAATCTGAGAAGACGTTTTCACAAGACTGGAGATTGAACAACTTCAGAATGAAGCGAAACTTTGTTGCAGTGAGCTTTCGCAGGCATGTGAAAGCGCGAAGCCCGTGCACCAGCCTCTTCCACATCATAGTTGGACTTGCCAAACTTCAACCGACAACCAACATGACAAACAAGGCATCGGCTAGGGTGGGCACTTCTCATCTCCCCGCGAACATGCCCATCGCGCAACAAGACGACACCAGATGCGCAGCCACGCAGCCAAAATGCAAGCTCCTATCTCTCGCAGCAGAACTCCGCAACGACATCTGGGAGCTCGCCCTCCAAAATTCCCCCAGACGAGCACAAGCATAACGATAGCGGTGCAGACGACATCCGACTCATTCGAGTCGCCCGCAACCGACAGACGGCAGCCCGCGAGAAACCGAGCGTCCTCTCCCTCCTTGCAACCTGCCGCGCCATCAACCACGAAGCCGCCGGCATCTTCTACGACATTCATAATTTTTCCATCGCAGCCGACGACCTCGGAAAGTTCCACGCGCACTACACCAGCGGTCCCGAGCTCCTCAACACCTTGCTCTCGTCCCCAGCTCGACTGCACGGCTTTCGCTCCCTCACCATCCGAGCCACGCCGGAGGTCTACGGGTCTCCTGGCAGTCTGTAAGCTGCTGAGCCACTTCCCAAGACTGCAGAGCGTCCGGGTGGAATGCCTCGTTCCCAAAGATCCACGGCTGGCGCCGGCGCCTTTGCGTCAGGCGAAGCGACAGCTGACACGGGCGCTGTCGAGGCTTCCCGTTCTCAGGGAGTTCGAGCTCATCTTGGTGCGAAGCGGGCGCTATTTCCCTGCCAGAGGCGGTGGTGGGTGGTCGGACGTTGAAGCCATCTTCGCGCAGGAGATTTATGCAAGGTTTGCCGAGCGCGGAGACGGCCACGGTCAACGGTGGTGGACTTTTCCGATCGATACGTGCGCCGGTGATTTTGGAGCGGCATCTCGGCCTGCTGGTACTCTCTGATGGAATGACGAGTTATAGTCGTCGGTTTTCGAATGCTTCGTTAGCTGAGGAATTTGCTTCATGGGGAACGGAAAGGCCGTCTAGCTCTCTCTCTGCATGTACGCCGACTCGCGCTTTTGAAATATTCTCGAAAGTTGACGTATGAGATGGTTCCGACGATCCTGAGGTTTCTAACGGTGATGCGCACACCTTGAAGGTCTTGAAAGACTGCTCACTTTAGTAGTAGAGATTCTACGAAGTAGGACCACGCGTCTAGACAGTCCGCCCCTCCGGCCCATCATGATTGACGCCTAGGAGAGTCTGCCCTCGCTCATCACCTTCATGCCTGAGTCTGATCGATCCACGACCGTGCTTCACGCGCTCAACCAGCGAAGGGAGCCTCAAGCCCCAATGCCAGACCAGCCCCGCAAGGAATCCAACCGCATCGTTCTTGAAAGCCAGACAGCCCGCGACGGTGATCAACATCACCATCCATCGATCCCGACTTTCTCGCTCCGTAGCCTGACGAGCTTTCTGCGACGGGGTGCCGTCCTCGTTGTTGTCCTCCTCGGCTTGCTCCCAGAGATCGCGCGACTCGCCGACGCTCTGGCCCACTTTACTCAGTTCCACGCCTGCCGCGAGGACCATGATGCCGAGGAGCGCCTTGGGGAAGCGCTGCAGGAGGGGGATGATGGCTTCGCCCACGAACAGCCCCAGGAGGAATTTCACGAGTCCGAGAACGATGATGCTCGAGCCGCTGCGTGCCCCGAAGCGGTATTGTCCCGCGAGACCGCCGGAGCCGTGACACACGGGCATCGCGCCGAACCAGCAGGCGATCAGATTCGCTATCGCGACGGAGAAGCCGACCGAAGTCATACTCGGGGTAGGCGGGAAGCTCGGGAACAGACTCGCGGACAGCGAAGTCACGGCCAGAATGCTGTTCAACGTCGTAAGCGGAAGCTGGGGGATCGCCGCATCAATCGCTCCGATTTTCCAGTCCTTGCCGGAAGGAACGAGAACATCGGGATGCCATAGCCCAGCCGTGAGATTCTCATCATGCTTCGATCCGGGGATCACAGTACCCGCCAAGATCAATCCGAAGATGAATACTACCAGAGCATAAGGAATTCTCGGTACTAAAGTGGCAACGACAAGAAAAATGAAAGCCGCAATCGCCCAGAGCCTATTATCCCAAGCCGGAGAAATCCAATCGAGAGGCTTGATCAGACTGGCGCCGGCCGAAATCACCAGACTCAGACCCGCTCCGACTTGGATTCCCTTGACTACCGCGACGGGCACGACCCGATGCAACCACCTCAGCAGACCCGTCGCGCTCAAGACCAAGACCGCAGCGCCCATGACCAAGCCCGCAGCAGCCGTCTCGCCCCTCGTGAAGTTCTGGCTGATGGCTACGGCGGCGATGGCTTTCATGGGTTGCACGGGCAAGGGGATTCCGAAGAAGACGCCGGTGAAGACGTTCGTGAGGCCGGAGAAAACGAGCGTGCTGGAGAGGTTGATGGAGCCCTTCAAAGCCATGGCAATCATCAGGGGCAGGAGGGTGCCCAGATCGCCCAGGGCTCCTGAGAGCTCTGCCAGCGGGGATGTGCGGAGGGTGTGGACATTGTGTCTGTTGATGGATTTGAGGTTCGAGGTGAAAGTCATGATGCTGCTGCGGGTGATGATGCTGTCGAAATGCCCAGTTTTTTGTGTACGTACAATGCTAGAATGGAAGAACGCCGTAGGAGAACAATGCAACATGGTAATAGAGACGGTGATATACTTGCCCACGTGCTATGGTATCATTATGGTGGGTTGGACAGGAAAGTGAGGTGGTCAGCTGCGTCTATTCTGACGTGGCGTGGGATGTTGTTCGGTTGATATTACCGCATATGGAATAGAGCAGCGAGCTTGGACACCTCCTCTTGCTTCTGTATCAAATTTTCATTAAGACACTGTGAAAAGTGAAGTGGGTGAGCGGGTTCGGCTTCGGATTCGGGAACCATGAGCCAGGTGAGCCAGGTGGAGGTGATCCGACTTCACCTCCGACCTTCCATTCCACACTAGACAATTCTCTCTTACGGTCGCCGGAGACTTACAGACGCGAGACACTTTTTTCGGCTGTAGTGTCAGCCTCTAGGACGCGACGATTGGAAAAGCGTGGTCAACAATTGCCGATGCTTTAGCTCGTATAAAGAATTGAAAGCCAAGCGCAGGCACTATGGAACTTTCTTTCCCTTTTCGGCGGCTTCCCTTTAGACCTCGACTCTTTCATGGTAGTGTACAAACAACCGAATTGTCTAAATACACAACCTCAGAAAAGAACCTTTGGCTTGATACGGCCCTCTTGTTTCTATCGAGATTTACTGGAGCTACTTTCTGATGACGACAACAAAAGGCTGACAAATGGAAATAGAAAAGCTCTCATGTTCGAACATCCAAGAAACAATGCGGAGGACGAAGGGATTGCAGAGATACTCAGCATGCTAACACCATTGTGGAAAATGAAGATCAATTGCTCTCATCTCTGAGTATTCCAGAGATATTGCGGAAAACCAAGGCACCGCAGAGATACCTAGCATGCTGACTGACACAAACATCACCAATGGAGAGGGAGAGAGTTCTCTAAATGTAAAGACTTGACATTCTCCTTTCTGTCCATAGACCGTTCTCCGATCTACAAAATTCCGCCCAACAGTCCATCACTTCCACTCGACGAATCACCCTGACTAGCCGTCGTCACAGCACTCTCGAACGCATCAAAAGAAGGCACCGGTGGCAGCGCAAAGAGTCCTCCCGAAGTTGCAAACGTCGCAATGGCTTGGTCAAAGGCATCCGCAATCTGCTGGTTGATGACCGGAGCAAAGGCAGCATAAGTCTGCGTCAACTTGGCAGTGATAGCATTCCCCAACTCCGCGGACAATGCCTTCTGCTGCTCCAAATCCTGCTCTACCTGGGGAGAAACACTTCCGACTCCCAGTATCGCGGAATCGAAAGCGGGTTTCTTCCGCTGAATGTTGTCCAGGAGAGAGAAGATCTGGGGCTCGAGGCCGACGACTGCAGTCGCTACGGTACCAGACTCGGTGTCGTTCAAAGGTGCAGAGGCATTTGCTGCGGCCGCTGCGGCGGAGATCGAATCGCCGAGAGTTTCGGTTTCTTGTTGGATCTCGAGAACTTCGACAGCGGCGAGGACGTCGCCTTCTTTGAAACCGTTGAGGGTCGTGTTGAGGCTGTTGATATTGGTTTCGATTTGATTGATGGCTGTGACGATGCTGGCCGCGTCGCGCTTGGCAATGGGGGCGGCGAGGGCCAACAGAGGGAGCAAGGTGCTCGCTGTGAGGAGGGAGGCGTACATTTTGACGTTTCACTGCACTGGTCGCTGATAGTAGATGGGACAGATACTTAGGAAACAACTTGCATTGGTTTAACCATCAAATACCCCACAACGATGCCCGCCGCGGCACGTTCGTGGGACGGGTCAAGAAATCATGCTTTTTGCGTCTTAGATGAATGAGAGGATTGCGGGGAGACGCAGCACACAGGCCATGAAGAGCGATGTTGCCTCGGGGGATCAAGTTCCTCGAGAAATCTTTCCTTCATGAGACGTTGCTTACCTTCAAAACGTTGTTGGCCAATCGCACGAGATCTGCTTTTGAAGATGCTTCAGTGGCTGTATGCTGATCTTAGCCGAGCGCGGCATGAAGAAGGGCAAAGTTCACACCAACAAGCCCCTTCCTGAATCCCTCGGCAGGACTTGACGGAAGAAACGACGACATGTGACGGGCTCGTGGAGTCGTGGTCCTTCCAGTGGACATTTCGCAGTCATCACACTATACGAGGTGGCATTACCAAGCCCTGGAAATCGTCGCATGCGACTATAATGCGGGATATGTATGCGGGTAGTGATCGTCTTCGTCGGCTCGTTCAATCGTAACAGTGTCGCTCGTGCAGGTGTTGCACAGCTGCGGTGCGGTCCCGGGTGGATCAGCCAGCAGCGATGATATCCACCATAATTCGCATCCTCTCCGAAGAGGAATGAAGCGAAGTACGGGCTTCATCGTCTCGTGCCGCATTCTTGCCCGCCCTCTTCCGTCCGTCGAACGCGACCTTCTGGTTCCTCGCAGTAATGCCTTGCTCGATGCGCTCTCTGAGCATTCGAGCATCGCCGACAAGCTGTCCTTCCTTCCAAAGCGCACGGAGCAAGCTTTCGATCAACAGACTGGCTTTAGCATTGTCTGCAGCCGAAGTATTCAGTGCTGCTTGCGCCGCGAACATCTCTTCAAATTGCGATTGAGTGATCGGAGTATCGGCAACATTCGTTCCCAGCAGTGGCGCGCAGAGCATGTCGCATAGGCTGACCTCATAGTTGACATTGCCAAAATAGGGCTTGGTGGGTAGAATAAATTGTTGGAAGACTGGAACTGGCAGCGGTTTGATGAACTCCGTGAAGAGATCAAAGAGATCGTCAATGGGTATGAAGAGCGACGTATCTCTTGCATACCAACTGAACCGCGACAATAAGACGAGAAAACGCTGACGTAGGCGGATGGACTCGATGCCACCCATAGCTTCGACGTCTTGAGGAGCTGTCAAGTCCGCTCCTGAGCCCTCTTCCTCGTCATCCGATGCCTCGTCCTCGGGTTCCCCAGGCTTGGGTTGAGCATTCCGTGACCTCGTAGAATGGGTGGTTGCGGAACGAGAGCGTCGCTTCCGATCTTCCAAGCTATCTTCGCCTGACTCTTCGTCGAAGTAGTCTCCATACTCTTCATTATCCAGATCCAGCTTGCGCTTCTTCAACGGCCGCTCGTCCTCTCCCGCCTTTCGCTTCGGTGTTCTGGTCTCTTGCTGCCATATCTCCCCAAACTCGGCCATGCTCTTGGGAGTTCCGTCTGCAATAATAGCATACATGATGCGACGATGGTTGTTTCGGCCTTCTCCAATGGTGGATAGGTATTGTGCAAGGAGCGCGGGACGCAGTGTGCTGGTCGAACATTCATTGTTGCCGTCCCTCGACGCCTCTAGATCACTCTCGAGAACGTCTAGCATCAGCTCCAGCCATAGCTTCCATCTCTCCCATCTTAGCTTGTGCTTTATGCTGCAGTTGAATGCCCACCCTACAACACTCCAGAGGTCTTCAGCATTCTTCCACAACGACTGCTTATTTGCGTATGGCCCTCGAATAGTTCCCGAACCTCCCACCTCTTCTTCCGTTGCTTGATCAGAATGGCGTGCTTTTCCTCTGTTTGGTCGCTCATTCCTCGTCCCCCGGCCCACAAATCGAAAAGCTTCTCTGATTCCTCCTTCGTCGATGTTCACTAGACTGGTCAAGTGTCTGAGGTACTTCAAGGCATCGTCTGCTGCCGCGTGGTCGTCCGGTGAGAGGGTTTGCGTTGTCAGCTTTGGGTGTACAGCCAACGTGGCCACAAGAGCGATATGCTGAGGCAGTGGCACGTAAGCTGGAGCGTCATTCTCCACGCCTGACGTAAGACTGTGGGAATAAAGCTGCAGCGCTTGTGTGAAGAGCTTCTCTTCGATCAAGATGGCGCACTGGTCCTGAAGCTGCGTGGCCAGTTGTTTGACAGCTCGTCGCTGTGGCACTGGGAGGGACTCGGGCTGAGAGGAGGCTAGAAAGAAGCGCATGTCGTCAGTCTCATCTGCGGCGCGTACTTGAGGTCGACCAAATGAGCGACTGTTCGAGGGGATTGGTCTTCTGTCGCGTGTGTTCTGTTCGCTGGTCGGAAGATCGTGGTTATCGAAGACGGAGTGACTTGCGTTCATCGCGCGCAAGTCTCGCACCATTTTCGGTATTCGCTGCTTCGGGGACATGATTTCTAGCTTTTTGATAATGCATGTGAAAATCGACACGTGCAAGTAGGCTGAAGCCACGCGTGAAAGCTGAGGTTGGCGATCCTCGGGCAGCACGTCGGCACGTGACCCATTCGATTCCGTTCTATCCTGGCGCCTTTCGCTGAGCAGCCATCGCCATCAACACAAGTTCGACCAACTTCTCGGGCAAACTTCAACTGCATGTAACACTGATATCGAATCCACACCCTCAGATCTCTTGCTCAAGTCTCCGAAATGGATCCGGACACGCCAGAAGCAGCCCCTGTAGCCACACCATCGATATGGCGCTGGGTACTGGGCTTTCTCATGGTTGGCGCATGTTGGGGACTAACGACCCCATTCATGGCTCGCGCATCAAGACTTCGCGACAACACTCCGAAGCCGGCACGACCTATGTTGACTGACCCGAATGTCTCGTGGCTGCTGAAGAGGATTTGGGGCATCATATACGCTGCCTACGACCTGCTCCGGAATCCCAGCTATGCCATCCCTTTGCTCTTGAACGTCACCGGCAGCGTCTGGTTCTTTCTTCTGATCGGGCAGGCAGGTGAGGACAATTCCCACGCAGCTTGATGTACCTCAATGGAACTCGGTCTAATTACAAATCGCCAGAATTGAGCCTCACGGTTCCAATCACAAATTCGCTGGCCTTTCTGTTCACCGTCCTCGGCGAATGGTACGCCGAGGGCAAAGTTATCTCGCGAGGTGGGACTAATTGCGCTGGCTGCAGCAGAAACGCTTGCTGATTGTGCGCAGATACCTGGATTGGCATGGGTCTGGTGCTTGGGGGCATTGCTCTCTGCGTGCACTCAAAGACATCTTGAATTACAAGACTTCTGCCCTCAAGATTTACCCGGACCACGGCTGGCTCGTCGCTTCTTCTCATTGGCAATGGCAGCAGCGTCTTTCCACGGCGGATCGTTCTCGTCTTGCCTAGGAACCTAGTCAGAGCCAAAGAAGGCGACCTGGACAGCGCAAAATCACCGTTGGCGGTCGTCGAGATGACATTCTGATGTGCGCAGAAGCTGTACATAAACTCGTGTCAATCTCCTCCCCGGGGCGCGGCGGGGAACGGACCGATGCGGGTATCGCGACACAGAAATCGTCATGTACAGGGATATGAGCGGAGACTAGTCCGCCTGAAGGAAACCGGGAAACGAGTGGCTGCTATGACGTCTGGAGGCGCGGAGCCTGTTTCACAACATCTAAATTGCAACCTCTACCTGGTCTGGTCGAAACCGTACTAGACCTCGCGACAGTCACTAGAGTCAGTTCAATCAACATGGCCAGCAAGTCTCAGCAGAAGCGGCAGTCCGACAATCCCAACGCTCAAGGTAGTCCGAAAGCTCAGAATGTCGTCGACGAACGCGAAGTTCGCCAGGAATCTTCGAAAGCTGCACGACAAGCACAGCTCGCTAAAAAGAAGGCGAAAGAGCTTCGTGATGCAGCGGCCGCTGCTGGCGACCCAGAGGAGCGCCAGAAGTTGCTCGAACAGGCCATAGACAAAGAAATCGAAGCCGAGTCTTTTGGAAAGACCGCCAAGTATCTTCGATCGGGGACTTTTCAAGGCATGGTAATGGGCACTGGTATAGGTGTTACACCTGGGTTGACATTAGGAGTCTTGACCGGAACGCTGGTGGGAGGACTTACATCCCTCATAACAGGAGGACTAGGCGCTGGCATCGGAGCTCTGACGGGATGGATCCACGGCCCTTTCTTCAATGTGGGTGCGATGGCTGGTAAGGGCATTCAAAGGATCACGGGAAATTTACCCGGCTGGGTTGCAACGGAGAAACAAAAGCGTACACTAGAGAAGATGCTAGGTCAGATCAAGGAGGAGGACATGCCGGATGATGATGAGCTTGAGATGATGGGCTCTGACGACGGCAGCGACATGGTCAATGACTGGGGAAAGAAGGCAAGCGCAACGGCAGGCTCATATGTGCCTTCGTGGGCAAAATCGAAGCAGGATGGAGATTCAAAGTCAGGCACACCGTCCAAGCAGTCTCAACAATGCGCACAGAAGACCGACGCACAGCCCGCGTCACAGCAATTTCCTGCAACTCAGAAAGCTGGTGATGACGTGCGACAACACCTAGACAAACCACAAGCACAGTCTCACCATCCTGCTGGCGCCAAGCCTTCGGGGCCTTCTCGGCAAGAGACATCCGCCCATGAAACCGGAAAGGAGAATGTACCTCCCACGAATGGTAGACAGGTTACATCCTCTGACAAGCCACAGAGCGGCCAAAATTCAGCGACCCAGAAACTTCCAGAGACAGCCACCAAACCCACCTCATCCGGGGCGGCGCGATCTCAACAACGCAAGAAGCCACGCAAACTAGAGACGAGATCAACGCCGCAGATATTGGAATCGACTTCTGGTCGACCTGCTGGCGAAGGGAGAAGGCCTCGAAAACTTGAGCGGCGATCATGAGAAGTCGCACATCAGCAGGATACGTTGTCAAACGAATAACGCCGTGAATAATCATCGATGGCCAACGGATGATGCATCGCCCAAATTTATCAAAGTACAATTCACTGGCCCTCATGGTCGTATGTTGAGACAGGATCTTGTGGCTGTGTATGCGCAAGGCACCTGCGCAGAAGGATCAAGTGCCCTGTGTGACTGCCTGGTCCCTCAGGCACAGCGGCGGCGCGTTTGCCGATGAGCGAATACCTTTTGCTATTGTTCTCGAGAGCTACCTGCGGATCTTGGAGATACAAGTACAGACTACCTAAGGCCTTCTACATTGGACAAACACTCCCACTCCCATTTCAATTCGACACGACTCGAATCCTGGAAGCTGCGATATGTGGCTCAAACTCATCGCCTTCGCGGCGCTGCTCGAATACATCCTCATCAGACCCAAGATCCTCCCAGCTAGTGAGAATGGCTATGCCGACTTCATTGGGCTCGTGATGTGTCACTCGATTCTCGTACGAGTCTCCCATCCACATCACCCAACTTCCATCACTAACGCGCCCCATGCAGGCATTCTTCGGCAAGATCAACATGAAAGACCTCAACGAGCGACAGTGTAAGACGGTGCTTTGGAATGGAGCGATGGGTGGTGGACTCGGCTACGCATGGCTGCTGTTCCATCTGAAGGCGCCGGAGAGGGAGATTCATCATTTGCTCGTGGCGAATTTGATGATCCTCGCTGGAGTCTTGACTGGTGCTTGGGCGGAGAGGTGGAAGAAGGGCGGCAGATGGCGGCGGGATGTTGGAAGAAGACTGTGATGAAACAGTTGCGGAAACTGGAGCTGTATACCACGAAGAGCCTCCAAGAGCATCATTGCAGGAACAGTAAAGAGCATCGTCAAAAGCGTTCGCGTGCGTGGCACGAACAAAAGTCTATAATCTGCCGCGCGTGTGGGTGTGTGCGGGTTGTTGCCCAGGGGCATATGAAAAGGGAACAGTGCATCAGATAAACCACATCTCAACCACCATAATATATCGTAAAAGCAAGCTCGAATTTCCCGTCCCCTCGGGTGTCACCATCTCATGGAAGGATGGAAGCTCTGCGGGGGCCAGCAACCTACCTTAGCACCTCGGCCGTCGAGTGGGAACAGAGAAAAAAAAAAGAGACGACCTCGCACTGCCTACTATTATCCCCATCTCCCTGACCATCGAATGGTTCATTCAACATCTAGTCTCAGTCTCGATTTATAGATTGCAGGGTTCAGTATGTCAAACAACTCGGATGATCCAACAAACAAGAGGACCACCCTCCTCCTCCTCCAAAAAGCCCAAACCCGCCTCTCGGCCGTAAAAGACACCCTCCTCCTCCAAAACCAACCACCCTCGCCCATCATCCCCTATAAATTTCCCCCCTTCGACGCCCTCCCCCAAATCCCCTCCCAGCCCCAAGGCAGCCTCTGGACCTTCTTCGGCGCCCAAGACGAACTGGGAACGCTCAACCTGCTCACTCCCCGCCTGATAGCCCACACAGCCGCCACGGAGATCAAGACCGGCCGGCACATCCAACTCGACTGGTGCTTGTCCGAGAACGTCCAATTCCCGGCTTTCGGCCGTCGAAAATTCACGCAGAAAGTTATAGCGGGGGCCGGGAAACATGTCGGGTTCGATGATGAGGTGACTTTTAACACGCAATCCGGTTCGCAGTGGGATGGTTTCAAGCATTTTGGGCATCAGAAGACGAGGATGTACTATAATGGGCTTTCTCACGACGAAGCGCTGAGGAGTACCAGGAATGGGATCCATCGGTGGTGTGAGAATGGAGGGATCGTAGGGAGGGGAGTGCTAGTGGATTGGTTAAGGTGGTATGAGAAGACTCGTGGATCCCCGCCTTCGCCTGTGAGTAGACACGAGATTCCCGTGGCCGACTTGGAGGAATGTTTGAAATGGCAAGGGACGACGATGAGGCCTGGCGATATTCTGTTAGTCCGGAGTGGGTATACCAGATGGCATAATCTCGCCACTGAAGCGGAGAGGAGAAAGGGAACCCAGGAGCAGGCGCTGTCCATCGGGCTGGAGAATAACGAGAGAAGTGTCCGCTGGCTATATGATCACCACTTCGCCGCGGTCGCAGGAGACACGATGGCTTTTGAAGCTTGGCCGCCGCCTTGGAAGTCCGGATGGGTGCTTCACGAATGGTTGCTGGTGCAATGGGGTACGCCTATTGGGGAACTCTGGAACTTGGAGGAGTTGAGTGAGATGTGTGAGAGGGAACAGAGGTGGACATACTTCCTAACTAGTGCGCCTTTGCACGTCAAGGGCGGAGTAGGAAGCCCTCCCGGAGCGATCGCCATATTCTAAAGCAATGTTAGTGCCAAGTCAAGAAACATCAATCCCGAGTTGTACTGACCATGCCGTATACTGCAAGCTCAATATGACCTGCACTCCGTTATCATCTGCTCTTCTCAGTGTCATGCGCAATCGTCAAGCATCCCGAACGCCATCTCTTGTGCATGCTCCGTGATAGAGCCTCGGCGACTTTACCAGGCAACGCCTTCGTCCTTGGACTCCGCCATGTCCACATCCATGGACTCGCTCTTGCCCGCCAAGATGATCTCGGTGTTGATGTCCGAGAAGGGAGACGGAACATCAGCAAGCGAGTGGCATTTGACCGCGTTGTCCTGGTGGGCCTTGACCTGCTGCTCGTAAAAGCGTCGGAACACCAATGGACTCATCATGGCGGCGACCTCTTCGTCGGTGCCGTGGTATTCCTTCTTGGCTTCAACGACACTATGAAAGAACTGCATGATCATGTCGAGGTGCTCGACGTACAGATCGCGCCCGTCCTGACGCGCGACCATGACGCTGCCGCGGAGGTCATCCGCCGCCAGCAGGATCGAAGCAATCGAGTTGGGGAAGTACGGGCCGTCAGGCGTGTACCCATAGGTCTTCGGCGGGCGCTGCTGGCGTGCGGTTCTGGTGTTATTGGGGACCTTCAGAGAAGGATAGACGTTCAAGATGAGGAGCGTGATGCCGATGCTGGTGGTGAGATTGGAAACCGCTCCCTTGCTGAAGATCTCATGGGTAGAGGGCAGGTCGTAAGCCTTGGGCTCGAGGCCCTCGCCATCGCAGGCGACGCGAACGACCTTGATGCGTGACATCTCCTCGGACATGATGAGGTGGTGCGTGTGTCGACGCTGGAGGTTGTTGGGTGTGCGAGGAGTGAGAAGCGGCGTCGAGGAAGAAGGGGGGAGCGGCTTTTAAAGCGAAGGAAGGAAGGAAGGAAGGCGGTGGGGCGGAGGGCGGAACTTGAGCCGGCGACAAGGTTGTTGCTCGGCGGTAGAAGTGGGAAGGCGCGGTCTGTTTTGGTCGTGCCTTCCCTTCCAATCTCGATGGAGCGCTTTCACATGCTGAGCTGGGCCCTGATTAGCCGCATCTAAAGCCGTGGCTGAAGCAAAAGGAGCTAGTCTACTCTCACATGTTGCCTTCGAATCAAGAGGTCCAGTACTTCTAGCTTCCGACGAGGAATGGGGTCCGCCAGACTGTCCTCTGAAGCGTCCAGGAGTATCCAGCCATGACGAGGGCTTGAGGAGAAGCACTCGAAGCATCCTCTGCCACAGCCCAACCCTCCGAGACTGTGATCGACTTAGTTCACCGCCACGCGTAAGAGCAGAAGACGCGAAAATAATGGACTGAAGAGAATGGGAGGCAGGGACGCTGCAGGAAATCGGTCGTCCAGGGCAGGGGAAAAGCATTGGGAAGAAAGAAAAGGGGCTGAAGAAACAGGCGAGCAAACAGAGGATCGAAATGAGACCCAACAGAAGGCCACAAGCGTCTCTGCTTTGATCTTCAGTCCAACAGCTCTGTCAAGGTAACAGCAGCGGTCGCATGGTATTCGTTCAAGTAGGGCAGACATCCATCTAGGAAGATGGTAGAGGCTTCCGATCCAGTCCATTCGAAAGAGCTTGGGTATCTATCTCATCTACAGCCGGGGCACATTTTCCTCATCTATTGCCACACAACCAAAGCGCATGCATTCCTCAATGGAGCCCCTTCTTCTCATCACCAAGTAAAGGATCCTCCTGATGCGGCGGCGGATTATAAGCAGGCCTACTGGCAGCTGCAACAGGCGGGATATCACTCGCAATCGCATCCTCGTAACTAGGTGGAGCATCCATATATTCCGGGATGCCCTCCAAGGGGACACCTGGTCGAGCTGGCCATGAGGGTCCTTCTCCCGCATCGATAGGCGTCGGAGGGATCTGGTTGCGGCCAAAGTCGCTGTCCCGTCGACCTTCGGCTTGGAGCTTTTCTGCCATGGCGTTGGTGTTGGTTCTGCGGACGTTACTTCGCGCGTCTGCCATGCGGCTGATGACTTCTGCGGGTGGTGCGATGCCTGAATAGACGAGTGTGTCGAGGCGGAGAGGAAGTGTCACTTTTTGGGGCTGTTGTGGCCGTCAGCATCATGATCTAGGAGTTGAAGGAGGTAAATTGTGCAGCTGGGCCTCCCATTGTATCTTACAATCCTCGCATTCTGCTGCATGCGTACCTTTGATAATCCACCACCAGAATAGCTAAATCCAATCCGAATGTCGAGCTGATACGATCGTGCGATATTGCAAGTCTCAAAAGTTGGAGCGACGGTATTGGGCAGGGATAAACCTCGCCACATATGGTCGGGAAGTACTGTATCTGTGTTGATGGGGTCTGTCGGCTTTCCTTGAGAACAGTCAGCAGTGGAAGTTGTGGTAGCATGCGAGTAATCGAACCTATGGGTATGTTCATGTTGCTTCTGCTTGTTATGATCCAGCTCTGAGTCTCCGTCCGAGAAACCTCGTGTGCCCGAACCTTGGTATGGCCGATCAAAGATATCTGCAAAGAATCCAAATAAAGCAGTTCGTCATGCTCGTTGATCTTCTTGACAATCAACCGCAACGGGATGTCGCTATTGCAGGTCAATATCGCCGGTTCTTGCAGCCTCGCATCGACGCTGATGGATGGAGCGGTGGTGGGAGGAATGGGTGAGCTCGACGCGCTGGATTTCTTGGAAAATAGGCCTTTCATCTTGTCTTTCACGTCTCCATTGTGTGGGAACGCGGAGAAGGCATGTCTTTGCCTTGCATAAACCTCAGAACCTGTTGGCGACGGCCGCGGGGGCTCGATTGGGAAGAAGTTGAATGGTGTATATGCCCGCGGATTCTCTTTGAAAAACGATTGGCGATTGACCGTAACCTTGACATAGTAACGTATCTCGGCTTCGCCTGGGAACCCGCTCAAGGTTGGCGGGAGCGTCTTCTTGACGTGCTTCTCGGCGGGCCTTACAGGATCCAATCCGAGCATAGGTGGCTGACTCTTGTTGTTCGTCGAGCAGTTGTTGTTGAAAGGCAGCTTGAAGCTGAAAGGGTACTCATGCTGTCCTTGGGGTATCGTGTACTTCGCAGAAGCAGTGCTCCGACTAGCAACATCTGGGGGCGGAAACACCATCTGCACCTTATATAATATCTTATGATATTCGACCTGCGGCTTCGGTCTCTGTCCATCGGCGCCGGGTGGGCTCATCAGGCGCGTCCGACTCTCGCCTTCCAGCTTCACCACGACATTGGAAACATCCACCGCCTTCGCACACCTCACCATAGCCCTCCCGGAAATCTGATCCAGACTAGTGAACGCCACGTTCCCCGGCTGGTCCAGGATCACAGTCGCCTGTAAGCTGGTACTGAGAGCCGACCATTGGACCATGGCGGGATCCAGATGTGGGGTGTAGGGAACCATGAGGGAGAATCCGGCTGCCTAGCGGCTGCTATGAAACCTTTTCGGACTGAACGTGAGGTCGTGATAGCCTCAAAAACTGGGCGTTTGAGAGGGCGAACTTTCTGTCGCCGTTTGAGTATCCTGATTTGTCGATCTAGTGTTTGCGTTGCATGGTTGTGCCTGCTTACGCGGAGATCGGGTACTTCTTGCGTGCGTATGTGGTGTTTGTGCGGCCCTGCCTGCCCGGCCGGATCAACGTCACCCAACAGTAAGCTGTGCGTTTTCTTTGCGCCAGTGCGATATTGATATCACAATGCGTCAAGACAATCCGGATGAGAGGTGCCGGGGATGAGGTGCGATGGATTCGACGGCTTCGTGGGGATGAGGTGATGGCTAAGGCGGCCGGGTATTGGCGCATCAGGTGCCGGGCTTCGCCACGGTGTTAGGCAGACTTCAGCTGCCATCTCAACCGTGAAGCGGTCACAACACAAGATACCTTTGGGTAACGTGACACAACGCGGGGAAATGTCGAGTATGTCGAGGTTTCATTACTACTAGAAATCTGCTCTATCCCGAGAAGATGTATTGTGCAGAAAACGCCGTTGCCGCATGTCTAGAGCAGAAATAACCGACCAACGCCTCGCTGAAACCGATAACAGTTGCTAAGTAATATCCTCCAAATAACACCTAAACAATCACAGGTCCTTGGGAAGAGAATTCGTGGCTCGTCATGGTTGGGGCCGAGCAATTTAGAAGACGGGCACACGCTGAGTGCCGTTCTGAGGAGAAAAATAGGAATATCCTGGAGGCGCATCGTCCTCCAGCGGTACCTCGCTGCCGATTCTGCTGCGGCCGACATACTGGTCATCGGGAATGCGGAGCGTGCGCGCCTCGAAGAATCCGCCGACATCCTCGTCGTCCATCTCCATCTCCATGGAGGAGTTGACCGAGCCGCGTCGTGGGCTGTTCTCGCCGTTGGAACCTTGACAGGAGATCTGGAGGGGGATCTTGAGATCGACGGTACCGCCCAGTCCAGCAGTGTGCAGACCGAGCTCTAGCTTGAGCTGATACACCCTGCTGATCAGACAGGAGTGGAATGTAGGTACAAACGCCTTGTTGGTAGGCAAGCTGACAGGCGCAAGGATTTTGGCCAAGTAATATGACTTGCCCTTGTAGGCGGTACTCATGCCGACAAATGCGGTGGAAGATGCGGGGTCTCGGCGGTCTGGGCTGTCGACGTTGTTGGAGTCGTGCTTCGTCCATTCCACGTTGGCCACACAGCGCGATGCGAGATTGAGCTGCTCACTGTGCAAACCCTGAGACATGTCCAATAACGAAGCCTGCTTCGTGGGATAGGTACTCCGAGAAGTGCTCGCAAAATACGTGCAGACCTTGAGCTTGCTGCTGAGGCTACCGAGGCGAGGTGGCGGGGCCTTCTCATCGACCGGGTCGAATCGGAGCATGATGGTAGCCATCGCTGGCTGTTGGTCCGCCTCGCTGCGAGCATGCATGCGCATCGACGGAGGCTGCGTGGCTTCGACAACCAGCGTTCCCAGCTTCGGTCTCAGGGGTCCTTTCCTGATGACTCGCTCCTTGCGCATGGTGTACTCTGCATCGTCGTGATCGATCGCCAACGGAGGTTGCTCAGGAGTCGAGGGGATGATGCGAAGTCTCCTGGCTTTGCTAGCAAGTGTGGTTCGTGTGACTTCCCCATCGCTCTCTCTGTTCTTCGAGATACGGGCGAATACACCGTAACGGATGCTCGCCATCTCTGGAGCCATGTCGTCGAGCTTGTCTATTTTGGAGGCGCCTTGGGGCTCGCCAAGGTCGCCGAAGCTTGGAGGAAGCTGAGTATGCGCATCCCGGAGGGTGTCGTTGGCTACTTTGTGTTGGCATATCCGTGGCAGCAGTTGCGGAGGTACGACAAAGACGAAGGGAAATTCATAGGTCTGGCCAGCCTTCAGAATCTTGTCCTGTGGGTAGTGCTGCTGCATGCGTGGCATCAGCAGCTTGAGGAATTGATGAAAAGCCTCTGAACGGCCTGAGACTGCGGCGGCAGTTGTGAGGCGCTCGACATAGGTGCGCGAAGTACCCACGAATTCGACATCGATGTCGTCGAAGCTGGTGTCGGTTGGCGCCGTAATCTGAACGACGCCTTGCAGCTTGTCCAGAGTGGTACAAGTGGTCCGTCTGTTGTCCAAATTGATCTTGATGTCGGGCTTGTGAGCGGACTGATAGAGACCTCTCAGCATGGAAGGCATGTTGTTGGCAGCATCGCTGCCGGAGCGGGATGGAGCTGTCATTTTGTCGCCGAGCGGGAGGTGGCCCTGATGATCAAGCAGTGCGCGACAAAGAACAGGCGTGGACAGCTCGAGCCAATCGCGGTATTCCTCTCTGCGGACTGATGATACGGACTGACGATACGGACTGACAAAGCGGGGAGGAATGCCAGTGCCAGGTCGCTTGCGGGAAGGTGTGCGGTGTGGCTTGGGGCTCTCACAGCACTCTGAAGGTGGAGGTGTGGGCAGCTTCTCCGGGGAGTCGACTGATCAACGTGGTTGCTCCGTCCATTCTGGTGCGGCGCGTCCAGGGGCATTATATAGCAGGATCGATGGAACGACGAAAGGGCGCGTGTTGCGTGCAGGTGCATGTTGAGTCACGTCGTGAAGGATGAGGTAAGATATGGCATGGCGATGCTACCTTACACTCCGTAGACTGCAGACGGGAGGCGTTCGCGATCCAAGCTGATGTTTGCCGGCGTGTGATTGGCCAGCGCGCCACTGAGGCACATCCTGCCCTTCTCGCTTCCCTCTCCCCTCTCATGCCTCTGGAGGGCGTGAGCCTCTACTACTCCGTCTACAACATCGCTTAGATCAGCATTCGCGGCATTCACGCCGTATCTTTGTCCATCTTTTTGCTCCTCCTCAGCTCCTCCCACCCCCTACTTGCCTCCGTCCGTCCTCTCCCTCCTCCCTCTGGCAGCCTGGCAGTCTCTTCACACCTCCGGAGCGAGCGATGGCACCAGCGACCATTCTGGCGCCATTGTTGCGCCATCGTGAAGAAACGCGTGGTATGCGGTAGCCATGAATGGAAAACAAATCCATGGCCGCACCGCGCACGTCAGGCACACACGAACCCTCTCCGAACGCAACAGCAGGCGCAGGTTCTTATGTGTCATGGCCGTCCATACTTAGGAGCCAGACGCGTCTGCTTTCTCGCCATTCGTGCACGCTGCGGGCCCCAACACGTGTGATGTGAGACCTCGGGGAAAGGATGAGCAGAATTTTCACCCTCTCTCTGCTCTCACCACGTGCCAGCAGGACCAGCCAAACTCATCAACTCACCGTCACACCGATTCGCATTCCTTTGCTTGTATTCGACCCCATGTCAGAATCACGCTTCCCGCGCAACGACCACCGGCTACGCGATGAAGCCTTACTAATTAGGGAGTGTTTACCTCGCTGTCGTTGAGTCGTTAAGTCGTTGAATTGGTAGATTGAATCCACCGAGTATCGTTAAGTAGTTGAAAAGTCGTTAAAAAGGTATACGGCTCGTTAAAAAGGACCGTCTATATACCTAATTTTGCCGTAGATCCGGGTTTAACCTTACGTATTATTTAATACCTTCTTTTACTACCCTATACTACGTTGTTTTGTCTATTTACTCGCCTCTTTCTACGTTACGCTAGGTATATTACTATAAACCTAATCTATATAGCTATTTTACTTAGAGTAATTAGGACTAACGCGATTATTATTACGATACTACTACTATAGCTCCGGAGAAGGAAAAAGAGATAGTATAAGCTAGCTAATATAATATAGATAATAACTAAGCTAAATACTAGCTATTTAGAAGTAAGGAAGATACTTAAAGAGCTACTAAAATATTACGTAGAAGTAATATATATATAATACCTAGTATTAGTATTATTTATTAAGAAGCTTAAGAAGAGAGGAATATATATAAGTAGATAGATTTTAGTAGCTACTAAGGTAATAATCTTTCTTAATTTCCTTACTTATAATACCTTAATTAGAGTCTTATATTATACCTA